ATACAGTCTCGATATAATAAATATCTAATTAAAAAAATCATTAAACAAAAATATGTTAATCATTAGTAACATTTTTAAATACTTAGGTAGTATAATAGTAAATTATGTATGTAACTTTATGCCTTGTAATCAATCTAAAGAATATAAAGATAGTTTTAAAAAAAACCCAGAATTTTATTCTACATTTTTATTTTATTTTGTTAAAATTATATATATGTTAATTGCCATACTTATTATGACAATTAATTATTTTGATATAAATATTATGTATTTTCTTTATAGATTTAAAGTTAGTTTAATTATCTTTAATCTAACTGGCTGTTTAAAATAAGTACTAATAATTAGATAACTAATAAAATTAGAGTTTATTAGTTTCAAAAAGTTTTTGTTCTAGCTACAACAAGTCGAATTATTAGAAAATATCGATTTTTAATACTTGATAGTTATAATAATCATCTAATTCCTTAATTTAATAAGGTTTATAAAAAGAATATATTATTCTACTTTATATATGTATATATTTATATTTATTATAATTTTTTAGTATAGATTATTTTAGTATATTACAAAAGATATATTGAATATATATTCAAGATCTTATCTAATATAGATTTAGTTATATTAATAGACTCGATCTTCTCTAAATCTATCTAGAAATGTATTTAAAAGCCTTTAAATTTGATAATATTATAGATTCTTTTATATTACTAATTTAGTTTCTTTTAATCTAGATTGAGTTATCTTTAAACTCGATATGTAATTTTATATACTATCTTCTCCAAGTTTAAATTAATTAAATAAATCTTTGTCTAGAATACCTAAAAATAAGTATTAATTATAACAACGATTTAATTCTATTAAAGGTTTTTTAAAATAATAATCACGATTACGATCACAATCTCTAGAGAATTTAATATATTAACTCAAACAGATTAGAAAAAGTGGCGAATTTTATATAGATCAAGTTACTATATTTAAATATAACCTTATAACTTATCTTACAGAAAACCAGTGTCAATCTTCAAAACATGGTAAATTAAAGACCCAAATACTATAAAATAGAGAGCTAACAGATATAGAGGCTTAAATATTACTAGAGATATAATTAAAGGTATTAGAAGAGATAGGAGAGATCTCTAATTCGGGGCAAGTTTTGTCTCTACAGCCTTCTATACAGAGGCCTCCGACTTGTTTATTATGTGGAGTAGTTGGGTATTTATATAATAAATGCCCTAATAGATAGTAGAACTAAATTTTGTGTGGTTAATAATATCAAATTTGAGTGTTTCTTCTGAACTCGGGTGGGGATTGGCGCGCTCGCTTGGGTGGCGCGCTTGCTTGGGTGTTACGTTAAAGGATATAGATATTAATAATTTTTAAGATTAGTTAGTAGAAACTTGATAAAAATCATTTGTAAATATATAATATCTATAGTTATTTTTATATAAATAATATAATATTAATTTTAGATAATAAACTTTTAATTTATTTTTTAATAATTAGAATAAAATAAAATAAAATATTTATTACAATTCTGTAAGGGAACTGCCAGATTTGGGTAGCACCAGTTGACCAGGCGAGATAATGATATTCGATAGGATCCCACTATAGGGTTCCGGTCTGAATAAAGACTAAAGCTTACTCTTTCTTCTAAATAAACGCCCTTTTTATATAGGGATTCGCTGGGGGTTTGGCCCTAGCTCAGGTTTCAACCCTAATCTAGCTAATAGAAATGCGGGAGGATCCAGACGACCCCGCTTATTGACATTGAATGACATGACTTTGGCTCAAAGGGCCTCGATATAGCTTCGAAGGTGCTTTTAACGCCGATTCGACGGCTCTTTGCCGTCGAATCCTATTGTTCCGTGACAAATTCTTTCCTAAAAAATTTAATTTAAAAGATATAAAGGATAAATGAAACTATTTAAGGATAAGATAATTTATTATCTATATAATAATATATTAATAAAGTTAATATTAATTCTTAATTTTTTATTAGATATAATTGATATTAACTCTCTTTTTTCTAAAAATATAATTAAATACATTTTCTAATAATATATATGATTTATAAAAGTATTCTTTTAGTTTTAGTAATATATATAAATATAAAATAATTTTTGGATATAATCTAAAATTTCTATTGTTATTACTATAAGTAGATAAAAGATAATAATTTAGTCTTAATAAGACCTAATATAAATATATTAGATATAAAGATCTAGACTTGATTAATATATATATATATATATATATATTACTATTAAGATATCACTAAATTCTTTTTTTTTATAAATTAAAAAAAGATAGTATAATAACTTTTATTAAATTATTTGAATTATAAGTATAAATATATTCGAAAATTAGTTAATATGAATTATATCATTAACTATTCTAGTTATTCGTTAAAAGCTAGTCTTAACTATTTATACTCTTAGTCTTTAAGATTTATTAAATTTTTATTATCTAATCTTAAGAGAATAGTAAATTATCGATTTAGATATAGATCTTATATTTATTAGATATTAAATAAAATAAATATACAAAGAATTGTGACCTTAAATCTATATTTTATATTTCTTCTAGTATTCTTTATATAATAATATTATTATAATTAAATAATTATGATCTTAATTTAGCTATAAATTAATAATTTTTAATATATTTTCTTAGTATATATATTATTTATAGATCTAACTAGAACTTATCTAATAATCTTAACTACTTTTAAATCTATCTTAAATATCTTAACATATTCTTATTAACTAATATTTTTAAAAGTTTGTTATTTTTTAATAATTATATATATTAAAAAGATTATCTTTTACCAAGTTTTCTATACTAATATTACTAAGTTAAATTTTTCTTGATTTTCTAATTAAACTAAAATATAAGATTTTTAGAATGATAATTGATAATATAATAGATAATAAGATATCAATAGATTAACTTTGACTAATATTATTAGAAAATATAAATATTATTTATATCTTATTTCTTTATTATATTATCTAACTTAGTCTAGATTAGTTTCTAAATTAAATTAAAATTATTCAATAAAATAATATCTATAAAAATAAAAATAAATAAATAAATATCTATAGCTGATAGTTAGAATGAAAGATCTTAAATATTTTGAACATTATTTAATATCTAGTAATTTATATCTATATTAGTTTATAATATTATAAAGCTCTCTAATAAATCTTAGAAATTTAATATCAAATTAATATTTATTTACGCTATAAACATTTGGTAGAATTTAACATTTTACATAAAATAATTATAATAGATATTTATCTACTTCTACTAAAAGCACTTATAAATCGAGTATATTTTATGTTATTAAATTCTTTTTTCATTATAAACAAATTCTTTAAGGTTTAGAATACTATTTTTCATCTTATATTCAAAATCGATAATATCTTAGATAATTAATAAAACAGATTTAGAAAAATTATATATTATAGAAAAGAAGATAGATATTCAGATATAGATTATAGATATCCTTAGATAGACAATAAAAAGAAATATAATCTTTAAAAAATGATTTATTAAGACTTGCTAGAAGTATATAATATAGTAATAATAAAAATATATTTTTTTCTATTATAAAATTATTAATCGTAAATTGAAAAAAGCATAATTAAAAATATAAATAATAAAAATATCTTTAATATAAAAATAATTATAGAAAAAAGATTTAGAATACTATTAGAAAATCTATATAATGATTTATCTATATAATAATATCAATAAAATTTTATATAATTAACTTAGATTGAGATTATAATCTAGAACCTAATCTAACCTAGGTCCGGATTAGAGTTAGTTAACCTAAATCTAATCCAAGACTAGTTACTAGTGTGAAGGGCTAAGGCAAGACTTGATTCAATCTATACTAGGCCACGAACTGTGTTCGATAAACTTAAGGAAAGGAGTTCAATGCGCCGGTCCTCCGCTATTAGTACGCCAAGGTCACGTGTCCTACGTGATCAACACCGGGCCCTGGCCCGTGACACGACTGATATACGTCTAAGGTCGGGAGGCGTATCTTTGGCCTCAGGTATCCAGCCTTAGGGCCGTGCCAGGTCCTTCTAGCTGTGGACTACGTCCACAGCCCTTCTTCGAGCTTGGCTATCGGACTGCTAACTGATGTCTAAGGTAGCTTTGCACCTATCACTGCCTCAAATCTCTAGCTTTATTCCCTTGGTTTTTCCGTATTCTTTATTTTCTGTCTCTATATTCGCTATGTTACACACTACCTAGCGAGTCTCGGTGAGTGGTTCCTCAAAGCTTATACTTCTCTTGGTCACTCTGCACGCCAAGGGTGTCTCGTCTCTCTATTGCAATGCCTACCGATCATACACAGCAACAGGCCTTAGATGCTCAAGTCCTTGGAGGTCTTGCTTAGTAAACGTGGAACTGCTAAGGGCGCCGACGAGGTCAGGTTCTTATGGATCTCTCCTGCGTCGTTAAAGTTTGGATTCGAATCAAGAAGACAATTGAACCGTTGTCGTATTCCAATCTGGGGGGGTTCTTAAGTAACAGCTTATAAACAAGAATGATACAAGAATAATTGATCGCGAAGAACTAAATACATGTTGCCAAATAAGTGTCCTTATATACCCAGTCCTTCCTATGAACTGATGTGCTCGGAATATATTGCTGGATGCGTTCCGTGCATCGCTTGATGTGCAGTGCTTATCGCTTGATGATCCGTCGTTGCCTTGATGTCTTGGCCTAGCCCTGTGCGGCTTAGCGTGCTTTTCATGTCGTGGCGTAACACCTGACTGGCCACTATGTTCGGTCCCCTTCTTTAACCGAAGTGGGTCCGTAATACTCAGGTCGAAGATTATGACCTAGAACCTAACCTAGCCCAGGTCTGGGTTGGAATTGCTTATACCAGGAACTAAGTACCTAAATACCATGTAGTAGGCCTTATGCCTTCTATTGATTTGATTGAAGCTCAAAATTTGTGACTGGTTAATAAAGTAAGACTAAAGTCGAGTAAAAAAGTACACATAGGCAGTCTTTTTCATCTGCTCAACATCCTCGAGTTTCGCCACTTTCTCGTCATTGAACATGACCCAGACCGGTTCACTTTGACCTGGTAATAATTTGCGAATAACAGCTACATAGTGACTTCACTTGATATTAGCCCCTGAGACCGAGAAGTTTGATATATGTCACTGAATTTCAAGAGTTGTTACTTACCCTGCATGTACTGATGTTCCCTTGTGGCACACAATAGACCGGAGCTGGTAACAAGCAGGCGTACTGTCGAAGCCAGGCGGATCCTCACGAGATGGTTCATCGTGACTAGGCTGGTCTTCATTCACCGGTTGATCATCTGGATGACTGAAAACCCAATCAAGAGCTCTATTGACATCCCCCCCAGTGGCAGTCAGTGCTCGTTGAGCTTTCATATCATCAATGCCCATTTCCCCCAACTGCGCAATTTTTGCAGGATCTTGCTCAACGCTGTTCGGCTTGCTGGAGGATTTGTCTAGAACCAGCGGTTCATCAATATCGGGATCCTCCATATGTGAAAAAAGCCATTCCATCGCTGACTCAGGGTCAGAATTTCCTGTTGCATGTAAAGCCTTCTCACACCTAGCCATTGGAAACCCCATGCTGAGAAGTTGATCCAATACCGCCCCGTTCGGTACAAATGTCACTCTGTCATCAACATCCGGTAGGAGCTCCTCATCAGGATCGTGCGCTTTTGACAGATAAGGTTCAAAGTCAATAGCGCCATCGTCTACGGCTACTGGAATGTCCAACTTTGTAGGAACCCAGTTAACCAATTCGAAGCGACGGGCATTCACAACTAGCTCCTGGGTAGTGTCTTGAAGGACGACCGCTTTGAGAAGCCAACCCCACTATGACAGGCCGGGCAATTGAGCTCGACTACTTCGTCTGCCGTGAAAATGTCTAGACACTCTGACAATGTCACTAGATCGTATTTGTCGGACCCCGGAGTGGCGCGACGCGCAGGAACCACGATAGAGATGTTATCTTGTTCGTCTATCTTGTAACGAGCTCTTTTGCAGGAAAGGCACTGAAGTCGCTGTTCCACCAGAAACCGGAATTGTTTAACAGGATTACCCTGACCATCCGAATGCTTCGAAAGACTGACGCATTTAAAAAGATGCAAAAGGAACTCGAAAGCGTCTTGCTGTCTCATCGTTGCGAATTCTTCATGACCTTTACCAATGAGATACTTGAACATAGCCGGTGCCAGTCCATTTTGGCGAGGAGGATCTGAAGAGTCCGCAGTGACTCCTGAACGTATACGACCTTGAGAATACCGACCAGAGAGCAGACCATCAGCTAGCTTCCTCATTTGAGTTTCAAGGTCCTTCGCTGGAGCTTCACACAATGGCGGCTCCTCGGTAGGATGATAATAGCGGTCCTGGAATCCAGTAATCGAGAAAATGCATTGCATGATGCTGGATAGATAACAGCTGTTGCCGAGGTTTATAAGACCGGTTAAGCCAGGGCCGAATACTGGTGTCAGCTCTCGACCATCATCAGTGGTCATAGAGAATTCCCAGGAAAGATTGTGCTCTACCTGCATTTCCATTAAGCTCTTTTCAGTCTTTTCACGACCGGCAAGGAAGATGTCCCAATGTGCGAGATGCTTTGCTAGCTCAGGATCTGTCCTCTCTTCATTACAGGTATAGCAGTAGACATCTGCGGTACCTTCTGCGGTGATTGAGCCTAATTTGACTGCTACACCATGAGATGTTGATTCAGCATGAGCTAGTGCATGGGAATTCCCTTTGGAACCACCAAACTGGCTTCGTCCACACCCTGTATTTCCGCATTCGAGACAAAGCCACAGATTCTCTTTCAGCTCGCACATTGAGCACTGGCTGGAATCTGTGATAAGGTGTTAATTTGTGATTCAAATCGTAAAAAAGACCAATACATACCATGGGTGTGAGAATCGGCACCATTTGGCTGAACAAGGCCCAAGGTATGTTCGCAAGGGATAAACTCTTGCTCCCAGGCTTTTACTTCCTCTTGCTTTGTAAATGACATTGCAGTCATGACCCCATCAATCACTACTGGTAATTGGCCAGTCGTTTTATCGATATTATGCAATGCGCATTGGTAGCATGTTACAGACGTCGCAATATCATATCGGTCCTCTTCAGTTTCGGCCGCAATCGCAAGTTTCGAAATTTTGGGGGGTGGCTCATCTCTCTATCATGGCAAATGAGAACCCGGCGCCTCGTAATACCCAACTGTCAGGATGGCCTTACCTGAATTTGTTTTGGAGTCCGGCGGATATTCAAGGCTAAAGGATGCCCAAAACGTTGGAAATGAAGTAAAGAGTGGTTTCTGTCTCCAGCACAGCCGCCATTGAAGCAATGGAGACAAACGTTTAAGCCCTCGGCATCATCCTTGAAAAGATGAGATTTCAGTTAGGGAGCTAGGACTTTCAACAAGGGAAAGGGTGGAGTTACAATGCTGTCAAAACATTGAGTACAGTCCTCTCGATAAACTGTTTCAAAGGGACCCGGTGGACGAAGATCTGGCAAGGTCAGCTTGTCACTCCATGGATACAAGCATTCCTCTCACCAACCTGAAGCGCCTGAATGGACACAGGCCATCCTTCAAGGTTGAGATGGGCCTTGGACAAGGTAACAGGGGATGGGGAATGACGTGATAGATATCCTGAGATTTGTGGTGAGTGCGCGAGTAAGCCCCAGGGGAAAATATCTGTTACGGAAGAAAGATAAAAAGAAAACTAAAGCAAGGCAGAAGAAGCTCTCGACGTGGGGCAGATTGATTATATAATAGATGTGGGGAGTCTGAAGCCTGGAGTGCTGATAAAATCCGATGGCCTAAGGCCATGATATGGGTCACCTGAGCGGGGCCACTCTACGCGTTCTTTTGGTCCCGGACGCGTCGCGACTGATTCTCATTGTTACCACCGTCCTTGAACCTCTTCGCATTCAATCCTCTGGCTCCCATTCACCGAGGGTAGAAGAAAGATGGCCTCAGATGCAGCTTCTATGATCACTGTTGGGGCTCTCAGGTGAGTCTGTCCCAATCGTATAGAATGGTACAAAGCTTACACAGAAACCAGCGCCATATTCGATGATAGTAAAGAAGAGGCTCGGGAGCCGATCGTTCAATGTGTCCAGGTCAAACCCCTACCACCACAGCCGAATCACGAGGAACGGTATCGAGCTGTGTTCAGCGATGTTGCCAACTATGTCCAGACCATGCTTGCGACCCGTACGTTAGCCAAATCCCGACATATCGATGGTATTGTACTAACGTGTATCCCAAGAGATTAATCATGTGGTGACCAGCGGATCCCTTCGAAAGGGGTGTTTTGTTCGGTTAAAAAGCTTCCAGGCAAACTCTGTCAAAGGGAAAAAGTCAGTCAACTCAAGCAAGGTATCTTGCCTTGTATGTTTTATCTCTGCTAAACGACCCCTAGGATTTTGATTGTCTTGGACCTGGAAGTTTTGGAAGATTTGGGCGAAGCTGAGAAGATCGGTGAGCCGAAGCCTCTGGAGGTCAAGCCGGAAGAGCAAGACCGAGCGCAACCAACCACCATCTCCAGTAATGGTTTCTATGGATCCAAGGTTCAAGCTGTTCCGCAACAGGCACCTCGAACTTCTTCAGCAGCACGGGCCCCGTCTACATCTGCCCACACCACCATCTATCCCATCGAGGCAATCTCTCCCTACTCTAACAAATGGACAATCAAAGCTCGCTGTACCAGCAAGTCAAGCATCAAGACTTGGCACAACAAGAACGGTGAAGGAAAACTCTTCAGTGTGAACCTATTAGACGACAGTGGCGAAATTCGCGCAACCGGCTTCCAGGAGCAATGTGACATGCTATATGACGTCTTCCAGGAAGGCGGGGTTTACTACATTTCAAGCCCCTGTCGGGTTCAGATTGCTAAAAAACAATTCTCGAATCTCAACAACGACTACGAACTTACCTTTGAACGCGATACATTAGTCGAGAAGGTGAGAGTGTATAGTACTACCACTTCTTAGGCTACCTCAGTACTGACTAGAATCCGTCTTGTAGGCTGAAGACCAAAATGACGTGCCCCAGATACGATTCAACTTCACCACGATTGAAGATCTCCAGTCTGTCGAGAAGGAAACCACTACCGATGTGATCGGAATACTGAAGGAAGTGGCTGAAACCTCTCAAATTGTTTCGAAAGGAACTGGGAAGCCGTATGACAAGCGGGAACTTACTCTTGTTGACAATACTGGATTCTCTGTTCGTTTGACCATTTGGGGCGCCAGTGCTGTTAATTTCAATGTTGCCCCGGAATCTGTCATTGCCTTCAAAGGAGTGAAGGTTTCAGACTACGGTGGTCGTAGCCTGAGCCTACTGAGCTCTGGTTCCATGAGTGTTGACCCTGATATCAGCGAAGCTCACCGTCTCAAGGGTTGGTATGACGCGCAAGGCCGCACTGAGATATTCACCTCGCATGCATCACTTTCTGGTGCCACAAACTCGACTACAAGACCAGATCAGTTCAAGACCGTTGCCCAAGTTCGAGAGGAGCAGCTGGGCATGTCAGACCAACCCGACTACTTCTCGTTGAAGGCAACAGTCGTTTACATCCGTCAGGATTCTACTTGGTGTTACCCTGCATGCCTCTCTGAAGGTTGCAACAAGAAAGTGACTGAGCTTGACCCTGGACAGTGGCGCTGCGAAATGTGCGACAAGACACACTCTAAGCCGGAATACCGGTACATCATGCCTATTAGTGTGAGCGATCACACTGGCCAACTTTGGCTCAGCTGCTTCGATGACACTGGACGTCTGGTCATGGGGATGACCGCCGACGACCTCATGCAGCTTCGAGAAGATGATCCAACGGCCTTTGGCGAGGTTTTTCAAGAAGCTAATTGCCGCACCTGGAGCTTCCGGTGCAGGGCCCGAATCGATAACTTCGGTGACCAACAACGGTAAGTAGCCATGATAGCCTTATATACTCCTGAAAGTTCACTGACAGTGTTATCTAGTGTACGCTACCAGGTATCATCCGCGAAAACCATCAACTACTCGGAGGAGGCTTCTCGCCTGGCTGGAATCATTAGCTCTTACCACATAAATTAGATGCACCGCTCCTACGACATCTATCGTACCTATTTCCCCCTAAGGCTTATCATTGCGATATTTGCACCCCCGCTCTCTTTTTTTTTCTTGCTTGTATGCTATGATTATGATCTTCAGACGAGCTCTTAAACTATGATACAGCAGTAACTTCAAAGAAAAACGATATCCATACCACTCTATCTGCGAAAAATTCACAACTGCCGACTGTAGGGGATACATGGTAATTCGGAAATGTTTTGTAGGAGAGATAGTTTTGATTGAGGGCACCTATTTTCAGCTATTGATTGACCCCAAGGCGTGGAGAGTTTCTCCACGGTGGCAAGGGCGGCGACGGGCGGCAAATTGGTTTTTTGTCCTGTCTTTTTTTTTTTTGCGGCAGACTTGAAGAGGTAGCCAATTTGCATTGGACCGGCTGTACACCATTGCAGCATCCAATATTCAATACAACCGCTGCAATTGCTGTTCTGGACATGAACTAGAAATTTCTCATATCCAAACATGGGGAAACGCAGTCAAATCACCGAAGCTACCGAGCCTCGGCCGTCCAAAAAATCCAAGTCAGACAAATTAAACAAGCGCAAAGCCAAGCAAGATGAAGACGACAATGAAATTTCTTCGGCAGGAAAAAGCAGGTACTTCGAAGCTCCTGCCCTCAGCAACCTCCCGCAATCTCAAATCGATCTGTTTCTTGAGGAAAAAATCATCAAGTTTACCGATCCTACTGCCGATGGCACGGCCCTTCGCCCACTCATCTCGTTTGACTACTTACCAGCTTGCGACGGTGACTTGTATAGTCCGCTGAAAGCTTTTTCGAGCCCAACGCCCATCCAGGCTGCTACCTGGCCCCTTCTTTTCGCAGGCCGTGATGTTATTGGTATCGCAGAGACTGGTAGCGGCAAAACTTTGGGTTTTGGTTTGCCTTGCTTGAAGGGTTTAATGGACTCGAAGCGAAGCAGGAAGCCATACCACCCAGCAGCCGTAATCATATCACCAACCCGAGAGCTTGCAATGCAGATCTATGACCAGCTCCAAAAATTTGCGGAGGTCGCTAAGGCGGGCGTAACATGTATCTATGGCGGTGTGGGGAAGGATGCACAACGCGAGGCCCTGAAAACAGCAGCCATTGTGGTTGCCACCCCAGGCCGTTTGAAGGACCTTCAGAATGACGGTTCTGTCAACCTTGGGAAGGTCAAGTATTTGGTTCTGGACGAGGCTGATCGCATGCTTGATAAGGGGTTTGAACAAGATATCAAGGATATAATTCAGCCTATGCCCGTTTCTAGACGACAGACCGTTATGTTCACTGCTACCTGGCCTCGGTCTGTCCGCGATCTGGCACAAGGCTTTATGAAAACACCGGTGACTGTGACCATTGGTGGGGACCCCTCGGCGATCCTCGAGCAAACACGAGAATCAAGCAAGAAGTCGAGGTTGTGGATCCCAGGGACAAGGAGGGTCGACTCATCCAGCTCCTCAATCGTTCCCAGAGAGGACATAAAAACCCTGAGAAGGTTCTGGTCTTCTGCCTGTACAAGAAAGAGGCCATGCGAATTGAGAGACTCATCAAAACCAAGGGGTTCAAGGTCGCGGGGATCCACGGTGATTTGAACCAATCTGATCGATTTCGAAACCTTGAAGCCTTTAAAACGGGCAATGCTACCGTCCTTGTGGCCACCGACGTGGCTGCACGGGGATTAGACATTCCTGCCGTCAAGTTGGTCATCAATGTTACATTTCCTCTCACTGTTGAGGACTATGTCCATCGCATTGGACGAACAGGCCGTGCTGGAGCGGAGGGGCATGCCATTACCTTATTTACTGAGCAAGATAAGGGCCTAGCAGGCGGGTAAGTAACCCCAACTGCCAACTTCCAATGCTATTCCTTTTCTTCAACCCGTGTCTAATAATGTTGGGCAGACTGGTCAATGTTCTCAAGGCTGCCAAGCAAGATGTCCCAGAGTCCTTGTTGAAGTTCGGCACTACGGTCAAGAAGAAGCAACACGATGCATACGGTGCATTCTTCAAAGATGTCGACACTGAAAAAAAAGCAACCAAGATTGTGTTTGATGATTAGGGCTGATAATATTATTCTGATTTTGATTTTGCGCCGCGAGAGGGTATCAAATAGTGAAACCTATCCCACTGCTTTAAGACGTAGCGCCTTTCGACAAATAAACTGATATGTACTATTAGCTGTCATGGCCTCGTATTGGGAGAGGAGAAGGGGGTGAATCATGGTTGCAGCAAAACCAGGCAAAGGGAATCACAAGTTGACTCACATCAAAAGGGTGTAGGCAACACTTATTGCTGTGCTTGGGATCATCTTCGAAAAGAGGTCTGGAAAGTCCATAGTGGCCTGTGTCGCTGTTGCAATGGCTACCAACGCAAACGTGACAGGCCGAACTGCCACTTCTCTAAGACTGAGACCATCTCCTTGTTTTTCAAGGTATGATTTAATGAATAAGTAACTCCATAGAGTTCGAACCACCATGTTCACAATGTTCGCCAACACCAGCCCGTACGCACCCATAGCTCCAACCTCTAGGAATAAATAGGCTGCTAGGGCATAGCAGGCAGAAAATGCGCCCATCCAAGCTGTTTGGCTCCTTATTTCTCTTGAGTCGGCTGACGACGACACAAATGCTTCAGTTATTCCGTTGAATGCAAGAAACGGGATGTAATAACAGTAGAGCGATAGAAGGCCCCGATTTTGGACGAAGCCCATCGTTGACCGCCAATGATATGCAGTACATGTGGTACCATGACTGGTCCGATGGGGAAAAGCAGAATTGACAGGAGTTCATAAGCCTGAAGAACGTCGACTAGATGCACCTTGGCGAGGCGAATTTGATTCCTTTTGCGTTGTCCGCTGTCATCAGGATTCAGCAACATGGAAAACAAATTGCGGCTACTTTCTTCAAGAGGCTGAAAGACAATACGAGCCAAGAGCCCGCCATAATTGGCGGCCAAAGAATATATCCCTTGGTCTTCCAGGGTGGATAGAGCAGCAAGCATCATCGAGTCTCCCTGAGTTAGTAGGTGCTTTACCAGAGACTGGAAAAACACACTCGCTGCCACGGTCATCAGCTGTCGAGAAAACAGCCCGAAGAGATAATCTGGATTTCCACTACTGAACGCATTAATCGCTTTCCCGCTTTCCCACTCCAGGAACGTACAACTTACCGAGGTGATAGTTTCGTCAGGAGAAATGAAAACGATCGCTCGTTACCACGTCGTAGAAGAGACCACCAGTAGCCCCCGATCAAAGTGGCTGAGTAGCTGAGAAAACCGAGTGCAAAAGGCAGGGTCCCAGCATTATATCCCCGTCGAGACAGATACATAAAGGACATACATGTTGTAATGCTTTTGAGTAACGCCGCAGGCACCTCCGCCGTAGCACGCTTATCATACCAAAGTTGCTGCTGGACAATAGCAAAACAGGGTTCTATACTCAATTCCAAAAGCACTGCTAGTCCTGTTATACCGACACTGATGCCAAAGAAAGGGACTGCTTGGGTCTGCTCGGCGGCAAAGTGTTGATAGAGAAGGGTAAACACCAATACAGATGGGAAGCCAAGCAAAATGCTCAGGTACGATATGTTGACCACAGACTGAGATGCAATGGCAGGTGTAGTGGCGGGATCTTGGTTTTTCTTTGGGCCATCATGGACGCTGGAGTCGCCTGGTACAGACCCTGATAATAACGGCTGTCGCTGTATAGCCAGCCGGATACTTTCCCTCGAGAAATATAGGATCGAGACTTGGTAAAGCTCCAACTGAGCAGCAGCACCTAGCACCACCGGTGATAAAGCCCGCAAAATCAGCTGATTTGAGGCAAATGTGAACACACGCGAAGCCAATTGAATCAATATCAAAAACTTCGTTCCAGAGGCAGATGATGCGAGCACTTCACCGACAGAGGAAGGGTTGGCATGCGACATCGCGAAAAGATGATTGAAAGAAGTTGCGTGGTGGCCCAGACTGTACTTATCAATGCGGCAATAGCAAGCAATGGCCTCACGTGGACGGAACTATAATTGTCGATACGAAGCACCCCAAGGGCCAACGTGTCTATCCATCGACGGACCGCTTAGTGTTCCGGGGCCCAGCCGCTTACGTACACGAAGATTATGGGGGCACGGGCATTTGGCAGACAATCTTCCGAGATTGCTGCCCAGATCTACGGGAGTTAGCCTATTTGCAGGTAAGGCCATTTGCCATCCAAGGTCTTTGTATCGACCTACAGAAGGAGGCCAGGGATCCTGACAAGGTCTGAGCGAAAGGTGGTGGGGAACAATGTAGAACACGGCAACCCCTTGAAGATCGAACATTGGTTGAGTCAACAGTATAAGCTGTGGGAATGATGACCAAGAGGTGGTTTGATTGATGTACAGTAGTGAATACATGTCGCCAGCGACAGGGCACGCAGGAGCCAGCAGGATCCTGAACACTCATCGTCTGAATGTGAGGGGTCAACAACAAGTCTATGTCCCTCGCAGATATTGTTGTATGGTTGGGAATATGCTACTAGTCTTCCTCTTCCGCACAAGCTGATCCCATAGCCCACCGTACCGGAAGGCTCAGAATGGAGGGAGGTAGAATGGATAGCCAGCATTCTTAGTCTTGAACACGCTGAGCAGCAAACTGTATGTTCCGAAAAGCAATCCACCCCAAATCAAGACCGCTACTTGTTGTCCTTTGACGTCTTCCATTCGAGGGACCTTGACCGCGAGTGCAATAGTAGCGAAAGATAAGACAGCATCTAGTTTCACGGTAATGACGGTCAGGAGCAGTCAATTGTACTGAACCAGGGGGTGACTTACATATGGCGGCCACAATTTGGGTCTCCATACCAAACTGGTTCTGGAACCCACCGGCGAAATAACTGATCCCTCCACGTCCATCTCCAGCGACATAGGGAACCTTCCTGATATGATTGAACATCTGGCCACTTGTGAATAAGAGAACAGCGATCAAGCTAATAGCCGCCCAAAGATTCCGGTTCTGAATGATTGGCAGTACATAGGGCGAGAGGACGGTGAACAACGTGACGACTCCCATCAAAATCGTGATGGCGGAAATAATACGCATGTAGTTGATAGGTCGCACCAGAGGAGGGATAGGGCCATCAGGAAGGTGACGAGAAATCCACGCATAGAGTTGGTCGGCAGAAAGAGGTCTAGACACAGATCAGAGATTAGCCACCACCCCGGTACCAATGGCAGATAAAGGTCCTGCAATGCACATAATCCGACATACCCTGTAAAATCGAACCTCGCTGGGTCGGTTTCCACTTTAGCAAATGGTCCAAAAGTGGGGGGGGAATAAGAGAACAACGGGAGCTGTTTGAAGCATGTACTATTGATCTTGTAAGTGACTCAAGCTCAGGCAATTGAGGTTCAAGCTGATTTCGCGTACCTTCTGGAAAACCGCCTTGCCCTGATCAAAATCAACGGTGCCAAAGACCATTTTTAAGTCATCAGGCTTGCTTCCTTTATTCCAGCTGCGGGAGATGAAATTCCACTCCGAGTCAAATTCACGACACATGAGACAGCCATACCGAGCATCCTTTGCTGTGAGGATAACTGCAGTAAAATAATCGCGCGGTGCCGATGTGAGCTCTTCAAATGCCGCACTATCTAGGTCAACCGGGCCAGATCGAGAAAGCGACTGATATTTCTGGAGCTTCTCAGCAGACGAACTGGCAGCAAACACACCAGAAACAACAGAAAGGGCTAGAACAAAAGGAGCCCAGGGCTTCATTTTGGCATTGAGGACTTGAATGAGCTGCAATAAGACGCAATTGACTATGGGGAGGAGAGCGGTTGGCAGAATGTTGAAAGGTGGCCCGAATTATGTAAGAGTGATCTCCGCCCCCGGGGCCGCTCCACTCGTTGATTTGTTTTGCTTAAACGCGGACCCGCTCCAGTTCGGCTTGTCCCCGCGCGCCGCGTTCAACCCTCTTGAGCACACCTCCACCGAATCAACATGATGGCGGGATTAACGGAGCCTTCGCTTTTTGGACGTGGGTATTCCTCTAGTTTATCATTAATCGCATGCTTTTTTATCTGACTCCAGACAGTGCCAAATGTCAATCAAAACAATTCTCCTGGAAAAAGAATATGAGAAGACAATTGCGGATTCTACGCGGTTACTAGACGCCGAGCGGGATCGTGCAAGGCGAATGGAGTACTTGCTCCTTCAATTCGAAAGTGAAAACCTGCGTTTGCAGCTGGATGAAGCCAACGCACGTCTGCAGGGGTCTGCGCGTACTGAAGCCGAGATGTTGCTTCAACTCGATCACGCTTGTCAAGAAATCAGTCGCCTGGAACGGGGCGCTGCGATTTCTTCCAGCGAGATTGGAAATCTCAAGGTAAGGCTCGAATTTGAAGCCGAGCTCCACGGTGATTGTACTGTCATCTGAACATGGCATAGGCTGAATTATCTACCTTGAACGAATCGTCAACAAGCCACAAAAAGTTGATGTCGGAGAACGTCCGTCTTTCTCGTGACGTGGCAAATCTTACATCCGAGCTAGAGCGTCTAAAATCTCAGAGCGCCTCTCAGCAGGCAGCTTCGGTTGGGAGATCGGAGATAGAGCGGCAGCTAAACGCGTTAGAGGTCGAACTTGAGAACGAAAGGCATGCTCATGAGCGGACACGTGCAAAGGGAGTACAACAGGCAGCTGGCATGAATGCTCTGATGGCTAGGATTGAAGAACTTCAAGGGGAAATTGTCAGAGAATCGCGAGCAAAGCAACAACGCGAAATCGATGAGCGTCAGCAATTCACAGCATGGGAGAACAAACGTTCCGCGCTTGAGAGCAAAATTGAAACATTAAAGAAGCAATTGCGATCGACGAAAGACAAGCTCCAGGAAACCCAGCACGATCTGCAACAGAGACGCAGCTTTGCGCGAGTCGGCGCCGATGAAGAACCGGAGCCTCGGACACGGATGGTTCCTCTTCAGCGTGCTGGCTCTAGTGCCAATTACCAGGAAGGGGTTACTATTGCAACCCCAGGGGCGGTTCGAGTACAAGATAAAGCAAATAGGCAATCGGCTCTGCCAGGTGATAAGTCCGTATTTTCTATAACTCCATTTTTGAACAGAACTGGAGCTCCAAGGGACTCATCCACTAGCTCAGAGGCAGAGGAAGACGAGCCGAGGGATAAGATTCCAAAGCCAAGCGGATTGCCTGACAAGATTCGCACCTTGAACGGCATGGGCATGGCTGTGGCTGGTGATGGTTCCCCCGAGCCGATTCCCGGGAAACGACCCTTCGCAGCCGTTTCAAAATCATTTTCTAAAATCCACGAAGACCAGCCTCTCAGTATATCAAGGAAAGCATCTACTACTATACCAAGGAGAGATGCAGGCGACCCTCGAGACACGCTTGTCGATCCAGGGCAGGCGAGGCAACCTAGAAAACGCAAGCTAGGTGCCCAGCGTGGAGACCGGGCCTTATTTGATGAGGATGTGGAGGAAGGAGCCTTTGAGGGTAAAAAGCCAGGGCGTAAGGTCGGGTTAGGAGGAAGCCGACCGTCGGCATTCACTACGTCGCAGCCGCCTGGAGCACCTTCAGGAGCTGAAAGATTGCCGCGAACTCTAGGGCTTGGAACATTTTCGCCTCTGAAGCGTGACCGTAAGCGGTGAAAAGAAAATCATTCATTCTCTTCTATTTGATATCCTGTATATGAAAGTAAACGCCTCCTCGTATAAAGGCGGCGAGCCCCGGAGTTTGCCGGCAGAATATCAGAGCCTCTCATATCGTGCTTTGTTCGAGTCAAAAACAGCTTCTCAAGTAGCCAATCATGCTGGTTCTTTCTTTCCTTCGACCAGTTCAGAGAACTTATCCCTTTGGACTACTTAGACAAGTCCGCTTCTCATCATCTAGGCGATGGCAAGCGCGTCAACATAAAGATCAATTTACCCGTGAGGCAGCGGTTCAAGGCTTGAAAAGCCGTGCTGCGTTCAAGCTATTACAAGTAATAGAGGAGTCTCCTACCTTGCGGGTCAGCAGACGGATTAACGGATTATAGATTGATGAAAAATATCGAATTTTCAAACGTGGCCAGACTGTTGTTGACTTGGTACGTTGACTGCTTATGCTACACCTCCCCTGAAAAACTTAGAGCAATTTTCTCACGGCTCAACTTGCATCAGGGGTATGCTCCGGGGTCATGGTCACAAGTGAGTACTTTTACGGGCAGTAGAATTTGAGAATTGTGTCTCTTACTCGAATTTAGGTTGCCGTCGGTCGCACCCAGCCTAATGGACGGGTGCTTGGGGTTGATATTATCCCTGCCCAGCCACCGAGGGGAGTCTCGACCATCCAGGGTAATTTTCTCGCCCCCGAAATACAGGCCTACATCAAAGAGTTCTTGCGCAGCCCGAATAGGGGGCGGCCCCGCCAGTCCGATGTTTTCAGCGATGTCGACCTCAGCCTGCTAGAGCCCGAGCAAGCAGTGCAATCAAGGATCACTGATACTGCCAGTACCGGTACTGGAAGCACCGATAGATATCTTGACAGAACGGTGGATGTGGTTCTCAGTGATATGTCAGCTCCCTGGTACCAGACATCCGGCTTTTGGAAGCGAAGTCTAAGTAATCCTTATAACAGGATGATGAACACTAGCGGTAATAACTTTAGAGACCACGTCGGAAGCATGGTATGCTGTCAATGTCCGAACCATTATTCTACATTGCTGATAATCAAAGGATCTTTGTCACGCCGCTTTATCTTTCGCCACGGTTGTCCTCAAGGTGGGAGGGCATTTTGTGTGTAAATTCTACCAGGGTGCCGAGGATAAGGAGTTGGAGAAGGAGCTGAAAGACAGGTTTCAGAAGGTTCACCGACTTAAACCGGAATCATCTCGAAGCGTAAGCCTCTTGTTGTAACGTCATTCGAGGATAACAGCTGAATTCGCGAGCCAGGAATCCAAAGAGGCGTTCTTTGTCGGCTTAGATCGCAGAGAATAAGTCTTTTGGGTCTGTCCAAGTACTACAGAATTTCCATTCCTTCGTGCTCGTCATCGGAAGGTTCTTCCCAATCGACATTGGCTAAAGCCGCTTCGGCTTTCTTGTGGACCTGGAAATATCCGTCAGCTGTCACTGGACATATCATTGACCGTTTGAAGAGAGACCCACCTCCTTGAGTCCACTCAGCTCTTCGACATATCCTGGTTCATTCAATGCTCGTCGCACGAAGCCCCAGCCCTCTTTCTTATACTCATTTGTCACGGTTTCTGAACAAGCGCTGCAGCAGGTGTAGCTCTTGCCAGTCACCGTGATGTTTTCAAAGGTAGCAAGAAAGCCTCGAATTTGGTGCGGCACTAGCCCGAGAGGGTGGTCTCCACGGTCATCCTCTCGATTCAACGGGGCCGGTGCTGCGGCGCCTCTTGGATGCTGTAGAACCGAAACAAGCAATTCCACAAGAAGCGCAGAAGCGATTGCCGCAACGCCTGGACGAGTGACAGTACACTGTTGGTCAAGAGTCTGGTCTTTGATGGACTGTGATGATATCAGTTCCGTGCGTGTCTTTTGGGGAGTTTTAGGGGTATAGGCTGACATTTGCTGGGGCTACCACGTCGTTACAAAAGTAGCACCCAAGATCTGCCGGTTTGCCGTCTTCTACAATACCATGACGCATTACGACATATGAATCAAATCCCAGCGCGGCGTTCATCACAATCTTGCCTGCGGACTTGCCTATAACGGTGGGTAGCCATCGAGATTCTCGAGTGTCCATGAGAAGAAATATCGCGTCATGTTCTTCGATGAGGGCTCGCAGAGCTTCAAACTCCGCTCGAGTCACATCCTCATCTACAATGGGATGACCCGCCATGGGAACAGATAGTTGATGCCCCGCGGTGTCGACCCCTGGGTAAATCTCAGTCAACGCTTCGGACGCTCTTGTAGCCTTAGCCGCTCCGCCGTTCAGACAGTCTTGAAATGTAAATAATGGTTGTCGAACGGGATTAGAGAATGAAACATTGCCCTTGTCCACAAACGTGATCTTTCTGACTCCCCAGCCCTAGATCACCGTCAGCCATTTGATTGTGCCGCCATTCAGTCGAATGTATCGGTTTCCTTACCAGCAGATTTCTAGCCACGTAACTTCCGAGGGTACCGGCTCCAAGTAAAAGGCATTTGGTTCCTTTTATTCTCTCAAGATTCAATGTTGGGCTGATCCGCCATTTCATGAGTTTGAGATTGAGGTCGACTGACTGATCTGCGAGTCTGTACCCGACAAGTTAGTCTGAGGCTTTGTTATAGGCAAACTGACCTGCTTTACCTTTTTGGATCCATGTAATCAGTCAAGTTAACAATCCTCCCTGCTAGTTTCCCCGCCGGATTACGCTCCCAGCCCGTGATTTTAGGCATCTTTCCTGGGCTTTGCGGTGGTGACAATGGACCCGAGTTAGTATTTGAAGTAGTTGTCATTTGAATCACGGTGCTGCGGCTTTGATCTCGCTTGGACGGTGTATCGCGGTATCGAAGAATTTGAATGTTATCCAGTCTCCACCGTTGTTTGACTAACACCAAAAGATTTCGCAACATCCAACCGGAAGCGTGGTCGTAGTTCGAGGGATCCGCAAAACATATGTAACGATCCTTGAGAGCCGCGCCAGTGAAGAATCCATTTTCATACTCAGAGAGAGCCGCTACCTGCCAGACGCTTCCAGCTTCCGGTCTTGACGCCCTCTTTTGCTTGCGAGCTAGAAAGAACCCATGCTGTCGGTCATCGGTGATAGATTTCCACTCCTGCACAGCATCTACAAGCGGCGCAGTGTCGTTTACCGAGAGGGGCTGGGCTTGAGAGCTGTCTGAATCCACGAGAGTCCACGGCTGATCGGAGTGAAGGGCTGGGAACCCGAACCAGTAGTAAAACTTATATTTCTTGAGATCCGCAAATGACACGATAATGAAAGACGACAAAAGAGAAGGACAAGAGTAAATGGTACCGTCCTTGATGGCATCCCATATCTTTCCAGGGTGTTAGCATGGCTGTTGAAATGACTCAAAAAAGAAGAATAAAAAGCTGATTCAGTCTAGGGGCTCTCATACTGTCTTGCCTGCTTGGACAATCATCTGCGTCTTGTCCAGGCTGCGATAATCTTCGATGGTATTGACATTCTTGATCATGCCTTCAGCGCGATAAAAACCCGAGGGTGTCCTAATGAATGCGTGAGTAAGGACGGGAAACGTTTCCAGTCTGCGAAGTGGCCTTACTCGTTACTGGTGAGTGCATTGCCGTGTATTTGCATACGACACGAGACATTTGCGGGATCTGTAGCGCGGATCTCATAGAGACCAAGAACCGAGCGGGGGGGAGTCATTCAGCTTGTCATGGTTGATTTTGTGTGACGCGAGTGCCGTATAGAACGGCAACTCGATATCTGAGGCAAAGGGCGTGTACTGCATGCTGGCGACAGAGCCTCGCAAGTATATCGAGGAGAGGAGACCCAAATAAATGAGGGGGGAGTGGGGTGCGGGGTGATGTAATCCCGAGCCCACGCGCGCGACCGCAGATCAGATGCGTTGGACGTGTGCCGTTTGTATAGTTTGCTTCCCGTGCCCAATACGCGTGCTTCGTCCACGGGACCGAGAGCCTTTCTTCGACCATATAGCTTGACCCCCAATTTTTCTGTCGATCACTTTGAAATGCTCATTGGCTTATGTGGAGGTCAGCAGAAGATTCTCTGAGGCTTTGCCCATCCCATCGATACTAATCCTGATTTCAAGGCATCTGCGCTGGCAAACATGCAATCGCGGAATATTTGATCCATAGCCAAGGTTTCCAGCGCTTGGAACTGAACCCAAAGCCTCCTACCTACTTTGGGGACGAGCCGGGTGACAATCTACGGCTTCAAGCGTCTGATATCAGAAAAAACGAGGATTCCCCACCACATCTAGCCTTCGAGACCGCAGATGCCCTGCTGGATTTTGTAACGAAACGATGGCAAGAACGCTGGGTGACGACCGATATTGCAGATACTGCGACCCTTGATCGGTTTGTGTTACGGCCCTTTTTCCTGCTTGTTAGTGTTGATGCTCCAGTGAGCCTACGCTGGAAACGATTCACCGACCGGTTCGTCCCTCCATGTCGCATTCATTCGCGGTATCTAACCCACCTAACCCATCATCGTGGCTCTACAGATGCTGGAGACGACAATTGGATCCTCCAGATCTTGAGAAATTTGTATTATGGAACGATCGTCATCTCTACCAGAAAAATATCGGGCGAGTATACCTAACAGATCGTGCCCAAGTACGCCTCTTCAACTCATCCTCCTCTCTCGATGAGCTTCATACGTCTCTTAAAAAGCTTAACCTTGCGGATGAGCAGCGACTTAGGCCAAATTGGGACCAATACTTTATGCAACTTGCGTCTCTTGCCGCGCAGCGAAGCAATTGCATGAAACGACGCGTGGGATGCGTTCTAGTCCGAGAGCGACGAGTTATTAGCACTGGTTACAATGGGACCCCTCGGCATCTTCCAAATTGCAATGAAGGTGGATGTAAGGCAATTTCAGACCTAACGTTGGCTGGTTATCACTAATCCTCTCCTAGGTCCGCGCTGTAACAGAGGAGACGGCGGCGGAGTAGGCCTCTCAACCTGTCTTTGCTTACATGCCGAAGAAAATGCGCTTCTAGAAGCCGGTCGAGAACGTATTCGAGAGGGGGCAATCCTTTACTGTGATACGTGCCCTTGTCTGACCTGCACTGTCAAGATAACCCAAGTTGGGATATCAGAGGTGGTTTACTCGCAAGGGTACAATATGGACAGCGATGTATGATATGACCGAGTATGTTGACGAAACCTTTGGCTAATACCTTTGTAGAGCGCCGCCATCCTCGAAGCGGCCGGTGTTCGTCTACGACAATTCAGCCCGGTAGGATGCAGCCTCCCTTCTCCCCCTTGCGCTGAATTTATATGGTTATTTGATAATGAACGCTAACTGCGACAATCAGCCCTCCAATGGGCTCATTTATTTGCAGGACGCGGGCCCATTAGCCACTTAGAAATTTCCATAGATCAAATCCAAGACTCCTAAGACGTCCTGGCCCCGAGGAAAGGGATGGCCCATTAGATCCTTGTAGAGCATGCCTCGATGCGTGCGGGGAGTCGATTTGGCTGGCAGAAAACCCGCGGGGCGTGACTCATCCCGGCCAAATTTTGGAGGGGTAGAAATATAAATGATTCCGTACCATTGGACCCTCTCCAGTTGCAGGACAGCGCAGCCAGTCTCATAGGCTACAATCAAATTTTGGTCATGCCGACCGTGCACCTTCTAGACTATGTCGCGGGCAACATTCGCTCTTTGGTCAATGCGATCAATCAAGTCGGGTATGAGGTGGAATGGATCAAATCTCCCGAGGATGTCAAAAAAGCAGAGGTCTGTGGTCTTTTCGCACTTTGAAAGAAGATTGGACTGACAGGAACATACCTCATTCAGAAACTGATCCTTCCGGGTGTCGGTCACTTCGGTCATTGTCTTTCGCAGCTCGACAAGGGCGGCTTTTTGGGCCCCATTCGGGAACACGTCGATGCCGGGAAACCTTTCATGGGAATCTGTGTCGGCCTACAGGCCCTCTTCCAAGGGTCAGAGGAGGACCCAAATTTTCCTGGGCTGGGCTTAATCCCAATTCATATTCAGAAGTTCAAGGATGTGTCTAAGAGCGTACCTCACATAGGATGGAACTCGGCGATCAATTCTGCAGCCAATGAACGGAGCTTCTACGGACTAAGACCGACCAGCAAATACTATTACGTCCACTCGTACGCAGCCCCCTACACGCCCGGTATCCTTGAGGCGGAAGGCTGGTCTGTTGCCACAGCTACTTATGGTGATGAGGAGTTTATCGGTGCAATCAGCCGCGGAAATATATTTGGAACACAATTTCATCCAGAAAAGAGCGGTGTTGCTGGTCTAAGAGCCATTCGAGCTTTCTTGTCTGGTGACCAATTCCAGTCACTTTCCCCGGATTCGATCGTTGGCAAGAAGGATGGTCTGACACGTCGTGTTATTGCCTGTCTCGATGTGCGCACAAATGACACAGGCGATCTTGTTGTTACCAAAGGTGACCAATATGACGTCCGTGAAAAGGCGGGCGTGAATGCGGGTGGTCAAGTCCGCAACCTTGGGAAGCCAGTGGATATGGCGAAGAAATATTATGAGCAAGGCGCGGACGAGGTCACTTTTTTGAATATCACCTCTTTTCGAAACTGTCCATTGGCAGATACTCCTATGCTGGAGATTCTACGAAGGGCATCAGAGACTGTTTTTGTGCCATTGACCATCGGCGGCGGAATCAAGGACACCACGGACACTGATGGCACAGAGGTCACCGCGCTGGAAGTCGCGACTATGTACTTCAAGTCAGGAGCAGACAAGGTCAGCATTGGCTCAGATGCCGTCTTTGCTGCAGAGGATTACTACCAAGCCGGAAAAGCCCTAGGTGGACGGACCGCCATTGAAACGATCTCCCAAGCATACGGTAATCAGGCCGTGGTGGTAAGCGTGGACCCCAAACGGGTTTATGTGGATCGTCCAGAGGACACCACTCATCATACTATCAAAACCGCCTTTCCCAATGCGGCGGGTCAGGAGTTCTGCTGGTACCAGTGTACGGTCAAGGGAGGCAGAGAAACCCGAGATGTTGATGTGCGGCAGTTGGTGCAGGCTGTAGAAGCAATGGGGGCTGGAGAGATTTTACTGAATTGCATTGATAAGGACGGCAGTAACAGTGGGTTTGACTTGGAACTCATCAATGATGTCAAAGCGGCTATCAAAATCCCCGTCATAGCTTCGAGTGGAGCAGGCAACCCTGGTCATTTCGCCGAGGTGTTCAAAAAGACCCCGACTGATGCAGCTCTAGGCGCAGGCATGGTAAGAGAGACCTTAAAGCTCCCTCCGAGATGATATGACACATGCTCACGCTTTGAAACAGTTCCACCGAGGCGAATACACTGTTAGCCAGGTCAAAGACCATCTCCAAGCGGAAGGCTTCCTTGTACGGCAATTCGAGGCCCAGATTTGAAGACCTCAACAAAACTTCCTTAGAAAAGGCCAGTGATGTATTTGAAGGTGTGCAAAAGGGTGTGGTAGGTTGCATTCATGACTTTATACACTTAGAATCATTAAAAACGCGGGTACCGTTACTTTGTGCCATTGCTCTTTATAAAACTGGAACACTTTCTCCATCGTGTCAGCATAAGTGTTCTCCAATTGTTAGTTATACGAAGCTGAAATTCCAATCGGTGCCACTCCGACTTCGGAAACCCTATCGAAAGATCGCGATGACTAACAGAGCGGTGTGTGAGGCGGTGTGCTCTGACTTTTCATGGATCGCCACTCCGCTCGCTCACTTCCTCTTTACATCCCCTCTCCTTGGCGGGAGAACACCATCTTACCTTCCCTTGGACCACCTCTACCCCGAACCCCAATTTTTGACCTCCTTACTGCCTTATTTCTCTGCGAACCCCAGATTCTACTACTTTCTTCTACTCTGACCCAAGTACCAACCCCTCGAACAGCGACTCTCACATAGGCCCAACCGTGAGTTTTCGGCGAGTTCAATTTTAGGTGACGGAAGGTGGCTCTGCGAAAGACAGGGACTGGTTTTCCTGTTTCTTTTCCCGGGCGACGAGTTTTCTTTCGACCAGTGTATTCATCAGTTCTTGCTCTTCATTTGTATGCAGTGTGATTGTTCACCTCACACAAGAGAGATTTCTTTGCAATTTTATCATCTTCCAACATCCTGATCAATAGGCTCTGACGTTATTGGTTCTGGATACTCTGCCCTAGAGACCTTTGATACTTCACTGCTACCCTTCCATTTTCCCACCTCACGCATCCTGCCCCTTCGCACCTTGTACATCCGTCCTCGTGGTAGTGCCCGCAAGGTTTTATGATTCGAATGATTTGCTGAGCAGCTCCTTTTCCTTTGCCTCAACACACTACACCCCCCCCCAGACACAGCTCAATACAATGTCATCCTCCGTTCATTTCAAATTCAAGTCTCAAAAGGAGCCCTCGCGGGTCACTTTTGATGGCACTGGTATATCTGTCTTCGAGCTGAAGCGTGAAATCATCAGCCAGAGTAGATTGGGCGACGGGTCCGACTTTGAGTTGTCCATCTACAACGAGGATACAGGAGAAGGTAGGTTGTGCAATCTTGTCCCTTTGACCATTCTCTCTAACCAACCTAGAATATGACGATGATACGACTATCATACCCCGCTCCACGTCAGTGGTAGCTCGTCGCCTGCCTGCAGCACGTCCAGGAAAAGGTGGCGCTGCTCGATACGTGTCGGGCAAGATGCCAGTGAATGCGCGCAATGCCTCTCGCACCGAACCTCCCCTCAATCGTGCTGCACCTGGAGCCCAGTCCGTCAACAGCAATGTCTTAGAACTCAATAATGCGCAGACAGAAGAAGAAAAGATAAATGCTCTCTTCAATCTACAGGCTAGTCAATGGCAAGAACAGCAGCAGGAGATGGCCAAGTAAGTCGACTCAGTTACGTTTGCGATGTCCTACCCAGAGAAGACACTAACTTACTGGTTACAGCGCCACCCCGATACAATTTGGTCGTGGTCGTGGAAAACCGATCAATGTCCCTGATCACCCTCCGCCTCCTGGGTACCTGTGCTATCGGTGCAGAGAAAAAGGTACATATTATTTAATCTATGATGTTCCCCTTTCAAAAGCAGAAAGGCTGACAGTTTGCAGGCCATTGGATTCAGGCATGCCCCACAAACAACGACCCGAAGTTCGACGGCAAGTATCGTGTGAAACGATCCACTGGGATTCCAAGATCCCTCCAAACTAAGGTTGAGAAGCCGGAATCGCTGGCACCCGATGGATCCAGCGACGATTCGAGAAACACGGGGGTCATGGTCAATGCTGATGGTGATTTTGTCATTGCAAAACCAGACAAAGCATCTTGGGAATTGTATCAAGAAAAGGCTAAGGCATCTGCGGCAGCGGCAGCTGAAGCTGCGGCGGCGGAGGAGAGCAAGGTGTTGCAGGCTCGAGGGCTGGAATGCCCCATTGATAAGAGAATGTTCTTAGAGCCAACGAAGACTCCATGTTGTCAAAGGACTTATTGCAATGATTGTATCTCCAATGCCTTGATTGAAAGTGATTTTGTCTGTCCGGGGTGCTCTACTGAAGGAGTTTTGCTGGATAATCTCACCCCAGATGATGACGCAGTTTCCAAAATCAAAGCCTACGAGGCCGAAAAAGCAGAGGCCAAGAAAGAGAAAGAAAAGCAAGGATCCAATCCAGAAGAATCCGCCGCCCGGGAGGCTTCCGAGCAAGATCATCCGAAGAGCTCGAAATCCAAGGAGCAATCCCCGCCTCAGTCTTTGGAGACCGACGACAGACCCTCACAATTTAAGAAGAGGCCCGCTGAGAGTGAGCGGGACGCCTCTGAATCAAGCCCTGATACGGACGCAGCAGCAAAGAAACAAAAGACCGATGGCAGTTCAGATCCATCTAGTCAACCCCATTACAAACCCAAGGATACTCTTAGTGGCAATGCGCAAATGCCGATGAACACCCAGCCGCCGTTTGGGGGTTTTAATGGGATGCCTCCCCCTTTTCCTGATACTGGGTTTGGAAACGATACAATGGGGTTCATGAACCCTATGGCTATGCCCGGAGGATTCCCCAACCCGATGGGCCCAGGTTGGAACCCGATGAACATGCCATTCAATCCCATGCAACCTGGTATGTTCGGTGACCAGTCTAATGGGTTCCCTAGCATGTTCAACGGCGACCCTTCAATGAACATGTTCCCAATGGCACAAATGGCAGTCTCTATGCAAAACCCGGGATTTCAAGGTCCAAGTGTCGGTCATTTCTCGAACCAGCAGCGCACAGCATTCAGTGGGCCATATTCGCGAGAAGAGGACTCGCCGTACTTTCGTCAACCCGTGAATCCGCAGCGTCATCAGGCTAGACATCGAAGGGTCAGACCGAGTGACTATCGAGAGTTATGATGAAGATGAACACTTGGCTCTATGTGGAATGGTATCGAACTGGTACCCGCTGAATTCAGCTGGCGGCGCAGTGTGTTTCCATTCCTCTTACGATGACTGCTATGGATGTTCCTTTCTCCTTTCTCCTTTCTCCTTTCTTTTTTTTTTGTCTTTCACCTTTTTACTTCCTTATTCCTTCTCTATCTTTGGCCCTTTCGTGGTTTGCTTCGTTCTTCCTCTCCCCCTTTTGTGCTCTTGCATGAGTTCTGCAACAGTGTCTATCGAGACATTGTGTGGGATAGTTGCATTTTCAGGTCTTGCCATATGTATTTCTAGCCAGTCATCATCCCGGGGTTTCATTTCCCCCCACATCTTTCTATATGGCGATTTACTAGTCAATAGAGAATTTTCAATGCAGAGGATCATTCTTACTATGCTTGCCCTGCTCCTCGTAACAGCCTTTTTTAAAATAGTGGTGAATACTAATACGTTAGTATCCTTCCTCAAAGGTAGTTGTGTACACACTCAGGGAGACTCTTAGATGACAGAGTAGATACTGTAACTAACTAAGTAGTTAGTGAAATGGAATTCTCGAGTACAAGACTGCCCCAGTAGCCCCACCTGCTGACTCCCCAGAACACGTGATTTAGCCATACGACAGAAAACCATCATCTCACCGATTCATCTTGACAGTATCCATTCCACCACCAAGACATCTCCGTCAACCTTATGTTCCTCCTCCCGATCTGCCAACCATCATTTGATTATCAAGATAAAGACAACAACTACCATGGCGAAATACATCAATAGCCACAGTAGTAATCTCGCCAGAATGACTCAGTTGCTCGATCAAGAGTCTACTGCCTTGGCCAGCTGCTACTCCGTTGAGTCCTCCACTGCCAAGGTCCAGGGATTCCACTATTGCACTACCCCGGGCACCGGTAAGCTTGGCCTCCTTGCCGCTAATTCCGCACCCTTTCCTCACATGTCGCATTAGGAGCCCAGTGGTATGCCTGAGGTCCCCTCAGGGATTAAATCGACTATACTAAGCCCTCCCCTCGACATCCCGGCTGCCAGTGCCGAACGAAACTGGCCAGGGATTACTCAGCCCGAGCATAAAGGGGAGGCAACGCATACTATTCCGGAAGAGTGTGAGAGGCTCTTCTGTGACAGACTGTCCGCGATTTTCCTTGGTGAGAGGATTGGAGCGCGACAGGAGTCACTGGGAATGGGTGTGTTTCAAGATATTGAACCAAATCAACTCGGGTCCAAGCATGATCGAATCCAGAGATGGATTGAAGTATGGGATTACACGGGGGATGCTATCTACCGTGGATTTGTTGCGGAGTTGGAAGGGGAAAGGACGCTCTTTGTATTCCTGGAAGACGAAGCGCTAAGCCATGGATTAAAGTCAGGGTTCGTACCTTAAGACTTGGATGCCCATCTCTGGAAATAATGGCTAATGTATATCACATAGGTTGATTGCTCTCTTTGAGCTGGCGGGAATCGATGCTTTCAACTGCTCCCAGATTGTTGCATGTGTGAGGCGCTCGCAGCAGAGGAGCGAAGTAGAGCTGGTTCATAACCTGGGCTGGTGTGGGTTCAACCTGACCACATTAGAGCCTTGGGCAATGGGTACTAGCTCGGGCCCAACCCTGAGTACGAAGTGGCTCTTCCTGGTGGCCGAAGTCTAGTTCATGGACCGACGGCCCTCGAATCTGGTGCTGTTTCACGTGCGGGAAAGTCTTTGTCATTCCCTACTAGTTGGTGCGACTTTTGTCCTGTGGACATCGGGCCATCACCGCCCATCCTAGCAGTGACGAGGCAGGTCTCAGCTCTATGGCTGACGGCGACCCTTTTCTGAGTTCTTATTACTAGTAAATTCAACCTCTAATGTGATTCCTGCATACTACCATGGGACAGTAAAGACATACGAAGAACACCGTAATTTAGAAGTCGGATATCACTCCACACGGTGGGTCCCCCCCCCTGGGCAGGATAAGCTCGACCCCACACGCGATCAGATAAGCACGGCCAAGCTATGACCTCAACACTTGCCTGCCCAAGTGGAACCTGCCTCTTCTCATACGAAAGAGGTGGGAGTTGTTTCATACCTTCTCTTTCCAAAGCTGAAGAGCATGGCAAAAGGAAAGACCAGAGCTTATTCTTTCCCACAATTTCTACTCGCTCCTTTCTCCAGGGATCAAGGCAAGGCCCCGTCCACTGGGGCTACCTCAGCCCATTCGACGAAGTATCTTGATGGTCATGTCTCATATCTTCAATGCACTGGGTGCGCGGCTCATCTTTGTTTGACATCGCAAATAATCAGCAAAGGTTTTACTGGGCGTCATGGGCGCGCCTACCTTGTATCCGCAGAGCCAATTGCGACGGCAGTATCGGTCAGCGCATCCTCATCGCCAACTGCGACCCTCCCCAACACAATTTTACATCATCCAGTACCACGTCAGCTGGTGACAGGAGCTCATACCGTCAGTGATGTCAGTTGTGTCATCTGTGGCAGCATACTGGGGTGGAAATATGTGGCTGCCCAGGAAGAATCACAACGTTACAAAGTGGGCAAATTCATATTGGAAACCCAAAAGATCACAGCGACGTCTTGCTGGGAGTCTCCATCCGAAGCACACCATTTAGCCAGTGGCACATCGGCTGTCAACATCCATCACGAGTCGGCAGAGGCCGAGTTTGATAGCCAGGACGAAGACGAATGTGAAGACTTATTTGCAGGAATCTGGAGCCCAGGACTGGCGATGCGTCGCAGAGATCGCAAAATTGAACGCCGACCAGCAGTGTTTGGACTTTCGTAAAAGCCGTAAAAGCCGAACACGTTGATGAAGCAATGCTCTCTTGTTACACGATACCCTTTTTTCTTTTTCTTTTTCTTTGGAAGGGGGGGAGGAGGGGGGCGTTTACGTGACGTTTATAATCAATACATAATCCATCTATTAGTAGGAATGTTAACGAGGAGTTAAGATTGAAAGCTATCGAAACCCAGATTGATAAACAAAGCTCGCCATTAGGAAGAATAGTAATCGGCCTCTTCACAGCCCCGCTGCAAGCTGGCTGCCTTTAGCTTGCATCGTCAGCAACCTCGCCACGAGGCCTTTTCGCCTCCTGTTCGATAGACGAATCCTCCGCAGGACGCTTGCCTGATACAACCGAGGACGGGCTAGACTGATTTGCCGGTTTTCGCCTTACCAACGAGGAAAGATCGGTTGCTCCTTTGCTAGCGGCATCGAGTTGTGCCTTCTGATCTGCTGCAGGTTGCCCGACGATTTGACCTAGGATCCCTTTGAGAAATGCTTCGCTCTCTTGATTGCTTTCTTCAATCGACACCGGCGAGCGGTGAAGGTCGACCAGCTGTAAAGGCGGTATGTTAGCCACAAATTTACTGACACCATTGCCTTGTTGGCGATGAAAGGTCGGGGGAGGAGGGGCTCTCACTCGCTGCTCCATGTCCGCAATTATTTCCTTCACGTTGGCGATTTTCCTCTTTGTGGCCGTGACCTTATCTTCTTCCAAGCTTTCATTATTTGCGAGTTTCTTCTCTTCTTGCTCCATGCGGACTTTGCAGCTTTCGATTGCACGTTCCATTTGAGTGGCGGCTTCTTTTCGCATTTGCTTGTCCACTGATTTCTCTTTTCCATCTTCTCCCTGTTGCTGGACCGATGCGAATTCAAGGGCCAATGAAAGCTTATAGTGGCATTCAGCAATCGAAGCATCCTCGAACGGGAATAGAGAGTATCTCAAGTCGAGGGCAGTTCGTAGGTCGGTAACTGCGTCGCTGAACCTCTCGCCCTCCAGCGAGATTTCTGCTTGGAGGTCATAGGTGTCAGCGAGTCGTTCTTTGATGTGCTTCAGGTCTGCCGGAACGTCTGTTGATTTTCCTTTGTCTTTCCCGTCACCGTCGCCTTCCGCTGCATCTAGTTTCTTAAGGTAAAGGATGCGTGCCAAGTCGAGGACCTCGAATGCATTGGCGAAGTCGTCCTCGTCCTCTTCTTCCTCTCCTCGCCGGCTTCCTCATCGGAATCCGAGTCAACGAAATTCTCGTCGCCGGTGAATTGGAAGAAAGGCTTCGAGTGCTCAGTTTCTGGCGCCGGATCGGCTTTCTTTGCTGGTTTAGGATGCTTGGCTGTGGCGTTTGAAATGGCATCCTTGATTAAGCTACTGCCTTCAGATGACTGTTCGGGAGGCGCAGCGGTCGCCGCAGAGCCTTTGTTTGACTGACCCTGAGGCTCACCAGCAACCTTAGACCCAAGCACATCACTTCTGCCCACTGCGACATTGTACAAGGACTTCCCGTACGCGTAGAGTAGATCCGCGTTTTCCGGGGATAGCTCGCCATTTAATTCTGCTTGGAGTTCTGTAGCTTGGGAGTATAGCTCAGAAGCGGCATTGTGGTCTTTGATCGCGTCTTTCGCAGCGGCTTGTTCGATCAATTTCTTCAACTGTGTTTGCTTGTCTTCCGAAGATATCTCCTGGGGTGGGCTGAGGTCGGCCATGTTAGTGCCTGCACGAGAGCAGATAACAGGTTTGATGGAAGGAAAACCGAAGGATATTGGAGCGTGAGTCACTAGAAGTCAAGAATGAGGTCGCGACAAAAACGAAGAAACGAAACGCCAGCTTATCGATAAGACGGCGCGGGTCCACCGCGTCCCGCGCGACGCGTTTCGTTCATCTTTCTGTCAAATTCGACTGCAATTTGCCTCTAAGCCGATACGACACTACCAATCGTCATGGATCCAGCTACGCCGCGGCACCCAGCGCACTTACAGATGGGGGCCCCAGACCCAATTCCATCCTCATCACCCGCATTTGGGACCCCGGCCCGTCCATTTCGCGTGCACAAAGCCCATGCTCCTCCGACGAAGACATCTATCCTACCCATCTTGCTACCTCCTTCTACTCTTCGACCGGTGGCTTTTCGCACATTCACTCGCAAGCACAATCTCACCATTTCATCGTCTGCACTACAAACGCTTGCTGTCTTCGTGGGCAAAAATTGTGGTTCAGGATGGCGAGAAGAAGGCCTGGCGGAGAGAGTCTTAGATGAAGTGGCAAAGGTTTGGAAAAGATCGGGCGGAGGCGTCATCATGGAAGAGGGCAAGGGTGCTTCTTTGAAGGCGATATTGCAGACACTTGAAGGAAGCATGAGTGGTGGGAGGGTGGCGGTTGGCAAAACGAACCCTCAAGGTGGATTCGTGAGTGGAGCGACTATTGACAATGCGCCGAGTGACTCTAGACCTGACAGCCACGCTGAAGAAGATGAGGATGAATCCAAGCTGTCATTCCATCCTCGGAACTGGCTCAAAGTGGTTGACTCCTTCGATCTTCCCCGGTTGACCTACAACGTGGACAAGAAGTATTTCGAAGCTATCAAGTCCAAACCCTCTTTATTTCCGAACCCTTCGCACAAAACCTCTTTATTCCGGGATCGTTACAACCTGGTCTACCAGAGATTACTACGAAATGAGTCTTTCCAAAGCTCATTGGGAGGGACAGGAGTTCCGTCGCTGAAACGGGCCCCATCGAATTTAGCCATGCAGCAATCCTATAAACTCACCCCTATTGCCAATCTGCTGGGACGCACCGGGAGCTCACATCTCTTGCTGGGGCTCCTCTCCATTTCCCCCACCGGTGATCTCTCTCTTGTTGATTTGACTGGCAGTGTTGCTCTTGACCTGAGTCATGCACGCATGATCCCCGAGGATGGGGCTTGGTTTGCCCCGGGCATGATTGTGCTTGTGGATGGGATCTATGAAGAGGAAGAGATGATACGTGGGTCCGTGCTTGGAGGAAACGCAGGAGTTGGAGGCACCATTGGAGGCCACTTTGTTGGTGTTTCAATCTGTGGGCCCCCATGCGAGAGACGAGAAATCTCCCTAGGAACAAGTACCCGACAAGGAAGCAGTGAAGTGAGTGCAAATGGGGGCTTTGGTTGGGTTGACTTCTTGGGTACTGGGAGCGAGCGGGCCCAAGGAGCTCGAATGAGGAGGATCCAAGAAAAATGTCTGCAAACAGAACCGGAGTCCATGGCGCCTCCAGCCCGATTGAGAATAGCTATACTGAGCGAGGTCAACCTGGACAACATGAAGACCCTTGATGCGCTGCGAAAAGTTTTCAGCACCTATAATGACCTCGCTATATCAGAGCGCCCGCAAACCTTTGTTTTGATGGGCAACTTCGTACAAAAGGCGATCATCAATGGCGGAGGCCGAGCTGGGAGTATTGAATACAAGGAATATTTTGACTCCCTCGCAGTGGTGCTATCCGACTTCCCAGCACTATTACAACACTCGACATTCGTCTTCGTCCCCGGCGACAACGACCCATGGGCCTCTGCATTCTCCTCTGGGGCAGCCTCTGCTGTTCCTCGGCAGCCCATTCCCGAACTTTTCACCTCTCGGATCAAGCGTGCTTTTGCGGCTGCCGCATCTGAACTTGATCGAACCCACGCGTCAGAGACACCGGGTGAAGCTATCTGGACTTCAAACCCAGCACGATTTTCATGGTTCGGGCCTGTCCATGATATTGTCATCTTTCGAGATGACATTTCAAGCCGGTTAAGACGCACCGCTATCGATACACAAGTCGACAGTGACGAGCCTGATTCTAGCATGCATGAGACATTGGAAGACGATGCCGTCTCTATTGTACCGGAAGCTGATGGTCACGACGATGGCTCTAAACATCAAATGCTGCCTACCCCTGCTGCAAACTCGGCCCGGAAACTAGTGAAGACCATTCTAGACCAAGGCACGATTTCGCCCTTTCCACTTCTCGGTGCGGCCTGTCTTGTGGGACCACGCTTCAGCGTTGCAGCTTTACCCATTACCCACGGCCCTCGTTTTGGCAGATGCTGAGGCTGCACCTTTCTGCATGACATACGAAGGATGCCATGTGATGAACCCCGGGCGACTTTTGCCGGACGGCGCCATTCCAGCCGTCAGATGGATTGAATATGATGTGCTACGGGGAAGGGGCAAGGTAAAAGAGGAGCGGTACTAAGCTGGGCACGAGTATATAGAGTCGGAACGCTAGAATACGTGTCGCCAAGACCTAATGATGGAAATACATGCTGCGATTTATCGAAGTCTAGAATTTGACAATCGGCGTCATGGGATAAGAACATGTCGTAGTTGTGTCATGATTAAGACCTAAGACTAAGAATACACTCCACAAGGTCAATTGCATACCTTATGAATAACTTTAACTCCATAGAACTCCCCTTGCACAGCACGCTAATCAATCGTAATGATATCGGGGTTATTCGGGAGTTCGGCCCTTCGGGTGGTGGCCTGGATAGGAGCACCTCCTGTGGTTCTCTGCGTACTTTCAGCTTCAGGAAGTTGCTTGACCACTGTTTCTGGGCGAAGTGCTTCAGGAGGGCAAGCGCTGAGGCATGCATGGAGCGTGGATAGAAGGTCTCCGACCTTTTCCACCTCGGAAATTGCCCCATCTCCCTGGCCCTGCCAGCCGTCGCCTTTGGAGTTGTAAATTTTCTCGTGGACTGCGTGTGAGACTTGTCCGGTTTCGGGCAAGGGAGGTCGATTGGAATCTTCAAGTAACCAAACCGCTTGCCCCTTTTGTGGCCGAGCGCATAAACGAAACCGAGAACGCAATTGAGGGTAGTGCAAATGAAAATCGGTAGGGCCGCGGACGGTGACATGTAATACCAATGAACTAGTGGGTGCTGATGTTATTTGGTCTAGGCACTGCAAGAGAGGGAAGGTCTTGGACATATACCCCAGAGTAGGGCTAATGCCAACTTTCGGGAAGCGGTGGTTTAGAGCCACAGTTAGTGCCTCCTGGACCCGACGGTGCGGACTGGGACTATCGAAGCTTATCCTCAAATGCATTCGGAAAAGAGGATCAGCCATAGACAAGGCATGTGAAATGTCGATATGGTCGGAAAGAGAGGGGCCAGAGATATCGATATCGAATCGAGCACGGAACCTCTTCCCTGGGCCATATGCGAACTCAATTTGCGAAAATGAACATGCAAGAAGGGTCATCTGCTTCTCGATCAACGACTGAATGATTGAGAGCACACATTCAAGGCGTTGCAGGCGTTCAAAAAGGTGAAGGGTCACAGAGCGTCCAGCTGGGACCAGCAGACGAAGCGCAACCCCGCTTGGAGAGAGCATGAGAAGGGAGGTCTCGGGTTTGGAAAGGAGAGAGGGAAGAAACTTCAGTGAACGCTGCAGAGTGCCATAGGCCACCAGGACCGTGGATTGGCTGGCATGGTCAATTCCATGGAATAGAAGACGAATGCTGTCCCGCAAATATCTTCCTCCCCGAGGCCGTAAGATTTTAAGGGCAGGGGGAAGCATGGCTGCATTGTAGCGGAAAGTCACCTCAGGGACTTCAAGATCAGGTCCTAACTGTAATTTCTCCAATGAAGGCTCCAGGTGGATCTCTGGTAAGCCTGACAAGCACCGAGCATTGGCATATATTGCTAAGATGCCCGCAAGGCCATGGACAAGTTCGGCGCCTGCAGTACAGGAGAAATGTCGGGTCGTGAGGTTATTTCTGATAAGATGAGCAGAAGGGCTTGGCCTGTCGGCATCGGTTTGGAGCGGCAGTCGTACGAGCCACCAGCCGTCGCCATCCATGCTGCTCGTTGCCGCAACAACCCAATGCCGATCCCATATGGGGTGAGTAAAAAAGGCAGTGTGTAAAGTTTGCGAAGGAAACAATCGTCGAGCATCAAGCCCTAGGGTCCTTTGGCTAACCATCTCTAAACCAATTGCCTTAGTACCAGACTCGATTTCCTCTAAAGCCGCAGCACATCGAAGGCGAATGACACGGGAGAGAATTTCCTCGAGGGAAGAAGCAGCAATTTTTGCATCAGGGCGCGGACCATCGGGATGTCCAAAAATCATGGCCCCAGATAAAGGTTCGACAGAGACCCGCACAAACCGGGATGAAGTTAGCTGAATCTCGAGGTGGCAATCCCCTGGTTCTGTCTGGGACAATTGGCCTCGTAGCATGAGCTTGTTGTGTGAGAACAAAGTATACGTCCTCAGCTTGGCAAACACGGATGACAGCATATGCGATATATGTGTCGCGATAACGCTCCGCAAAAGTCGTTCGATATCAAGATTCTTGGTGTCAAACCGAAGAGCAGTGTGATTAGCTTGCTGGCCATCTCGCATCCAGCGAAAACCAAGATGTGGTACACAAATCCCGCCAGACCCTTGACCACCTCTTTGGACGCCGATCTCTAACCAGCTTTTTGGTCCAGGTTTTGTAGGCCAGTACTGAATGACAAGAGTGCGGTGAAGGAACTCGATGCGCAGACAATCTGCCCATAGGTTTTGTGTGAGCTCGACAGCTTGCCTGAAGAGCGTATTCACTTTATTCGTCAAGACGAGGCCGTTCAAAAATTCAAAGCACCCTAGAAGACCATCATTATGTAGGACCTCGTTGATTTTCGCATCAAGCTGATTGAAAATGTTTCCCTTGGTACAGGGGAAGAGGGTGAGAAGTCAAAGCGAATATCAACGAAGAAGAACTGAGAAGTATATGCCTCTTCAGCCACAGAAAGATCGAGTTCAAACTCCCCGGGCACTGTGAAAGTTACTCGGCCATCATGGACACGGTAATTTCGTAATTGAGGGGGCACTTGATCGTACACGGACAATCTAATGCTTATTATTCGATTGATCTTGTGTAATTTTTTGAGAGTTCCCCGTGCGGTCAGGCGCTTTGGTGGTTTGTAGCCAAACTGTATCCAATGTTAAAAGGTAAATTGCTCAACAAGATTTCATTTACAAACTTACATCGGGTAGTGCGTCCACTCGACCCTTGGAAAGAACCTCCAAAGCCGTCTTCAGATCAGGATTAGCGACTTGAGCTCGCACCAGATCCCGCTTCATCTCGCCAACGACCTGAACAGCTGCAGCATATGCTTGGTGGCGCGAGCGAATAAAGCCTTGGATGTCGATTAACCTGCTCACTTCTGCAGCCTGTCGGCTCCACTGAGAGAGAACCAAGAGTTTGATGAATTCGGCTCTTTTGACATGTGCAAAGTCGAGGATACGCAGTTTCTTGCGGATATTTTCCGTGGATTGGTTCCCAGGTGACTTGCCGTTGATGAGGGCGGACGAATCTGGGGAAACTTAAGTCGCAGCCAATTCTGTCACTAGCTCGGATAGGTCGTTCCAGCATTGCTGCACTGATCGGTTGACCAACATGGAAAAGGGGAAAAACCCTTGCGTAATATGTGGTAGCTCAAATGGCACAAGGGCTTCGTTTAGGTCTGGTTTTTGAGAAGGCTGCGTTCCCGCACCATTAACATGGACCGGCCCGTTCATGGCGGAGGCCTGGAACCCCTTCTCATCGTGAGACCCTAGCGTGCCGTTGACACCTTCGTTGAGTCTTTGCCGCTGGAAAGATCCATCAACACTGGTAGTCTCCATGATCACACCGGGCATGGCTCAATGCCAGACGCCCTGGCGTTTCGGCTTCCCTCTTGGATTACCACCGCCGCCACTTAATTTCACGGCAGGGGGATCGAGAAATCGAGAAAGAGCGGAGCAATAAGTCTCAGCCCAGTGCCATGCGTATCACTAGCCGTAATGGACTATCACCGGGGTCATAATCAAGGGGAGTACCGCAGGTCGCGAGGGTTCGTGTTCGGAGGGTTGAATGGATAAGCGCAAGGTCGAAGTAAGACCGATGATAATTGCTGACTTGAGGGAAATGTTATGAGCCGGACGATCGGTTTATTGCAAATGCGCCGGTTCCTGCACGGGCAGATTCCGGGTTGGTGGGCGTATGGACAAAGACAAATGAACCCGGAGTGAGTTTGCAGATGCTCAGCTGATATGCTGAACAGCGAAATTCATACGACCAGGTACAGAGGCCTTAAAGAGCGTGCGATTTGAAGAGGGACTGGGGTGGGTGGAGGTAATGAGTGATCCGTTACCAAAGGCAGTCGAGACAGAATGAAAGCGCGCGATTTGCGCATGCACCGCCTTTGCACGTCTTCATGCCTTGGTGCCTGATATATCGGCCTTAGTTCCAGGTGGACCAGATCAATACGCGGCTGTCTTAGGTATGTAAGGTAATTACGTCATTTTGCCTAGAAACGGCGCTGTCCGCCGCTGTGATGTGTAACGTAATGTAATGGATAGGTCATGATCTCCCATCACACCCGGGGCAGGATCCATGATCTACAACCTCATTCCATCTTCGCGCCTCCGCATCAGGAGGCTTTGTCTGCTGGAGATAAAAAGAGGAAATGAGTCGACAACGAGATGAGGCAGTGGAGGCCCCAGGACGGGCTCCTTCATACCCAGGAGATGATCCTCGTTTGACTAGTAAGAAAGAATTAGCAGGCTGGTATGGTTATGGCTGGGCCGCGGAGGTGTTCCCCGTATGTGCCATGTGTATGTTTTGATCTCGCCATATCCACCGAGCGATCGTGGTTAACTCATGAGCAGCTTCGTTTCTCCCAATAACGTTGGAGCAAATGGCCCGGGATAGAGGAGTCCTTTTGTCCGACAAATCCACGCCGTGTAGCACAACTTGGAGCTCTTCTAACCAGCCTAATCACCCACCAGGGTATGGCACAGGGCAATGTATTGTCTTCTTCCTTGGCGCAGAGGTCAACACCGCGAGCTTTGCCTTATATACATTTTCTGTTAGCGTTCTGGTGCAGGCTGTCCTGATCATCTCTATGTCCGGCGCAGCAGATCATGGCAGTTATCGGAAGACTCTCTTAGTCCTATTCGGCTTGATGGGCTCTATCGCAACGATGTCGATTCTCTTAGTTTCTCCCCGGATCTACCTCGTGGGAGCTCTACTCGCGATCATTGCCAACACCTGCTTTGGTGCTTCATTCGTTCTCTTGAACTCATTTCTGCCTCTGTTGGTTCGCCATCACCCGTTGATGGTGAAGTATCAGGAACGGCCAGCAGCAGATGGAGTACTTAACGAGACAAGTCCCTTGATCGAGAGCACACGCACATCGTCTTCGGTGGCGTCTATTGAATTGAATCTTTCAACTAGAATCTCTTCTTTTGGCGTCGGAATCGGATATATTGGAGCTGTGACTCTGCAAATCATTGCTATAGTCGTGGTAGTGACGACCCACCAAACAACGTTCTCTCTCCGCCTTGTCTTGTTTCTTATCGGACTTTGGTGGTTTATCTTCACGATTCCTGCTAGCTTATGGCTTCGTTCTCGTCCGGGCCCGCCACTGCTCAGTGATGGGAAACCTCTTCATTCTTGGACGGCATATATGGCCCATGCCTGGAAGTCTCTTGGAAAGACTGTAATGCGAGCGCGACGATTGAAGGATATTCTACTTTTCCTCGCAGCTTGGTTTCTCCTCAGTGATGGAATTGCTACCGTCAGTGGGACCGCAGTTCTCTTTGCAAAGACAGAGCTTGGTATGAAGCCGGCAGCGTTAGGGCTGATTAACGTGATTGTGATGGTTGCGGGAGTATGCGGCGCCTTCTCATGGAGTTACATGTCTTCCTTCTTTCGCCTTGGCGCGTCCCAAACAATCATCGCCTGTATCCTTCTCTTTGAGCTGATTCCCCTCTACGGAATCCTTGGATTTTCACCCTCTGTGCAGCGCGTCGGCCTCGGACTTCAGCAGCCATGGGAGATGTATCCTTTGGGGGCGGTTTACGGCCTCGTCATGGGTGGCCTTTCTTCATACTGCCGAAGCTTCTTCGCCGAATTAATCCCCCCCTGGCTACGAAGCCGCATTCTATGCTTTGTACGCCATCACGGACAAAGGATCGAGTATATTTGGCCCTGCTATTGTTGGCTTCATCACCGACCGGTATGGTGGCATCCGACCAGCTTTCATATTTCTGGCTGTTTTGATCTTTCTACCTCTACCACTGATGCTGCTTGTGGATGTCGAGCGTGGCAAGCAAGATGCACTGGAGCTTGGGTCTGAGCTCGACCGCGACATTCATACCGGCGGCTTTAGCTACGATTCAGTCCCGACAGCAGGCAGATGTGAGGGAGATATAGGGGAAACGCTAGCCAACCCGTAGTCATACACGGAAATCGGTATGATAAGGAAATGTGTCTATTTAAAGCCATGTGAGCATTTTGATTATCAATGTGGATTCGAATGTAGCCCTTGACGGGGTATAAATGTCCACGTATCCTTTTCTAAAAAGCGACATAATATATCTTTTAGTAAGTGTATCGTCACACGACATCAGCACGGCGTCTCGCCAAGCACCCGAGGCCGCGCTATTGACGAGCTTTTAGTAGACGGTGTAACAGAGGAGGCGAGTCAACGTGAGCCATCTATGTCTATCACGGTTTCATTCAAATAATCACTGACAAAGTACAAGAATCCCGTTGAAGGTACATGGGAGCCGCCTTCCCCTTGCGAAGGGGGGCCGCCCTGCATAGTTAAGCCTGGGCACGGGAAAGCTCCACCCTTGTAAGCCGCCAAGTGAACAAACTGTCCTCATCTCCACTCCCCTTCCCCTCCAGCTTGTTGTTTTTAAATAACATACCTGGGAACCCTCGCACCTCGCATTTCAGTTTCCCCCCCCCCCCATCCATCGACGACTTGGTAAGATATATTTAATCCCCTTTGAAGACCTTGGGATATCATAATATACTAATGTATCGGCAATGATTTAGAGCTAAAATATACAGCCATGCGGTCGTTCACTCCTTTGGTTCTGAGCCTCCTCGGAGCTGCGGCAACTGTTTCTGCCACTGAAGCCAATTCAGCAGAATCCAATGTCCTTTCCTTGACCCAGGATACTTTCAATGACTTCGTGAAAGAGCATGACTTGGTTCTGGCTGAGTTCTACGCACCGTGGTGTGGCCACTGCAAAGCGCTGGCCCCTAAGTATGAAGAAGCAGCTACAGAGCTCAAGAGTAAGAACATCCCTCTGGTGAAGGTGGACTGCACTGCAGAAGAAGAGCTATGCCGAAGCTTCGGAGTCGACGGTTACCCTACCTTGAAGGTGTTCCGTGGCCCCGAATCACACAAGCCATACGGTGGCTCCCGCCAAACAGACTCGTAGGTGATGCTGAGCCGAATAATCGCCATGTTTAACCATGCTAACCTCGACAGAATTATCTCATACATGACGAAACAGTCGATGCCCGCCGTTTCCACCGTGAACGAAGAAAACCTAGAGGAATTCAAGACCCCAGATAAGATTGTGATCGTTGGTTACATCGCCTCGGACGATAAGGCCTCTAACAAGTCCTTCACTTCTTTCGCCGAATCACAACGCGACAACTTCCTTTTTGGCGCCTCCAATGACGCTGCTCTCGCCAAGGCCGAGGGCGTGAAGCAACCGTCGATCGTTCTCTACAAGGACTTTGACGAGAAGAAGGCTGTGTACGATGGCAAGCTTGATGACGCATCTATCTTGGCCTGGACAACAACTGCCAGCACTCCCCTTGTTGGCGAACTTGGCCCTGAGACGTACTCTAAGTACATGGCAGTAAGTTTCGATTCATGGATCTGCTGGCTACCATATCGATACTAATCTATTACTAGGCTGGCATTCCTTTGGCATACATCTTCGCTGAGACTGCCGAAGAGCGGGAGAAGTTCGCGGATGATTTCCGTCCCATTGCTGAAAAGCACCGCGGCGAGATCAACTTCGTTACTCTCGATGCCAAGCTTTTCGGCGCTCATGCCGGTAACCTGAACCTAGAGCCAGAGAAGTTCCCCGCCTTCGCTATCCAGGAAACCTCCAAAAACGCCAAGTATCCCTATGATCAGTCAAAGAAGATTGATGCTAAGGAGATCGGCAAGTTTGTTAAGGACGTCTTGGACGGCAAGACCGAGCCTAGCATCAAGTCGGAGCCCATTCCCGAGACCCAGGAAGGCCCTGTCACTGTCGTTGTGGGCAAAAACTACCAAGAGGTCGTGATTGACAACGAAAAGGACGTGCTGCTTGAGTTCTACGCTCCTTGGTGTGGACACTGCAAGTCGTAAGTGAACTAGTGATCTTCAGCCCTTGCTCCGCACTAATCTTTATCATTAGCCTTGCTCCCAAGTACGAGGAACTCGCTGCTCTTTACGCCAACGTGCCTGAAAAGGTTGTTGTGGCTAAGATTGATGCGACCGCTAATGACGTGCCGGACTCCATCACCGGATTCCCTACCATCAAGCTCTTCCCGGCTGGTAAGAAAGACGAGCCTGTTGACTACGAAGGCTCCCGTACAGTCGAGGACCTGGTCACCTTCATCAAGGAGAACGGCAAGTACAAGGTTGATGGTCTAGCTGAGACTGCTAGTGATGCTGAGGAAGCTGAGGACGTTACTTCCTCTGCCTCAGCTGAGACACCCTCATCATCCGAGAAGGTGCATGATGAGCTTTAAACGACTGCTCCGAATTTGCTACGGTCTTAGGAAGTATCTGTATCACCAATTTGATAAAGAACATTTCGCATCACCCGTCTTGGTATTCAACAAGTCTCAACGAGTCTCAACAAAGATAAGTAGAACGATCATCGCTTGTAGATCAGTTGTAATAACACAGCGAGATAAAACAAGAGAGACTCAGAGCTGTAGCATCTTCTGCCGTGAGGCTAAGGCTAGGAACAACATGGACCTCCGGGCCCTTCGACAGGAGCGAGCCCCCTAGGGGCCCCGGGCCGGCGAGCTAGAGGGTTAGTCATCCTACGTTATCAGGTAAATACATCCGTCCGAAAGCACTTGACGCGTCCAACTACCCACGCGTGGCGCGTTCCTCATAAACGAGGACGGAAACGGGATAGCAACCACCTAGGAATTTCAACGCTTCACAGGTCTCGACTCTCCTTTAACAAGTGTTTTTTTTTTCTTTTTTCTTTTATGATCCCAATCCTCAACCCCTCGCGATCAATTTCTCGAGTCTGCGCAATAATGAGCCCAACCCTCAAACGGAACGCGGACCACTTGGCCGCCTCAGCAGCAGACAGCAAGAAACCCAAAGGAGGGAGCATTACCTCGTTCTTTGGCGTTCCAAAGCCCAAGCCTGCCAGCAGCCAAGCCAACAGCGCCCAATCTCCCCCCCGATCCAGCTCCTTCAACAAAGCTAAATGGGTGGCGTCCCTCACACCAGAGCAAAGAGACCTCCTGCAGCTAGAGATTGATACATTGGACGAGAGCTGGCTTGCTCACCTGAAGGATGATGTAGTCTCGACCGATTTTTTGAACCTGAAACGCTTCCTGAAGAAGGAAAAAGATTCGAAGGCAAAAATCTTCCCACCAGAGGAGGATGTCTATTTCTGGTAGGCTAGACTCATCTCCTAGGCTGTTCACTGTCTCACAAACTCTAGGTCCCGACATACGCCATTGCATAAAGTTAAAGTAGTCATTATTGGACAAGATCCGTATCATAATGACAACCAAGCCCACGGTCTGGCATTCTCCGTTCGTCCTCCTACTCGCGCCCCGCCATCTCTTGTCAACATCTACAAGGGAATCAAGAAAAGCTACCCAGACTTTGTTGTGCCGCCAAATAATGGCGGACTATTAACTCCATGGGCTGATCGAGGGGTCCTTCTTCTTAATACCTGTCTTACGGTCCGAGCGCACCAGGCCAACAGTCACTCCAACAAAGGATGGGAGCGTTTCACCCAGAGGGTGATTGACCTCGTGGCTCGTGTCCGAACTCATGGAGTTGTTTTCCTCGCGTGGGGGAAGCCTGCTGGCACACGAGTGGCGAAAATTAATCGCCAAAAACATTGCGTGCTACAATCGGTACATCCCAGCCCGTTGAGTGCACATGGAGGCTTTGTAAGTGTTCCCGGCCCTAGCCAAGTAGATGAATGTACTGACGGGTCTCAGTTTGAAAACGGCCATTTCAAAAAGTGCAATGACTGGTTGGCTTCACGATATGGCGAGGATGAAATCATTGACTGGAATCTGGTGCCAACCAAAAAAGCTATCAGCACGCCGCCCTCGGACAAAGAAAATTCGTCAAATGTAGCTAATGTCTCATCAGGCTCACCGAAAGCATTCCCCTCGGGCGTCGATAGCGCCAGCAAGGCGTTGCCAAAACCCGTGGCGTGCTCTGCAGACGAGTTCGATGACGATACAGATGCTCTCGAAGCTCTGGTTGCAGCAGCCTCGGAAGAGGCCGAGGCCAATTAACTCAGAGAGATTAGTCCCGCGGCAGGTGATGCTTTTAGCAAATGTCGATGTGTCCAGGTCCCATTTCAAAGGAAATCATAAATATACCTAAATATAATTCTATTTCTTCTTGAACCGTCTCCACTCCTTTTTCAGAATTAATTGTATGTCTTCTCAAATTGGCCATTTTGCTTATCGCAGAATCCAAACTTCCCTTCTCCATTTGAGTTCTTTTGATTTGATACCCGGGGAGCGATAGAACGGTCTGCTGCAATGCCAGGCAAATATATTGGCGGGCCGTGGCTTATCGATAAGCCGTTAACCCCCAAGCTTTCTCTCGACAGGATGAGAAGTGGATGCGATAATCAGTCCCTTCAACTTTGATGGAGCTTACCTGGCTCGCAGATACACCCCAATCACGGAACAGGACTCGCGCCTTGCGAGCCTGTTCCACATGCCAACGGCGGAAGGTGTGTGCAACATGGCTTGCTGGATGATCCAAGCTCTGACGTATCCAATGCTTTGATCTTAGAAACGCTGTCGGCACCTCCCACATCCGTCAGAATGGGTAGATAAAAAAATACAGTCATCCAATCTACCAGGGCAGATCATATCGAATAATGATTTGATCCCGCCTTCGGATTCCAATGCCCAAACCCAGCTACCAGAAGATCCGGCCATGCGGTCACTACCGAGTACAGAGCGATTTGTCGGAGACTTGAACCCTGAAGCCCTGATCCGTGAGCGACTAGATGAGCCGGCCGGTAGCCCTCTGAAGAACCGTATTGGCGTTTGGCTCAGAACCCCATCAACGCAGGATTCCGGGGCAACCGTGCAGGGTCACCATGAGACCTCTCGCTCAGAAAATAGACACACAATCTCGACATTATTGCAACATCGATACACCTCGGCATTAACAGCATGTAACCGCCTCCCCGCATCTACTCGAGAACCTCTCATTGCCATATATTGTTCCAAGGTCAATCCCATCATCCCCTTGTTGGATACATCTGCATTCCTCGAGGCTCAGGATGATGGTGTTGTCTCTGTGTTCCTCGAGAGGGCCATATGTCTTGTTGCAGCCAAAGATCCCACAGCAAGTCCCTATCTCCGCTTGACAGATCATGGAGCTTCCTTGTCGTCACGCCAATTCTGCTCAGAACTCTACAAGGGACTGGCTGTGGCTATGGACGCTCTGCTAGAGCCCGATCGCGTGACTCGCATTCGGGTCCTTGCACTCATGTCTTTGCATTGTGAAGGCCATGAGGGGGCCGAGGCAGCATCATCGCATCTTTGTCAAGCAATTCACCAAGCGCAGACGATTGGTTTGCACCTTGATCGACCTGATAGGGCACCCGCTGATCCTCTAGCCCAGCTTTTCTGGAGCCTGTGGACATTAGATAAAATGCATGCCAGCATTGGTGGCCGGCCAGTCCTACTAGCTGATCGTGACATCGGCGCAGAGAAGCCGAGGAGCACAGAGGCTGCTGGGGCATTTGGTGTATGGCTCACCATTTCAGACTTGCTTGCTACCGTGATATCTTACTATCGCCCATCTGCAACAGTCACCACTGGATGGGAAGAGGGTTCCCTGCGTTTGAAGACCTAGTTGGAGGGGCCGGTCATGAAGAGTTGGACATTGCGACCTTAGGTGGGTCTGAACTGTATCTTTATCGAAACACCCACATGTCTTATTCTCTACTTAGGACTTCTGGAGTTATATTACCATTCCGTTGCCATTCTGTCATGCCGGCACAAACCAAACGACAGTCTCGATAATACCCGTATCTCGTCTATTCGACAAGGACTCGCAGCGGTCCGAGTCCATTCCATTGTGGCATCGGAGGGTACGGGGGATCTTCCTCCGTTACCCATCGTGCCGTATGCAGTTGCTCTCTCCATGGGAGTGGCATACCGCCAGCTCCGGTCTAGCAAGCTAATTACGCACTCCAAGCGGGCCAAAGCTAGTTTGGAGGCATGTTGCACGTTGCTTGAGAGCCTGAGCTCTCAGTGGTACTCCGCCGAGGCCATGGCTCGTCTAGGGCGAAAAGCATTGCAGCAGACAGAACGCGATCAAGCAACTTCCAATCCCGAGCCACCTCGAGACTCCAGATCGGGCCCCCGGCAAGGACCGAGCGGACCTCCCGTGGAGGAGGAATCACTTGCCTGCGAAGACCGTGTGGTATCTGACGGGACGGCAGTTCCCCAGATGCATGACTTGGGTACGAGCATGGGCCCGATTCCCGAAATTCAGGACCCAGATGTGAACATGGCCGGGTTTGCGGAAATTGACACATTGTTCGGGGAGTTCCTGGACCTCTCATTACCCACGAACTTCTGGGACCCTATTTTTGCAGAACAGGACCCGAGTGGTCCATGACTTAATTGACTGCATAAATTCCAGTCCAAAATCTCCGTGGTGCCGGAACGGTTTGCCAGACCGGGAATTGGCATTTCGCTAGACTGCCGATCGTCATTATCCATATCGCACCTTAACGGCCTGTGGCAGCGGTCCAGGTCCGTCTGTAGATGTGGGGGTTGGCTAGATGGGGATCGGCCGTGTTGAACCCCCCCAAACTGTAAGCTGGCGTTTTCATTCAGCCTCGGACTCGTGGTTTTGGTGGTTGTGGTGGGCCTCCCGATCGCCGCCTTGGATTCTTCATTGGGCTTTGGAGGGCCCGATGGAGATTTGTCGCAGCGCTTCCATGGAAGGAGACGTCAAGGGGGCAGTGGAGAAACGGAAAGGATGGAGAATAAAAGTACTCCGTAATAAGACCTGAAAAAAAAAGGAGGGCATACCCCCCCCGTCAGCCAGTACCTCCCCAACCTCCTGATGTCTTCCTCGTTTTTTGGTTTCTTCGAAGTCTCAACTTTCCGAACAAGGTGGAATTTCCTTGGGTGGGATACAATCCACCCAGAGGCCAAGATCGCATCATACTGCAGGCCTTCTCTTTCGATCTGGGCCCCAATTCCCGCGCTGCATAGATACGGGGTAAATCTTGAAACCCGATACGTGCTTTCCCGTCCGGCCCACTGGTAGGCCTCCATTCTGGTTCAGAGTGTTTCACTTCACTCTTTCCCTAAACTCAACCTTGCGTTGATCCAGAAACCAGCCATTCATACCAATTGCCTCGTTCTATACCCAGCGGCTCTCAATGGACGGGCGCGTACTCTTTAATTGATATGATCTCCCACCCATAGCCCTCACCTGTGGGAGTCAGTACATACTGTCGGCTTCTGCAATTGGCTTTGTCTCCGTCCTCGACGGTCCGACGTATAACAGAAGCACGTTTCGAACGTCTTGACGAGATGGCAGCTCTAGAAAATTTGCCTGCGGATGCCCTTAGTGCGGATCCCAAGATTCCAACCATTGTTGAAGAAAAAGAGGTCTGCTTATACCCCGTACACCCAATCCCCCAGTTACAGGGTGCCTTTGAAGAGTCAATTGAAGAAGCAAATAAAAACACCGCCAATGAGTGCGTGGTTGAGATTGACGCCCAAACACGTCGCCGCGATCTGCTTGAGAATGATGAGTACGAACGCATATGTGGCCGCAAATGGCGCCAAAAGGGTACTGAAAAGTAAGTTAGCTGCTTCGGAGAACCATAGGGCACACCGTTGATCGTTTAAGATATCATCCGCTTTGGAAGTTGATCGCCCAGATGGCGTTTGGGGTCCACCTATTGGCGAAGAAGCTCGCAAAATCAAAGCCCCAAGTGATGAAAATTCTCCAGGACCATGTGGACGAGTTAGACGGGGTCTTGCAGAGAACTACAGAGGACTTTCTCATCATCGAATTGGATGTTCGAACAAGAATTCAATACCTCAGCCTCCCTCTCGGAAACCTCGATGTATTTGACGAGATGCTGGAGGACCGCACTTTTCGACTCTCCCTGGTGGCATACAACGATCAGATCGAGCACGCCGTAGATCGCTTTACACTTGCACTCACCGATACCCTTAAAGATCTACGGAAGGGAAAAGAGGCGATCAGTGCTCTTTGGCTGTATATGATTCGATTGGCTGACGGAGGCTGTTTTGAGTCCGATAGCCTTAAGCCTTTTTACCAAACAATGATGGATAATCTGGAGGGTTGGCTTGTAGCTTTGTGGAAGCTGCGTCGGCGTGGTACAGCACTATTGAAAGCTCTTCGCCAGCTCGCCGTCTCCACTAATGAGATGCAGAGAAGAGTGGGCATAGCAAGCCGGAAGGATGTGGTAAGTTTTCCAAGCCCATTCTCTGGTTGTCAAGTCCTAACTCGAAGAAGCGATCATTCGCTGCCGTGGGCAGCTCTCAACCAGCCAAACACAAGCTTTTTACAAGGCGTCCCACTACACCATGGTCTCGACCAATGTCCTCCAACAAACCACTACCCCGGGATCCTTCTCTACAGCCAAGAAGATCCGTGCAAACTCCCGCCAGGACACCTGTTATCGAGCCTGGCAACAATCGCCCAACTCAAACTGAAGTTGCGAAGGAAGCAAAAACAGTACAAGCTCTGAATCGAGCAAAATCATGCAGTGCCTTGGTCCCAGCAGACTCGACCCCACCAGTTACATCTCCACAAACTCCAGGCCGCTTAAGCAGGAAACTCTCTAAGCCTTTCCTCTCTAAGCGACTTTCCACCATGAAATTAGACAATACACAGAGTAGGCCAGCGACAGCCCCTGCTCGGGCACTCAAATCACGCAGTGCCTCGATCGAACATTTAAAGTCTTTCTGGTCCAACGGCCATCTCCAGACCCCACCACATGGATCAACGGCTGATCCTGCCGCTAATATGTATCAGCCAACATCCGCACGATTTCCCGTGCGCGGAGAATCTATGAAAGAACAAATCTCCCAGTATCTCAAGACGGACCGGGTGGTCGATGCATGGGATACTGTGGCCAACAAGACGGGCAATTGTGGACGCACCCTAACCAAAACTACAAAAGGGTGGCCAAGCAGCGTTTTTCGAGCTAAACCTTCTGATGCGCTGCGTATCCGGCGTGGGAACAAAGATGGACTATCTCCCACCGGTTTGAGGAGGCAGATGTCATGGGCGCAAGACGAACCTGAAATTCTGAATACGTACTCCTTCAAACGAAGACCTGAAATCTCTCCGCGGATCCATGTTGTATCCGTTCAAATGATTTTGGACGAAGACATGAACTTTGGTGAGGATACCGTCGACGGCGCTTCTGAAGTAGGCGGAGATGCAGGCTCGATCATTACAGCACTTCCATCCTTGAGCATCCAGAGACCGCAGACTGTCGACTGTGCACAAGGCTGAAACATTCAACTTAACATTGTGGCTTATATTCTGCCTCGACATTGCGGCTGGTCCCGCCTGATATTACCCTCATTCTTCTCATTAGCATAGCGGTTGATTTTCTTTGCATACAATACCCCCGCCCCCTACGGGATCCTTCTCATAGAATTACTCGAATACCAGATCAGTTGCAATGGCATTATTCATACACAACAATTAGTCTTGGAACATGGACAATTCATTTTCGGGTCCTCAGGACAGAACCTGAACCCGCACAGCCCCAGCGAGCGCCTAAGCAGCAAAGAAAAGAGAAAGGGAAAGTTCAAAAAAAAAAACGCCTATACCGAAGACAACGGGAGAAATAAAGAGTACCAAAGCATGTAGGCAGATTCAGACTAGGCAACCGGTATTTGAACCCAGGAGACTGAAATCATTTGCAGCGCTTCTCTACGATGTTGGGCCCATGCTCGTCATACTCCTTCTTTGAGATCCACATTTGATGGAAAGTGCCCAGACTGGCAAGAATACTTCCACCAATCCACGAACCGAATCGGCGCTCAGCCGTGTTGCCAGGTGCCGAGATTCGCACCCGTGGGCCAGGGTAGAGAGCCATCAGCTCATGGTTTAGACGATCAGTGAAGCCATAGAGCAGACTGGAGGCACCCGTGACAACCACATTTGCCAGCAAATGGGGACGGAGGTCCACATCCACAGCGGCAAGGGAGGCCTTGATCAACTCTGGCAGAGTCTGAGAGGGGGTTGGGGCTGGGAAAGGCGAATCTGGGTCTGGGATGGCCGCTTTAGCATCGAACAAAGACTCGGTCACACGGAACCGGTCAACACCGAAGACCTGATTGTAGCCGTCGGGGAACTCGAAGGGTCGACCAGGGGTAGTGCGAGCGACCTCTTCGTTTGACACGCCATTGGGGCCGGTGGCAGAGAGCTTATTAGGACCAGCCCAGACCTGGACCACACATTCCTTGAATTCGGAGATCGTACGCTCCTCGAGAAGGCTGCGGTATGAAGCATCTGGGGCTTTATCGGCGGGGAAAGTTTTGTATTTGGCCTGGGGCGGCTGTCCAGCTTCCACAGCGGTCTTGGAGCTGATCAAGTAATGGGGCGTGATGGTAATTGGCTGCGGGGAATTCTTTTTTGAACAATGCCTGGATTTGAGATGAAATATAGTCACCCCCAAGCGGAGAGTGCTGCACGCCTCTTTTGAGAATCATACCGTCATGGACCGGGGTAATAGAGATGTTCGAGGCACCTATGTCAATGACAAGCGCGGAAGCCTTACCAGACGCAAAGCTGCAAAATTTGTCAGTATTGGCTGTAAAGTGAATACCTAGCATACACTTACGCGGAAAGAACACCATTGCGTGCCAGGTAGAAAGCCGGGGTGCCCCATTTCTCCATGGCAATCTCAATTGTCTTCTCGCGTGCTTTGGCCGGATTCCAGCCAGGCTCTGTCATCAACAATGGACTGTCTGCCAGAGGCTTTTCGTCTGCTTCTACTTCCATCTCGGTCGGGAGTTCCTCGCTTGGGATCTCATTCAATCCGTTGTGAAATGGATCGCTCGCCTTGGCACCGGTAAGTCGCGACGTGAAAGAGTACTCCCACACCTTCTCGGCCATATCCCAATCTTCGACAATTCCATCCCTACCAATGGGATTGTGGACGGATAAGCCCGGGCGCGGGGTCACAAACACGTCGTCACCGAAGATCAATTTCTCTTGGCCGTCGGCGTTGTATTTCCCGTAGTAGGTTGGGATGAGCGACTTGGGAGCGTCTTCACCGGCGAAACCAGCGCGCGTTGTGGAGTAGCCGGGATCTAGGACAATGGCGGAGACCTCATCTAGGCGCGACGCGACATACGTTAGCAGGTGCTCCAGACTGGATGGATGGATGGTGACTGGGCGGGCTCGCAAGCTGGGAGAAGAGATCTAGGGCGCTGGCGCAAAGTACGTACCTCCGCCATATTCGGCAGTTTGAGGCGGATTAGAGGGATTCATAGCGGAAACGCACGAGGAAGGAAGGTATTTAAAGAGGCTCAAACCACTTCGAGTCGACACAACAAGTGAGAGCCACGCGCAGCGAGGGACAAGGGAGGGTGAAGAGGGAAGAAAGCGGCCTTTTTTCGGTGCGGGAGCTTTTGGCGGAGACGGATTGGATCTGCTTGGCGGCCAACGATCGAGATGACCTCACCCATCGCAACGTCTCTAGGGCCGCGGCTCATTTTCTACCCTCCCTGATCTTTTGTCTTCCTTGAGGCTCATTTCCTCTTCTTTGCTTCACTCCCTACTCTCAACCCAGCATGGATACTGAGACCAGTCCCTCTCCTGGACCACTTTTTCGATCTGCAAAGCGACGGAAGTTCATACGGCGACGACCAGACGATAGCACAGAAGAACACCCATTAGCTCGAGAAGCCGTCGCGACTACGAGTGGAAACACTTCTCGACCTTCCGAAGCTATTCACGCGGATGACTCCCAAGAGAATCCAGGCGTTGTGCGCCTACGACGGCCACATGCTACTCGGAAAGGTGGCATAGAGTTCTCTGCTACCTCACGCCCGAAATCGGGTGGAGGGCAGCAGCCAACACTACTGTCGGCGGAAGATGCAGAAAAAGCACGAGTCCAGGCTATGTGTGACCGATTCACATCGGATATCGGACAGACGGAGGATGTCGATAAGCACATGTTTGAAACCCTGCCCCTTCCGCCATAGCGCACTGCGTGTCGAGTTGCAGACTAACAAGATAAGGATGGCATATATAGATTCCGAGATGGCTAAGCGTTTCCAACGAAATCCACCACCAGATCACCCAGCAGTCAACTTAACAGCTACGACACAAAATACACGGAGCGCATCTACTGCTGGGCAGCAAGAACGCGAACCTGCATCACTGGGCAAACTACATGAAATCGACCTTGGCCAGGAAGCCAAATTGCGGAATATCGCACGGACGGAAGCAGCGACCAGACGTTTAGTTGGAGAGGAGGGTCCTAATACGTCCGGGATCGAGACACAGCCCAGTCGTCCCACGACTGACAAGTCATGGCGCAAATCCAAACGTCGGACCAGTGCAGATATTGAGCGTGATCGCTTGGTCGAAGAAGTTATGCGAGAAAGCAAGTGTAAGTGCTACCAAATGGCCTTATCCTTAGTTCGACTCTGCTAAGTCTTTACCAGTGGATGTGTACGATGAACCGGAGGAGGACGAGTTCGGGGACGACCAAGCCGCCGATGACCGGATTGCCGAGCAATTCCGTCGAGATTTCATGGATGCAATGCAGTCCCGTAAGAGAGTCGCGCGACCGACACGGACGGATAAGACCCGAAGTTTCCAAGGGTCCCAAACTGGGAGGAAGTCGCAGCGCAAGAGCAGCAATGCGGGAGATGCAGGGCAAAGCGGGACAGAAATGACACGGATCCTTCCCCCATTCTCGCGCTTTGGGCTATATCATCTATACCTGCCTGTTGCAGGTACAGTACTTGCCGTGACCAAGGTGGTCAGAACATGATACCTTGGCGGGGCGAGCCCGCCCAAGATTTCCCCTCGGTGAATTAATCATAATGGAATTGGAGAGGTCCCGGACTATCGTTTTGTTTTACCATTCACGGTCTGGAGCTGCGGGGCTGCCTAAATGATTACATTGGAATGTGGATAAGCTGATTCTCTGCAATGTATTGGCACAGTGGCATGGTTTATTTATGGATCAGCGAAGAACCTACTCACCAGAACCTACTCACCACATTCCGCTTAAGCAATGTGAGAAGAGATGGGGCATGTACGGAGCACTGTATACTATTTAGAGCTTGAGCCAGAGCCGACCTCTTGAGCAGCACCAGAGCGGTCCGATGAAAAGTCTTTCCCCCCCCCTCTTTTCTCTTTTCTCTTTTTATTTTTATTTTATATTTTTTCTTCTTCCCTCTTGAATCTGAAGAGTGCGAGACCGTTAGTTCTACCTGTCAAAAGAGATTACTTGGAATGATCCATCGTAATGGGAGCTCGTCTGTCGACGCCACTTTGTAGGATGGGGCGCTGCGCCCTTGTCTCAAGTAAATAATCGCTAAAATGGCTTCCGAACACATTACCTGTGTACGTGGCTGAGTTGACCCGAGTCGATAGGACAAATGGAAGACATCGAGAAAGTAGCAGCAGTCGTACAGTATACCAGTTCTTCTAGACTGGTCTATGTCCTCCAGCAACGGACCCCCCAAAAACACGCGACTTTCTCTGATCCCGCCAAGACGGTCCACGGGGCATCTAGACCATCTCATATTCCGGGACGATCGACAATTGTGGCGGGTTCGCATTTCGCACAAGACTTGACTGGACTGACAGGACGTACAGGACTCTAGACTCATCAGCAATGGTATGGAACCGTGCTCTACCGAGCCGAGAACCAAGTTCGCGTCATGTTGACCTGTCCCGTACACAACCCCTATTCGAGTACAGGGATGTACCTGACGTTTACAGTACCTTGCATCGAAATTTGTGGCTGAAGTGGCGTGGCGGGGCTCCCTTCCCTTAGCCTCGAGTATTGGAGCTGGTTGATTAAGCCAGTTGAACATTGATTGGAGCCATGGATGACGGCCGGGCCGCCTGGGAAGCTGTGCGCGTGCCATGGTTCCACTAGTGAACCGCTAACCTGGACCTAAACGCTTAGGAAGGCCATAGTCGTTCTCAGGGGCTGCTGACTCGTGGTAAACTGGTCGCAAAAGGACTCCGTAGTATCTGTAAGAGATGCATGGTAGGGTGCCCTGATACATGCGCATCCTGCTCGCACAGAACGTACGGCTGACGAGTACGCAGTACATGCGCTGCCCAAGGTGGATTCTCTAGGCATGATCTCATCCAATCCGCAAAAGCCAACTAGGAGGAAAATCCTCAAGGCTCCACGAATAGGGGGTGGGCGATTGACTCTGAAACAGCTGCCGGGCCAATCAAGGCCCATCTCAGGGGCAATCCTCGACAAGAGGAAAAGCCTGGGGTGGCTTCCCTAGGCTCTTTTTTCCCAATTTACGGCGTACTAAATTTCTAAATTACAATGCCCTTACCTGGATATGGAGTAGTGCAAGTCCAGGGTCGGGGACAAGCTTGGACGTAGGGGGGTTGTATCCGCCGCGCATCCTCACACTCTCTTGTGTCTAGACCTTCGCTTTTTGGATTGTGGTGCATTCTTTTCCACCCTGTCTCGCGCTTCCTACACTCTCTTCCTCTCTTTTGCGACCGTGTGCTTCTTGCTGTGTTTTGTTGTTCTTATCTGTGCCAGGTTGATCCTGCCACTGCTCTCTCAATTTGTGCTTGTATGGGCCGATTCTACGCGCTTTTATAATACCGGTTTCTTCTCTCGTTCACATCGCATCCAGGCCATACAGCCTGTGTGCGTCAGAATGCGGTCGCTCCTCTGGGCCCTCTGGGCCCTGGGTGCTGCCCCTCAGGTGCTCGCGGCCGACACTCTGAGTACTTCGGGCTTCCAAATCTGCCAATCTGACGCTCCTATCCAGGTCCAGAAACTGGATGTCTCTTACACTCGCTCAAGCAAAGAAGTTGTCTTCGACGTGGCTGGTACCAATACGAAGGAACAAAAAGTCATGGCTACTCTGACGGTCACTGCCTATGGCAGGCAGGTCTACAGCACGAGCTTTGATCCGTGCGGCACCAAGGTCCATGTGGACGAGCTCTGTCCCGGTGAGTAGATAACCCTTCTCTCCTCACCATTTGCTCCTCGAACCCCGCCAGGAGCCGCAGGAGCGACATGGAAAGGGGAGCCAACAGCTAACTCATATCGCCGTAACCAGTCCCGTCCGGTAACTTTTCAGCACAAGGCAAGATGGCTGTGCCCGACGATATCGCAAGCCAAATCCCATCAATCGCATTCAAGGTTCCCGACCTCGATGGCCAAGCCAAGCTGGTCCTTTCAACCGAAGACAACAAGGAGAATCTCGCATGCGTGAACGCGGTCTTGTCCAATGGCAAGTCAGCCGATGTGACGGGCGTCGCTTGGGTATCGGCAGGCATTGCGGCCGGTGCACTAGCGTTTACTGGAGTTTCTGCTATGGCTGCTGTGGGTGGTCACCCCGGTGCTTCCTCGTCAAGTCCGGGCTTCGGCGATGTGATGGGGTGGTTTCACTCAATGGCTACCAATGGCATGCTCAGCGTCAGCTATCCTCCTATTTACCAGAGTTTCACCAAGAATTTCGCCTGGAGTACCGGTCTCATCTCCTGGAATGGCTTGCAAGATTCGATCGACAACTTCCGAAAAGCGACGGGCGGCAATTTAACCGACGACAGTTACACTTACCTGGGCACGTTGAAGTCGAATTCGAATGCAAACGCCTCGGCCACGAAGCGCAGCCTGGACTTGATCAGTCGATCTCTGAACCTGATCCCCCGCTCCGATAGCTCGGACGGCTCCAGCAACAGTGAAATTGATAATATTAAGAAAATTGCCGAGGAGCTCATGGTTCCCTCGGCGAATATCTTCATGACTGTTCTGCTGATCTTTGCGATTGTCGTCGCTGCAGTCATCGTTGGAATTCTGCTCTTCAAAGTGATCCTGGAGGTCTGGGCCCTCTACGGCAAATTCCCCGAGAAGTTAACGAGTTTCCGCAATGACTACTGGGGCCTGATGGCACGTACCATCACCAACATGATCCTTATCGTCTATACTATCTGGGTGATGTATTGTATATATCAGCTCAAGAACGGTGACTCATGGGCAGCCAAGCTCCTGGCCGGGGTGACCTTGGTGGTGTTCACTGGCGTATTGGCCTTCTTCGCCTGGCGTATCATTCACATCGCTCGCAAGTACAAGAAGGCCGAAGGAGACACCAGCTCCTTGTACGAGAACAAGGAAACCTGGCGCAAATACAGTCTCTTCTACGACAACACGAAGACAGACTTCTGGTGGCTCTTCGTGCCGCTCATCGTATACATGCTGGCCAAGGGTTGTATCATTGCTGGTGCACAAGGCCATGGTATGGCGCAAACCATTGCCCAATTGGTCTGCGAGTCTCTCCTCCTTATCCTGTTGCTCTGGGGTCGGCCCTACGCTCGTAAATCGACCATGGGCATCAACATGACCATCCAGATTGTGCGTGTGCTGTCTGTGGTTTGCGTGCTGGTCTTCATTGATGAGCTGGGTCTTTCCCAGACTACCAAAACAGTGACGGGTGTTGTGCTCATAGTCATTCAGTCCGTTCTCACTGCCGTTCTCGCAATCCTCATCGCTGTCAATGCTATGATCTCGCTCTTCCGAGAGAACATCCACAAGAAGCGAAGGAGAGAAGCCGAGAAGGCCAATGGCTTGGACGACCTCACTCCCTTGGATGCGCGGGAGTCTCTTCTCATTGATCACCCTCAAAGAAAAGACTATACCGAGATGAGCAACTTCAATTTCACAGGTCCATACGAACCGTATCACGACCACCCTGCTGATCGGCCTGATTCGGCCGGTAGCCACAAAGGATTGGTTTACGCGGACTACGGCGTGGCACATAGCCACAATCCTAGTGATGACTATCGAGATGATGACCGGAGCAGAAGCCCGTCACTTGAGGGGCGGCGTCCCACTGTCCCCGGCTATGGCATGGCGTACTAGAAATGTCATGTTGCGTACGCACCTTCTTCCCGAGCAATCAGGTCTTGCCGGTGGCCTTTTTTTTTACACCACTAAGAATTCTTTCTTTTTCTTGTTTGACTGGTATTCTTTAGCGTTGTCCGAAGGCCGAACGAGTTCATTTTTTAATTACTGTGGCGCCACTCCTTTCATTTCACCCCCTCCTTTCGCTCTCTTCATACCTGCCTATACCTACAGCATCACACTCTCTCCTACGATACTCTACTGTACCTCTTATATCCTCGTGCTTACATCTCGGATCTCGACGTTCCTTCGCATCCAACCTCTCTTTTTTCCCTTTTATATCTTGATCTGACCTTAGCTACATCTCCAAAATGTGTTTCCTGTACATCGGTCATAGATTGTCATTGCAAAATCCTTTCGTGATATATTCAGAGAGCGTAGTATGACCAGGAAGAGTATGAACTAGAATCTAAGATCTTCGTGCACAAAGCTTTCTGCGTAGGATCAATAGGCCCGAAGGGCATTCGCTTGGACAAGTCCTCCACTAGGACGCAGAACACTACATCTATCTACTACACAGGATATGAGAGGGCAAAATAATTGAAATCATCTGTTTGATTATTCGAAAGACGTATCGAATCACCCGTCAGCTGGATGGGCTGTTCATTTTATGGAAACAAGAAAGACAAGAAAAGAACAGGCCGTGCCCCATCAGGTCCAGTAATAAAAAGAATTTTCAGAAACAATTGTCAAGAGTTAGGTCTCCACGATGGTAAGAGATACTCGAACGGACAGAAAAAAAAAGAAAAGAAAGAAAAGGAAAGGAGAACCTCGATGCAGACTCGTCTAGCGAGAATAGGGGTGGAATCCACGGTGCCCTCCTCTGCCACCGCCGCGGTAGTTCGCACCGGGCTTGCCAGCGTTCCGGGGACCGGTAGGGGCATTTGCTGGAGGAGTGCCCTGAGGTTGAGGGGTAGATGCTAGATCGAGTTAGTTCAAGGTCAACGACATTTTAAGGCGAGAGGTATTTTCATACCGTTTCCTTGCGGTCCTGTGGGAATGCTAGGCTGAGGGACTTCGTCATACATCCCCTCCCACGAAGTTGGGCCACCCTGTTGATAGGGGAGAGAAAGCGCGGGTCTCCAGATGGCGACGGGCTTGCTGCTGTTCATACTTTTGCTGCTCAAAGGCGATCTGCTCCTGTGCATTATAACCAGGTCCGACCTGACGGTTGTTGTAGTTGCCGCTCATACTGGGATTAGGGCTAGCACCACCATTACCGCTGCCCGCCTGGCCTGGATTCTGCATTTGTTGCATCATGGCAGGGTTGATTGGCTGCATAGCAGCCGTGTTGGGACTTTGAGGGTTAGGACTCATGTTCCCCTGTGGCTGCGCGTTCATCCCCTTCATTTGCTGCATCTGCTGCATCTGTTGCATCTGCTGCATCTGCTGTAGCATTGCCGGGTTCATGCCTCCACCCATTCCTTGGCCCTGACCAGCCATGGCCATTTGCTGCTGCATCATCGCGAAGTACTGCTGCATTCGCTGCCAGTATTGCGCCATCATCTGGGGGGGTCATACCGCCAGTCATTCCCTGCTGGGCACCTTGCTGCTGGGAGCTGTCTCCTTGGTTCATATCCCGAAAATTGTCTCTGCCACGACGACCTCCTCGGTCTTCATCACGCAAGTTACCACGGGGTTGAGCTTTCTTCACCTCAATGGGCTTGCCGAGAATCTCTAGGGGCATAGAAAGGGCATTTTCAACGGCAGCTTCGCTGTCAAAAGTCACGAAGCCAAATCCACGAGGGCGCCCAGTGTCCTTGTCAATCATAAGGGTGGCATCGACCACGCGACCAAATTGCATGAAGAACTGCTTGAAATCCTGCTCGGTAGCCTCTTGGCTCACACCACCGACGAAAATCTTGCTTGTTTTCTCTTGTTCATCACGCGGGATTGCGCGCTTGGGATCAATCTGGAAATTAAAGAAAGGCAAAGGTGAGTGATGAGCTTTGCGGTTTTATGAAGGTCGGGAATCTTACGATTTTGCTATCCAAGTAATGTTCCTTCACCATGACAGTATTCACAGTCTTCGGGTCACGGAAGGTCAGGAAACCAAATCCACGAGAGCGACCAGTAGTGCTATCGCGCATGACGGTGCATTCCTGGACCTCGCCGAATTGCGAGAAGTAGTCGCGTAGGGATTCTGTTGGAAGTTAGACCCAGGAACCTTTCTTCGACGATCATGGTACATACGATCTGTTGTCTCCCAATTCAACCCGCCAATGAACATTTTTCTATTCCATGATAATCAGCGACAATCCAAAAGCGTATATAGGACAACTGTTGCCGCATTAAGGCAAACTCCAGTTGGTATTGAAGATGCAAAACATAACGAGAACACGAAAGCGATGGAGAGGCTGGTGGCGCTAAGCTGCTATTCACGATATGCTGGTATTTCCGGAGCTCCCAACACGGATCCATGATGTCGATGTCGATATACGTTGTGAGCGAGCATGTATGAAGACCAGGAAGGTCTCGTGTTTTACATGAGCATAGAGTAAACGCCGTCTCTTGGACGTAATGTTTGATACACGCACCCAGGAACGAGAGCGAGATAGAGGGCACAGAGAAATATCAGGCGTAAGGAGTCAATTGGTCTCTGTCTCTGTCTTTCTGTCTTTGATTTGGGGGAGGACGTGAGTCTCACAGAGCCCCAAGCTAGCTTGAATGGGCCGGATAAACCTCCCACCGGACAGCGCTGCTAATTCATGCTCTCTGCTCTATCAAGGTATATCGACAAGAGGCTATATAGTATCCGCTGTACTATATATGTCGCTCGCAACGAAATGGTTGATTCTTGCGGCCAAAGAGCCCTTGTGTCAAAGACCACCTCTTGGAATACCAGCTCGTATGCTCCTTCATGTTTTGGGATTTGTTTAGGTCATCATTTTTGGAAACTGACGGCCGACAATAGACCATGGCATGGTGGAAGGGCGCGTTAGGTCATCAAGAAGGAACCACCCAGCCAGACTGGTAGGATCACTGAGCTCATAGACTGTGTTGATCAACCCTTATGATGCATAAGAGATAGCCATATTGGATTTCTTGCCGCTCTGCTCCCATGTTCCGATTGTAGAAGTTCATGGTCTATATTTGGGTCCGGTTTATTTTGGGATCTTTCCCAGTCGCATATCCGTGAAATAGCAACTCGCGCCACCGAGCATAAATCGAGAAGAAAGAAAACAGAACTAGGGAAGAAGTCAGTACTCACCCATCTTCCTTGATTCCAGTGCCGTGAGACTCATTCTCGGCAGGAGTAGCTGCGGGGTTGATGCTAGCCCCATGGGATCCGTTGTTGTACTCTGCGCTATGGTCGGGCTGGGAAGGAGCCTGAGGTTGGTATGGCTCAGATGGCGATGGATCCTGAGCTGGCGCTGCAGCTGGCGCAGGTGCTGGGGAAGGGTCACTTGCGACAGGTTCAGCGGGTTTGACCGGCTCTACTGCAGAGGTAGTACGGTTGGTAGATTCGTCGGCATCGTAGCTAAAATAGTAAAAATCAGCGATCGACGCGTCGGCTTAATGCTGGCCGGGGACTTTACAGGTCAGCGAAGAGATCCTCTTCCAGATCTTCTGGTTCGGCCATGGCGTTGGGAGGGGGAAGATGCTGCAGATCAGACAAGGGACAATTGGATGGAAGAGAGCTCGAGCACGAGCAGAGAAATGAAGAAAAGCAAGAAGCTCCGTCCAGTGGCGACTTGCCTAGCAGAAATCAAGAGGGAAAGAGAGTGGACGTTTGAACAAGTTGAACCTTGGGAAGGGAGGGAAAAGCCCTGAGGCGGAGGAGCCGTGGCTTACATACGCAGCGCTCTGACGTTTCTAGGCTCGTATGCTGCAAGGTTCAAACGGGTTGATACATTAAGTGATTGAGGTGGTCTGATCTCCTGGGATCCTTCTCCCTACTCGCTCTCATAACTCAACTCGGTCTCACACTAGCTCCACGTCATGCTATACTAAGGTTATACCCCCTTGTGGCTAGGCGGGAGGAGACATCAAGTGCGTTCACTGCGCCCCGCATTCGACATCCCGAGCTCGCGCTGTCCTTTTCATAGATCGCCATGACGAACAAAAAGGGAAACCAGGTATGTCATTCGGGCTTTTCAAGTCTTGGGTAAACGCTAATGGGCATCGAAGGAAATGGTACAAGTGGGTGAGTGTCCCCCGCAGGGTTCTTTGCAATGCGATAGCTAAACACAGTCCGCTCACGACAAATTAGACAACTCCGAGTATGTACCACATTGCCCTATTCCTTCCTTCCTGCCCGTCCCTGTTAATTGTTCTATACTAATTGATATCAGACGCACAGATTCTCCATTCTGGGCTGGGCGCTCTACGTCACTAAACCAGCCACCGAATGTCTACGGGCATAACACCGTGGTCGGCGCATCATACTCCCATGCCAATATCCTACAGTTCGTGAGAAAAAACATTGTGGGCAAATTGTTCATGCTAACTATCTGATAGAGGATCTTCAACTACCACGCGTCCCCGAACGCCACCCAAGCCGTCTGCTGCCAATGTGTCATCGCACTTGGCCCACCGTTCAGGAAATATCGCATCGCCTCCACGAGAGCCTTATGCCGTCATGACCGAAGGGGCTGATGAATGGAACCGGGACCCCGCAGAGGAGGAGGAGGATGAAGATGACGAGATTGTGTTCGATGAGGATGAAGATGAATTTGGCCTCCCAAGCCTAGCAAGCATGAGGCGAAAGAAGACACCTGCTTCGATCAAACCTAAGAACATTGACCCTGGTGGATCTTCGGGCAACACCTCGCTTGGATTTGGCTTGTCCAGCAACAATCGACAACGAGCAAATAGCTCGGATATTGCAGAAGAGCGAGGGACGCCCATGTACCCAAGCGCACGCAAAATTGACGGCAAGATCCTCCGACCGCAGTACAAGGACATTCTACAAGATCCGGCAAATGCATTGAATCTTATTAACCATGCTACGCTTCCTACAAACGCCACACCCAAGGAACGAGAGACTAATTCCAGTCGGATCTCGCGCATCAACAAGTTCAAACGCATTTTACAGGCGAGCACGGTGTCTCTCACTGAACTCCGAGACCTTGCATGGTCGGGGGTGCCAGAGGAAGTTCGACCCATGACATGGCAGCTCTTGCTTGGTTACCTGCCCCCGAACAGTGAACGACGCATATCGACCCTCGAAAGGAAGCGCAAGGAGTATCTTGATGGCGTAAGGCAAGCCTTTGAGCGCGGCAGCTCCACTACAGCAAACCCTCCAGCTGCGAGCGCTGGACGTGGCAGAGGACTGGACGAGGCGATCTGGCACCAGATTAGCATTGATGTTCCTCGAACGAGCCCACATATCCCCCTCTACGGATATGAAGCGACACAGCGATCTCTGGAGCGAATCCTATATCTATGGGCTATCCGGCATCCAGCGAGTGGGTATGTGCAAGGTATCAACGACCTTGCGACGCCATTTTGGCAGGTATTCCTCGGGGTTTATATAACTGATCTCAATGTGGAAGAGGGTATGGACCCGGGCCAACTCCCCAGAAGTGTGCTGGACGCTGTGGAAGCCGACACGTTCTGGTGTCTGACAAAGCTGTTGGATGGCATCCAGGATAATTACATCTACGCCCAGCCTGGTATTCATCGCCAGGTTCGGGCATTGCGGGACTTGACAGTGCGAATTGACGCTTCCCTTGCCAAACACCTTGAACAGGAAGGTGTCGAGTTCATGCAATTCAGTTTCCGATGGATGAATTGCCTCCTCATGCGTGAAATGAGTATCAAGAACACAATCCGCATGTGGGACACGTACATGGTATGTGCGATTCAATAATTCGTGTTATGATTCAGAGCTAATGATCAACTTAGGCTGAGGAGCAGGGCTTTTCACGATTCCATCTTTACGTTTGTGCTGCGTTTCTGGTCAAATGGACAGATCAACTAGTAAAGATGGACTTTCAGGTACGTGGCAACGTCTTCTTGTTGGTGGATTGGACAAAAATTCAGCTGACACTACCTAGGAGGTTATGATGTTCCTTCAGGCACTGCCTACAAAAGACTGGACGGAGAAGGACATTGAACTTTTGTTAAGTGAAGCATTTATATGGCAGAGTCTGTTTCAGGATTCCCGTGCCCATCTCCGGCCTGCGGGTGACACGCCTCCTGAAAATGGTATCTTTTATTGATAATCATTAATATTTTCCCATTCTGCCTCAATTGAAGTGGATGCCTTTCTGGTTAAAGGCCCACAGCATTTTCAAAAAGTCGTTCTCATCACACATTCTGGCGCGCTTGTCTGCCAGCCCTGTTTCATCCTCTAGCACTTGGCGAACCTTTTCTCGTACCACCTCCGAAACCTTCCCCCGCTTTTTTCGCTGCGACTGATTTTTGAGCGCCTGTTGGAGGCGAGCGTTTGTCTCTTCTTTGAAAAAGTCCGGCACGTCATCGTCATCGTCCATCTCCATCGCCTCATCTGCCTCCTCTGCTCCCGCATCCTCTCCACCCATGTCCATAGTATCGCCATCTGCATCCTCCACGGGGCCGTCCTCCACAGGTATATCGTTTTGAGCGCACCAGGTGCGGTAGTTAGCTTCCAGGATATTCATGATACTGGCTGTGCCAATGAAGCTGGCTCGCAATGTCTTGTTCTTTCGCACGAAGGCAATGCGCAACAGACCATCCCATTCTTCATAGTTGATCTGCGGCCGTGGAACCTTCGGGACCATGCGAATCACACTAGATTCCACCAAAGGTGGGGGTTTGAAGTTGTTCTTGCCAACCTTCATGATATGATCAATCTTGGCCCACATTTGCGCATTGACAGAAAGTCGACTGTAGAGCTTGTCGCCGGGTTTGGCAAATAACCGAAGGGCAAATTCACGCTGGAACCTACAAACCAAATAAAATCATTAGCAAGATACATCGTCGAGGGCGAGGATATATTCGTACATGAGAATGCACACCCGAGGCGCTGGTAGGGTGGCTAACAGCTTGAATGTGAGGGGCGATGAAATCTTTCCGATAGAAATATCAGCAATGACCTGTGAGATAGGGACTCTAGGAGGCGCACCTGATAAGGAGTGTTGGAAATGCAGACATCAAAGTAGGGAAGCTCAGTCTTCATCACGTCGCCAAGGATGACGTCGAGCCGCTTTTGGGAGGGTGTGCCTTGGAATCGCTTGGTGACTTCGGCGGCCATTCGCGGATCAAGTTCAACCGCAATAACCTTCTTCGCTTCTTCCAGGATCTTGGCCGTCAAGTTCCCGGTACCAGGGCCAATCTCAAGCACAATATCACTTTGTTTCAGTTCGGCCTTTTTCACGATTCTTTTAAGAAGTTGGCGTTAGTCCGGTGCAAGGAGCGTCCTCTATGAGTGAACCTACTGTTCTGCAATGCCGGGGTTTTTCAAAACGTGTTGGCCGATATCTGTATTCATTTTAAAAATGCTGTGGGCAGCACTAGTCTTTGCTGCAGCATCTGCATGTGCGCTATTGCGCTTCTTGTACGGCGCTTTAGGCATTGGGGGCTGTATGATCCAAGCAGGATTGTCCAAGTAAAGGCTGCTCTGTTGATTGTGGGACATTTTTTTTCTGCATACACCACTATCTCTTATCTGTGGGGGCCCCGGGCTCGGACTTTCTTTCCTCCGTCAACCTTCCCCATCGGACTTTCTTTTCTCCGTCAACCTTCACCATCGCCACAGTACTATCTCTTATCGGTGGGTCCCGGATACGGATTTTAGTTTACCCGTCCCCACTCGATCAGCACCATGTCGTCGCGGTGGGAGCGTTCAACATCTTTTCCAAGCACCCCGGAAGGGTACCAGACCCTTGACTCCAACGATAGCCTCATCGAACCCGAACTCATGGCACCCGACCAGGACTTTCTGAAGCGGCCAGCACCAGCCAATTACGTCGCGGGCCTGGGTCGAGGTGCGACTGGATTCGTGACCCAGTCAGACCTTGGCCCTGCGCGTCAAGGCCCAACGCCTGAGGATATTCAAGCAGCCCTCAAACAGCGAGCTGAAGAACTGGGTAAAGGAAAACCAACAGCTTACATCAATAACTCGCGTGAAAAAGGGAAAGAGAAGGAAATTGACGAAGACGACAATGATCCATACCAAGACCCCGACAACGAGGTTGGCCTGTTCAGCAAAGCTCCTTACGATGCAGATGACGCGGAAGCCGACCGCATATGGGATATGATCGAGGAAAAGCAAACTAGGCATACCCGTAAACGCCAGTAAGTCTTCGCCCTCATCCCCGATTGTTTGGATACAGTGCTAACCCGTGTGCGCAATCTACAGGGCCGCTCGTGAGCAACGCGAACGCGAAGAACGTGAACGGAAAAACCCCACCATTTCTCAGCAGTTCGCCGCTGAAAAACGAGCTCTCGCCTCTGTCACCTTGGAGGAATGGGAAAATATCCCGGAAGTAGGCGACCTTACCGGCAAGAACCGTCGTGCCAGAGAAAACCAACGACAGCGGGCCTATGCTGTTCCTGATAGCGTCATTGGCAGTGCTAGCAGATCTGCCCAGTATGGTTCGACAATTGCCGACGATGAAGCTGCTGAACCGGAGAGTGAACAAGTGGACTTTGCGGAAATCGGTGGAGCGCGTGGAAAAGCGCTCAGGCTTCGACTGGATCAAGCTGCGAAGGACGCCGAATACAACGGAAGTGCTACTAGCGTTGATCCTAAGCAGTATCTTAAGGAGCTTGACATAATCGAAAAGAGGGCGCAAGCAAGCGAGAGCAGCGAAGTCAAAGAAAATCGTTATCTCTACGAAAACGTGGTCAAAAGCAACCCAACGTACGCCCCTGGATGGCTTGCCCTCGTCAACCTTGAGGAGAACGCAGGTCGACTTGGCGCTGCTAAGAAGGCTGTCCAGAAGGGTTGCGCGCACTGCCCAAAGAGTGAGGATTTATGGCTAGCGAATATCCGACTGCATGAAGGCAAAAATGCGAAAATCGTTGCTGCTGAGGCTCTTGACAAGCTTCCAAAGTCGGCCAACCTTTGGGTTGAGGCGATAAGACTGGAAACGGACCCCCCAGATGAAGAAAAATGTTGCACGTCGGGCTATTGAGAATAACCGTACGTCGATTCGGATCTGGAAAGAAGCAGTCAGTTTGGAGGAACACGCCGAGCAAGCGAGCAAGCTTCTCACCAAGGCAGTTCAACTTATTCCCTTGGCAGTGGAGCTTTGGCTGGCTTTAGCCCGCATGCAGAAGACTGCCGAAAGTGCTCAGCAGATTCTAAACCAGGCACGCCAGGCTGTCCCTACAAGTCGCGAAATTTGGATAGCTGCTGCCCGTCTTCATGAGCAAACAGGGGGCTCCTTTGAGAAACTTAACATTATGGAGCGTGCGGTCAAGGCTCTTTCTCGAGAGAATGCGATGCCAAAGCGGGAAGAATGGATTGGAGAAGCTGAACGTTGCGAGGAGGAAGGCGATGTTCTGACTTGTGCTTCCATCATCCGCGAGACCCTCGGATGGGGCTTAGGCGAAAACGACGATCGAAAGGTCGTATGGGAGGACGATGCAAAGGCCTGTATTGGCCGTGGTAGTTATGCAACAGCCCGCGCCATTTATCAATTTGCAGTGCGTGTGTTCCCTGAAGATCAATCTCTCTGGAATGCAGCGGTGGATCTGGAGCGCGTCCACGGCACGAAGGAGGCTCTCTTGAAGGTCCTGAAGCAAGCGGTTGAGGCCTGCCCCAAAGGCGAACAGTTTTGGCTACAGTATTCGAAGGAACTGTCCCAGTCGGGTGAGATCGATGAGGCCCGGAAGGTGCTCGGCCTTGCTTTCGACAAAAATCCCGGCAATGAGAATATTTGGCTTGCTGCCGTTAAACTTGAAGCGGATTCCAACCAAATCGAACAAGCTAGAGAACTGCTTGCCACTGCTCGCCAAGAGGCTGGGACGGATCGCGTCTGGGTCAAGAGCGTGACCTTTGAAAGACGATACGGCAATAACGAAGATGCGCTTCGCTTGGTCAACGACGGACTTTCTCGTTACCCGAAGGCTGCTAAACTTTGGATGAGCAAGGGGCAGATTTACGAAGCACTCAAAAAATTGCCCCAGGCTCGTGAAGCATACTATGCTGGCTATCAGGCTTGTCCCCATTCTGCGCCGCTCTGGATCCTGGGTGCTCGGGTGAACGAAAAGCTCGGCGTGGTGGTTCGAGCTCGTGGCATTCTCGATCAGGCACGCATCAAGAATCCGAAGAGCGAGTTGCTGTGGCTGGAGAGTGTACGTCTGGAACGCCGCAACGGTAGCATCAAGAACGCCCAGTATATTATGGCCCAAGCGCTCCAGCAACTCCCGAAATCTGGTTTGCTCTGGAGTGAAAATGTCTGGTACCTGGAGAATCGTGCCCAGCGCAAGACACGCTGCCTCGAAGCCATCAGGAAGGTGGATAACGATCCAGCCTTGTTTGTCACCGTGGCCCGGATTTTCTGGTCTGAGCGACGCTTAGAAAAGGCAATGACCTGGTTCGAAAAGGCCATTGTCGCAGACCGTGACTATGGCGATGGGTGGGCTTGGTATTACAAATTTTTGACGCTGCATGGGACCGAGGTTAGTACACCAGCTTCTTCTCAGAAGAGTGCTCTACTGACATTTCCGAAGGAAAAACGAGCCGACGTGATGTCCAAATGTGTTTCAAGCGAGCCCAAGCATGGTGAAGTGTGGCAGTCTATTTCCAAGGACCTGGATACGCCACGCGACTCAACTGAGGAGATTTTGAAGGCCGCTGCCAATGCCGTTGAGTAACGATCCGACGTGATATCCAATTGTGTTTTTTGAGCGAGTCCAGGCATGATGAAGTGAGACAGTTCTATTTCCAAAGACCTGGCTCCTCCGCGCGAGTCGCCTAAGATTTTGAAAGCTGCTGCGAATGCCAACTGAGGGTCCCCCAGTTGAAGTTGACGTACCTATCTATCATACGTAGCTAGCTAGTGCAATGATACCAAAACAATTTCCCTGTCTCTTCGTCGTCTGTGATTTCTGCCGAGTAGGTCCTTTGTAATAGAGTAAACACTATATGTGACTCGTGGAAGCAGGAAAGATTCGGAAGGTGCATAATGTGTATCTGGGGACTAAGATGAGTACGAAGAGTACTAGCAGTTCACGGCTTCTACCGTGGAAGAACTCTTTTAGAACATCTCCATCCTTGAGTTCTTCCAAGGTTGTATAGAAGATATTAGTCGGCCCCTCCTGCCTTGCGTCTTCTAGCGCTTCTAAGTTTGCCGTTCAGTCCACGTTGTTAGCATGAATAATTGGAGGTAAACCTACTGTTTTCTAGTAGAGTGTCGACCGCAGTGAGAACGCGTTCTTCTTATAGAAATCGAAGTGGGTCTGGCTGCGTCTACTAGCACGGCATGATAGCCCTGCTTTTCTCCTGTTGTCCGCTGTACTGTTGCTTTTGGCTATTAAAGTAGCCCCCGAAATGTGATCAAGTTTCGAAATCATGTATCAAATTCATATGGGTATCGAACAAGCTTGGCCTCTGTCTCGAAGGAGAGGCCTTGTTTGCATGTCTGCGTAGTTTCAAGAAAAAGGCCCCCGAAATCCATCCGTTTTAAAAAGTACTGTACATCAAAGGCGATTGACCATGAAGGGAAGACAGAGCGTAAGACAGAAAGGTGAAAGGTTGCCAACACGCAGAAATGAAACCATTATCACAAAAAGAGATGCAACGCCAAGACATAATGCTAGAGTAAAAGATGACCACACAGTGGTTGTTAGAGAAGCCCCGGACGCCACATTTCACCTGATCGGATCTTGGAACGCAGAAAAATAGAAAATAGAAGAGACACCAAGATAATCGCGACTGGGTTGTCAAGTCTCTGTCATCTTCATGCGGCCATGGAGAGACACTCATCGAGCAGTGAGCCCAATTGACCATGATCTGCGGCGGTGCCACCTTCCCAATCTGAAAAGAGATCATCGTTATCGTCGAGATCCATCTCATCATCCTCGATGGTTTTGACGTCAAAAGAATCAGTGCCGCCGTTCTCCAACCTGTCTTGCTTCTCGGTCTCCAGCTCATCTTCAAAGTACCCACCCATGACCTGGTCAATGATGAGTGGCATATGTCCCAAGACCCCACGATTAAGCTCGAGGGTCTGGCGCAGATCTCGGACGCCAAGGGGCCTTCGAATAGCAGCTTCTTTGGCCTCGACCGGAAGTAGTCCCGTTGCAGTGTCTTTGGTAATTTCACCACGTGTGAAGGCGAGCTCTTCGATCTCGAGCTGCTGTCGGTATTTACGCATCATCATTCCGTTGATCGTACCGGACGGGCCATTGGAGCGTGTACGCGAGAAAACGGAAGATAGCACGTCTTTGACAAACGTTTCGGTCGCAATGGCCATGAATTCAGCGGCCGGTAAACCGGCACCGCCAGGCAGAGATTCCTCGTAACAGATAGGGACCATACGGGCATGAATAGACTCGGCGTCGGGAAACTCGCCCGTTTCGGCGGCAAGAGGCTGTGCGTATCGTTTCCGGATTTCTAGCTCCCAATCTGCAAATTTCCGAGGTGGTTAGAGCCAATTTCGAACGAACGAGCAGATGCGTGTTGCGTGGGTGGTGCGGTATTCTTACTAGTCTTATTGAGTCCTCCAGCACTTGCAGGAACTTGGCTTGGAAGTTTGATCTGTTTTGCCAGGTGGTATTCTTCCAGTTCACTGGGCACAGAATCATTTGGATCACGCTGTAAATCTGTCAGCCTCCTCGCCTTTCAACCTTTTAACTCCGGCAATAGAATTGGCTTCATACGTCTGGAATTGCTTTGATTCTTCTGCGATCTCGAGGAGGAAGCTGCATCACCTCGGTCTTCAACCGCTGCTCCGCTGCGTCTCCCGAGACCGGCTTCGATACCACCGAGGGTTTGTCGTTAGCTGACACCCAATTCGCTACGCCATGATCGGGGAGATCTCGCGTGAGGTTTCCGATGATTGCGCAGACAAAGTTGTTATGAAGATGTTCGGTCTTGGGGTCGGCGCAAAGGATATGGTCGACTCGCGACGCGTACTCGTTTTGGTTGTAATGTCCTAGTTACGTCTGATGTCAGTATCGGTCCAGCTGTCTTGCCAGCCAAATGTCCGGTACGAATTGAGGGACAAAGTAAGGAATTTGCAGAGTGTATGTGCCGTACCTAGTAGAAAGAGGGCTGTAGATTCCTTGTACTCGGTCCATTGATCCCCGATCGCGGCCTTGAGATCGGTGTAGGCACGCTCCAGATCCAACCTCGGCACAGAGATCAAAGCCCTCGAGGACTTCACGGTCGCTGGAGCATTTTGCGCCGCATTTTTGGCCGCGTTTGACACCGAGTCAGTGCGACTCAGGGCGGCCGGGTCGATCTGCATGGCTGGGAGGACTCGCAGGTGCGCGACGAGGCGAGGCCGAAGGGCGCAGGTAGGATTAGGAACTAGACATTCATGGGACCCAACGAAGGGGATGCGACGAAGATGGAGGATGGTTTAGATGGGAAGGATGATGGATCGATGATGAAAAGGGCGATGGCGAAGGGTGAAGGGTGGAAGGTTTCCCGCCTTGAGGTCCCCGCCAGAAACGGTTTCCACTTCCCGAAACGATAGAACGTGGTTGAAGTGGAATTGTAGCATACAAGACTCAGGGAGCTTTCATTGCGGGCTTACGGCTAGTCAAGGAACTTCGGGAATTTCTGGATTTTCGGAATATGTGGTTCATTTTCGATGGTCCATGCTATACAAACTGCACTACGTCCTCGTTCAATACGCCGAATAGATCTCGGATGTCCTGCAGGATCGCAGTGATCTCCTTGGACAGTTGACCCGTCACCAAGACTGTTTAGAAGAGGTATTAGCCAATTCAAGAAGCCTCGCGTCAAGGGAAGCAACTTACTATACGCATACAGCAAAGCGCGATCTTCTTCCACCATGGCGGAGGATTCCTCGCCCTGGCTGAAATGATAGATACGAGCCAAGAGTCGGTCGCGTGCGTGGTCAACACTGGGTAAGACGTCACTCAGGGGGTATTCAAGTTTCATGGAAGAAGCCATCACTAATGGAGAGTTAGCATTCCGAAGGACATGTTGCGCATCCGCGGACTTACCAATCAAAAGATGGCTGATGCGAGCAGAGAGCTGCTGCCGCTCCCTGGCAGTGTATTTGAGGAGACGCATTTCTCCCTCAGTGGCGGTTTCGTTCTTCAAGAGCTCTAAGTTCATCGCATCAAATGCATTTACCATGCTGCGAGTAGCCCGCAGAATGTTGGCATATGGAATATCAGCAAACGCGCTCTTCAATTCGAACTCGGAGCCTGCTGCAACTCGAAGAGACTCCAATCGGGACAGACTGCGTTCGAGTAAGAGTCTTTCCCGAGCTGTCATATAGACAGTAGATCTTCCACTCGTCGCCATCACTGACAATGGATCACGTTTCCAGACAAGCGCTAGCCGTAGCCAAAGGCTACTCAGCGCTTCCTTCAATCGACTGCGGGCACTAATTGGCCAGACAATGCGGGTGATGATAATACCCCATATGCAACCGGACAACACAGCAACAACTCGGTGAAGGGCGATCTCAGTAATGATCGGGTGATCACCCCCTTCATCTGGGTCGTCGGCTTCCTTTTGCGTCAGAGAGTAGGCATAAAGAACTGAAAGATTGTATGTGAGCATGATAAATCGGCCCAAAGGCCCGTTGCCCTTTGCAAGTGTAATCCAGGCAGTCCATGTCGCCATTAACCATCCAAAGAACGCAAGACCAAACACATTACCATCCGTAATGTGCCAGAATAGGATAGCACACGGCCCCAAGGCAAGTGCCGCCAAAACGGGCATATCCTGTGGTATTGGAGGCGCCGATTGTCATGGAACATACCAACATGTACGAGAGCAGACCCCATTCGCCCCTCCACCGTTGATAGAAAGGGCGAGTTGAGGGTAAGAAGGCGGGCAACGCATAAAGAGCGGCTCCCAGCCCAACTTTGATGGCATACTTGATGTCGTCACGGCGTATGATTTCGAGGGATTTCCATAACCGATAGCCAATCCTTTGTTTGATCGTAGCTTCGGTCACTGGCGCTGAAGGCTTCCGATTGAGGGAGGCTGCATTTAACTGATCAAACTGGAGCTGAGTCTGCAGGGATGGTCGGGGCGTATTTGTCTCCGGGTGAGTTGGTTCATCTAAGACATTTTAGCACATTCTTATAATATGGCGTAGCGAGCATACCTGTTTCGGAGGGTTTCTCTACTCTCCAAAATTTGATCCAGCCCCAGGAACGTCCGTTTGGTCGCTCCTCGGTTTCGAGTTGTAGCTCGTCAAGGATCGTCAATAGTTCATGGAGTTGTTCTCCAAACTCCAAAAGGGAAAAACTGAAGTGACCGCAGCTGGCTGAGATCTCTTCCAAATCGGCTTCGGCATCGGGGCCTTTAAGCCTCATTGCCTCGGTCTGCTGGTAAAGCAGTTTCAAAGCTTCTCGTCGCCGCTGTCGGTAAAGATCCAGTGCCCGGTCAAGGCTGATTCGAAGCCGACTATCCACTGACACTTTGTAGTCAGGAGCAGGTCCAAATGGGATCTCATTGAATATTTCCTTCAGTGTGAAAGCCAGTGAATGCTGACTCGTCAGCAAAAACATCATGGAGGCATTGTTCGTTAAGTTTGGTAGTCACTTACCATAGGCCTGCCAAGATGTTGTATGAAGATGCTAAAAACGCCCGCCGGGCTGAAAACTGACTCGTGTGTTGAGTTCCCATCTGTCAAGTCCTCTTCGGGGCGTTCTTCAATGGGTTCAAGGAACGATCCGTCTGTATAGGACCATGAATACTGGAGCGGCATAGCTTCACCTGCGTTGGGTGTGGCTATACCAGTTGGCGTGTCGGAGTCGGCAGCAGTTGGCTCTCGAATCAGACTGAATTGTAACGCGGCGGCACTGCGCAGGCCTCCCATGTTATGGGTGATATCCTGTACCCATCGGACAAGTCGTTTTTCCAACCGGTACTCTTTCTCCGTTCCAGCTAGGAAGTGCTCCAGCTTGGCGTCTCGTATCAAACCGTCCAGTTTATTGTAAGCTTGGCGGTGATCCCTCTCAGCTTTCAGAAATTTCTCCGAGGCCAATATTTCTTCTGATCCATCCAAGAAGCTTGCAGTGATGAGACTCAACATAGTAGCCAACGTGTCAGCGGCCTTCACGAGGTTTTTACGAAGGTCCTTACGCGCAGAAGTGGGGAAGATTAAGAATGAGACCGCCATGGCTATCACGACTCCCATGATCACCATCTTCAAAACCTGGAGAATTTTGTTGAGGGACAGATCTCCATTTTGGACGGCGCCTTCTTTAGTCAAGACAGTAATGGTGGAGAGCGCCGTAAGTGAGCAGGCGACGTTAACCAATGGATCGCCCAGTCGCTGTTTGGTCCATCCGACGAACCCAAGTCCGCCGCCACAGAATACGATCAGAACCAGCGCATGGCCTAGTACGGGGAGGTCGAAGGTGTCCTGGAAGAGATTCTCCACAAGCATACTTGTAATCGATAGAAATGCCGAGTAACAAAAGGCAAGCAATGCACAGATCGAGGCACGATACATGCTCCCTTGTGTCCTTGCCGGGTGGAAATACACCGTGACCGTAGCCACCATGTGTTTACCATCTTGATGGCCAAGAAGGGCCGAAAGGGCGGGAACAAAAGTTGCGAGGGAGCCAAGCACGTAGGCCAGTCCACATTTTAAAATGGGGATCACATGCTCTGTGGCCAAGCCTTGATAGATCCATGTCTGCACTCCCTGTACTCGCTCGTAGAGCGGCGTAGTGTCGCCCTCGTGATGTGTCTGGATTTCGTTCGATATGAACCCGCGCCGCTCGTCATCGTTCCGGTCGGATGTGTCTGCTAGGCCGGAGCCGCGGATATTGAGAAGGCCTTTGAGGCGCTGGCCAGTCCGGGGAAGAATAAACGTAGCTACCTGTGGTAGCTGTCGGGGATCAATATCTCGGCGCTGGTGAGTTTGCGGTGAGTACACATACCTTGGGCCGCAAAGAGCGGCTGGAGCTACCTGGAGCTTCAGATGGCATCGGCAGGTATGTTTCACGAGCGAGTTCGGCGCGGCATTATGAGAGAACACCACAGATACACCAGGGGCCTGCAGATGCAATTGCACTCAACGAATTTGGGAGACGTGGCGGGGGACGCGAGGACTGGAAAGCTGTGGCCAACTTTGACTCAGCGTGTGGCCCGCTGGCCCCGGTGCATCTGCATGTATTTTGCTAGTGCCGTTTCTCGACGCTTAGGACTTCAGGTCAAAGAGTTACACGGGATGTTGATTTGTCTAGCTCAACTTCTACTTCTCGATTGTGATAGATACCAGCTCATTTCAATCCTTCCACTTTCCACACCTTCACAGCAGCATCCGCACCGGCAGAAGCAAATTTCGAGCTTCCTTCCACCCATGCAACGCCGTTAACGCCTTCCTTATGAGCGTTCTTCATCTCAACCCAGTCACCTGGGTTGGCCAGACTCCAGACGAAGATATTGGTGTCCAGGGAGCCACTCAAGACGTGCGTTCCTGTCGGGTTCCAGGCAATGGACGTAATACGTGCCGTGTGAGCAGTCCACCTATCCGTGACTAAACTGCCATCGGCCACTTTGTAGACCAGGATGCGACCACGGAAGTCACCCGCGGCGAGAAGGGAGGTATCTGGGGAGAACGCCAAGAAGGAAATCTGGTCTCGGGAGGCTTTAATATCGGTTTGACTGGAGAAGCTAGAGCTGGAGACCTGGCCGATCTGAATTGATCCATCTTCGCCGCCAACCGCTGCCACAGTCCCATGTGCAGCTACAGTGGTGATGGGGAACTTGGCCTTGTAGGCGCCAGTTTTCGTACCATCCTGGTATATTTCAAGGGCCTCGGCAGCCGCGACCAAGACGGTTGAATCGCCTGCAGCCACGCCCTTCGGCTGGCCAGTAAGCTTTGTCGTACTCCCAGTGTAAGTTTTCACAGCAGCATCAATAGAACGGATAGTATCGTCCCAGCCAACACTATAGATCCGTCCCGCGCCCTCGGGTGTTGAAGCCAAACCAGCAACAGATCCAGGGTGGCCCTCTCCATCGACCTCTTCTGCGATGCCCGAGGCGACATCCCAGCTGCAGACCCGCCCATCAAAGCTGCCAGTCCACAGAGTCTTCTTGTTGTCTACAACAGACTCGGTCAGAGAGGTAATACTCTTCTGGTGGCCCTGAACGACCTGGCGAGGCTGAGGAGTGCCTTCGACCAAATAATTCAAGTCTCCACTCAATGACAAACTGATAAGTAGGTTGTCACTGCGACCAGGAGGCCATACAACTCCTACCTGGTGATGACGGACCGCTGTAGCACCCTCCTCTCCGAGAGTCCAGCTCTGGGTGGGCTTGCCTGCTTCCACATCCCAGATCTTCACCGTTCGGTCTGCACTGGCAGTCACAAACTTCTTGGAATCCTTACACCAAGAGACACCAAAAATGCTGCCTTTGTGTTCACCCTCGCCGATCTGACCTTTGGTCTCTCCAGTCTTGCCGTCATACAACCAGATCTTGCGATCAGCGCCTACACTCACCAAGTGCGAGCCATCTGGGCTGAAACCGACGCCATAGATATAGTTCGTATGCTTGTCTCCAATGCCAGTATTGAATTTGAAAGGAGCTCCATGGTAAAATACCAGCTTCTTATCGTCACCAGCGGCTGCTGCTCGCAGAGGCCTCTGTTGTCGAATCGACACTGTGTTGATTTGTTGCGTGTGGCCATATATCTCCCCCACTGTGTTTCCACTGTCCCAGGAAATACAATGGCCATATCGTTGCTTGCCATCGCCTACAGCAATAATTCGCTGCGAATCACCGTCCCATGCCAGATCGTTGATTCGACCATTGACGATGCTATATTCGCCCTTGGTAATTCCGTCCCCAAGGCAATCCCAAACTCTGACTATGCCCGAAGCGTCGCCACTTGCGACATAGAATCCGGAAGGTGAGAACCGGGCGACGGTAGTTTGAGACTTATGTTCGGTGTACTGACGGGCGATTGCGGGGTTGTCGATCGAGCGCACGAAAACGGATTTATTCGACTAAAGTAGAGCATCAGCAGGAGCACAGCAAGCCTATTTCAAGACACTCACTCCATAAGCCAGTCGCTCACCTTTGGAGTCGGAAGAGAGCTGGGTGGCTTGACCGCGAGTGGTGGAGGGGCTTGCAGCCCAGATGGACTCTGCGGGGTTAAGTTAGTTTTCCTTCCGTGCCGATGTATATTTGTCGCAGTATGTCTGATCAATACAGAGTGTTCGGATTATTTATCACATACCGTTGACAATTGACATTGATAGCAGTCTGAGGAGGTGGTAGGGGGCGGTTGAAAAGGAGAGCGTTCATGAGTTGTTTACGGAGCTTGGAAGGCGGGAAGCTCTGGCGGGACGATGGCAGATTCGCAATGACGAAGCCCGCTCCAGGCGACCGTATTTAGCTCGCCCTCATAGTCCTGATTGTTGATGAAACACTGCTCAGAGTCGATGGTCCTTATTATGGCACTACATAAATATTTTCAAATGCATTGAATAAATATAGCCCATAATTGTATCCTGGCATTTTGCTTGTCGGGCTCGGGTGACTGATGCATAGAATCTATGGCCATCGACATTTTCTTAGTGGGCCTGGAGCTCGATGGGATCGGGAAAATAGAAATTCAGATTGACTCATATGCTGAAGTGTTCTTTGATCAACGCTAGATACTTATAATACAATACACCGCCCCCTGAGAGACTGCCGCCTAGCAGGGCGCTGTGGCAACCACCGCATGGTCGAATAGTGAAAAAAAAAACAAATTGAGGAGCCTCTCAGAAGCCTCCCATTCTAGCCTTCGTCTCCGAAGCTAGAATCTCAGGGTGTCGGTGGACAGACGGCATCAAGCCAAGTCCTACAGCTCTCCGAATGGCCTTGGCAATCTTTCGCTGGTTGACAGGTCGCAAGCCGGTTTCGTTCCGGTGCTTGATACGGCCTAAAGGCGAGACGTATTCGGACATGATCGAAAAGTTCTTCATGGAAGTTATTAGTTTTTCTTTTTTTGTACCGGTAGGAACTGGAACAAAAGAGGGCAAGGCGTACTTTATATAGACTTAACGGATCCAAGTTCAAGGCATCAAAAGCATCCCTTGAGGGACTTTGCCGACGACCCCATTTTTTCATCTCAACAGGACTTAGATCTCGAGGAGCGTAGATATCACCGCTCTGCCAATTGCGAGTTTGGAATTTTTCCAGGGCTCGGCTCTCGTTCTGGGCCTTCTGGTCCTCCAAGAATCGTAGGCGATTTGGCTTCGCTACCTTGCGTTTGCTGACAGTTTGACGGCCTATTTGGATCAGCGAAATCTCTTTGCAAGGATCGAGGGGTGCAATTGACATACTCTGTCCAGCTGCTACTCGCTGAGAGGTGAAGGCGCTTACAGCAGCGGCCGTCGAACTCCAGCGGCATGTTGATGGGACAGCAGCTTTCAGGCCATTTTGTGGCAACAGAGAAGCGAAGAGGCTCATGGACATGCTGAACTGATACCTGGCTCTATCCTGCGCTCCAGAAGTTGTCGGAGGATTCGGAGACTGAAAGCGCCAAGGAGGCCGAACGTTTTTCGCGCGTTTTCTGCCCATGACCGCCTTCCGCCTCGAGTCGACTCCGCGGATCAACTCCAGTTTCTTGAGCTTCCATTAGCTTTACTCGCGCTCAATATCATCGACACTCAGCCATTGCTGCATTTCCGGGCTTGATCTTCGGCCACGGAGACCGAACCATGCAGTCTCACCTCACAAGGCGGGTGTTCCAGGCGCTCATAAACAACGAACCACTCATTTTTTCGCGATGCCGAAATCAACTTTTATACACGTCTCCCTCGAGAGTACGATTGGGCCTGCCCAATCTGACCTATACATCTCGGCGGACGCTTTTCGCCTTCAATACAACCGCAAACGCATCTGGCGAGAGCCTGCCCGAGATACTGCCCTCAGAAAAGGGTCTAAAGCCCATGACAGACTTGAAACAGTCTCTAGGGGACCAGAGCAGAGCACCTCCAAATGATATCCTTGTCAATGCATTTCACCTGTTCTTCACCTCCCGAGTAGAGTCTCCGGCTGTGATTAATCTTTTTCAGGCGCGGCTGCTATCCCTCACCTGGAAGCACTTGAAGGCACAACAAGAAGACTTGACGGAAAAGGAATGGCATGATGTGTTTTCCGTAGAGAGTCTCGAAAGAGTTCTATTTGTGCTCTCGGAAGAGCCCGATTCTCCCGGAATGTCGCAATACTATACTCAAGCTTGCTCGCTTCGTCTACACCGAACTATGCGAAGATCATGGCTTTGGGCCTAATTCCATAACACGCCCGGCACTCATTCTCTACACCAACCTCCAGGCAAATAACGGGAATCCTGAGGAGGCTCGCCATGTCCTAATGAAATTTGGCGGTCAAATTCGTGGGGCCAAACCTTCGCCCTGGCTGGCTGTCCTCAAAGGATACGCTGAGAAAGATGACCAATACAGCCTGCGGAAAGTCAGCCAGGAGCTGGAGAGCTACGGCGTCAAATTTGACCAAGAATCCCATCAGGAGCTTGTCCACCTCTTAATTTCGCAGGGCTCTTTTGAGGCTGCGAAACACGCATATGAATGCCCCATTGCTGGAAATTATGAGCCCTTGATGGCCACCAAAATCCTCACTATCAAACATGCGATATTGAATTCAGAGGCTCCCTGGGCAGAGCCTATCTTTGAGTCACTTCCCCAAGATGTTCGCGAGACTGCTGGGATTACTTTGTTATGGCAGGCGGCACATGGCAGCAGCGCGACCTCACTAAAACAGTGCGTCCAGGAATGGACAGCAGGTGAACCCCGCATCTCCCAAGCTCTGAATATTGGTGATGTCAATGCTTTGCTCCAATACGCCAACAGTGTACGAGCTCCTGGGTTGGCCGATGAGTTTTTCCAGCTGGCCGAGCACTGGCACCTTGCGCCTGATGAGCAAACCCACATTCTCCAACTAGAATCATTCGTTCAAAGGGGCGATGTCGAACAGACGCTAGCTACACTGGAGAATAAGGTTGATTCAGCGATTCTGGCAAGTGAGAATTTGCCGTTGGCCAACAAGCTCATCACCATGCTTTGTCTCTCAGAGCAAAAAGATGACCTCTTCCAACAAATCTCATCACTTCTGGACCCCCTATTCCAAGATAATGTGCAGTTAGAAGCAGAAACGGTTGCGGCGCTCACGCGTATGTTGCTTTACCGCCATGACTGGGATGCCGTTACTGAACTACTTCGCCCTCGTCTCGGAACCTTCGACAGTGAAGGCAAAACTCTGATTCGCATCTCCCTGACCGATTTCATATTGGACATGGGCCAGAGTGATACGGACGCCTGGGAAGTTTATCAATTGCTCAAGCTAGCCTTTTCTGAGACTGGCGTTAGCGTGCGGACTGAGATCATGAGCGCCTTCTTTGAACGAAAGCGCAGCGATCTTGGGGTCTTGGTATTTGGTCATATGCGCCAAGCAGAAGATTGGGCTGCTCGGCCCAAGCCCGACACTTACGCGCGTTGCTTCCAGGGATTAGCTCGCACAGCTGATGAGAAGAACCTGGAGCTGGTACACAATATGTTGAAACTGGATCTCGGCGTTGATCTGAATACTCGAATCCTTAACGGGCTCATGTTAGCCTATGCTGCCTGCGAGATGCCGGAAAAGAGCATGGCTATTTTCCGGCAAATTCTCCAGTCAGATGAGGGACCATCCGAGAAGACAATCCCGATCTTCTTCAAGGTCTGCCAGAACCACCCCGATGGTGCGCAAGAAGCTCTCAAGATGATGGCCAAGGTCAAGAAACTGGCGATCAACCTCGACCGCAGGCTTTACACCTCCTACATCGAGGCACTCGCGGCTCAAGGAGAGTTTGACATGGCCACGAGTGCCATCGACCAGATGGAAACCGAGACTGGCTTGCTGCCCACGAGCACAACGTAAGTACCGACCGAACCCGATTTTGCTCGGCCTTCTTAATCGCTAATCCATTGACAGAATTGGTCTTTTCTACAATGCAATGCCGCATCAGTACTGGAAAGATGAGGTCGAGAAGTGGGCTCGTGAGAAGTATCCGCAACACTGGGAGCATCTGGCCCAGTTCTCCCGTACGGAACATGAGGAAGGACCTAAGTTTGACGGTATCACCAACGAAGTGTGGGTCTAGAGGACATACAGAAACCTCTCGTGTACATATCTGTAATTACATTGCATCAAGTTCATTGAATTTTTTTCAACTCACCGGCCCATCCCAGTACTTTTGTAGGCGGCAAAAATCGCCCCCATTTCATGCCTGCGTGGAGTCTAACCCGGCACGTGGACTTCCTATTGGCCCATTCGCAAAAAGACAGCCTAAGCACTTTTGAACTCTTGCGACTCTGCCATCCGATTGGCTCGTTCGCATAATCATAATTGAACATCTGACGACGGCCAAGGTATATAAGATGTCTCGTCCTCCATCCATAGAGCGTGAACCCATTCGAAACAAACCCCAAGCTTGAGAGATTATTCTAGAATAGGAGAAATGGCGTCAGGACTTCTTTTCAACCCCATTCGCCTGCTACAGGTTGCGCCTTTCGCATCCAGCACAGGCACCCTCGTCCATGCCACTGTGGAACTCGTTACCAACTCAGCCTTCCTACTCCCAAGCATCCGCACCCAGTCCGACGCAATTGTCCCAGCATGGTATGAGACGGTCTTTGGGAAAGGAGTATTGTCTGTCCTGCTCCTCAACCTCACCACAATCTCCACGGCAGCGGCCAACTTATACCTTCACCGGCAACGAGGAGGTCTTCAAACTACACGGTTCTACTGGATGGGCCTAGTAGGAGCAATCGGCCATCTGGCGTTCATCCCCTTTGTGGCGGGCCCTGTGCAGCGAATCATTGAGAACAAGAGGTATCGGGAGAGTAAGGGGGAGAAGGCAGATGCGGCGGACTCGCCTACTGGGCAGATGGCCCAGTGGCTGGCGGTTCACCGAGTACGAATGCTGGTGGCGGATTTGCCGGCCTGGATCGCTTTCGTGGGGGCTGTATTGACGCTGTAAGGAAACGGGAAAAGAGAGAAAAAAAATGCATTGGAAATCTTGAAAAAGGCTACGTATGCAATTTCGCTATGGGATAATGCAAGATAAGCACCAGTTATGATATGTACACCGGGAACATTTTTTTTGTCTAGAGGCTGAAAATGCCGCTCCGCTTCTTTCCGTGGGGATACACGATCAACGCGGCCACAAACAATCCGACCGAGATGCCGATAGCGGTCTGGATCATACCAAAACCCAGCGAGGTGAGAGAGTTTTGGGAATCGGAGCTGATAGCGCTTGTGCTGTTCGCAGCACTGCCATCAGCCACAGAGTCCGCATAGGATAGACCGGATATAATCGAACCACTGCTCGCAAGACCCGAAGGAACCAGGGTAAATATCCCGGGGATGATAGTTGCAGCCGCATGACCATGCCACAAGCGACTGTACAGATTGGCCAAGAGGCCGATCGTGAAAGCACCCACGGTATTAGCGACTTGGTTTGCGCCCAGCTTCTTCGTACTGAAGTAGTTCGTCACATAGCCACACATGCCCAGGAAGACGGTCATCGGGAGCTGCTTCGGCTTGGCTTGGTTGATGAGAGCGGCGAAGAGACAGAAGAGCGCCACAAAGGGAAAATGCTGGATATATTCGTTACCCCATAGCTCAGGAGTGTTAGCAGGACAGGTCTCGGCTCTCGTCGCATTCTTATCCATCAATCCATAGATAGTGGTGCCAACCGTCACACCATACCCCAGGAACAGAGAATAGATGATTGTATAGACCAGACGAATGGATCCAGCATTCATCTGGTGTGATTGAAGCTCCAAACTGCTGCTCAGCACCGCAAAGCCTGGGAGAATGAGTGCGATGGACGACTCTGCCAACGCGGAAAAGCAGAACAATGGCTGACCGTTGTGTTCAATACTTCCAAAAGCGCGCGACAAAAATGAGGTCAGGATGGCCGCAGAAACTTCCAAGACATTTGAGTATGTGGCTGAGGCGGGGGCAAGAATATGCTGCATGAATCCCACAATACTCCCAAGAATGAAGATAATGGGGAGGTCAATGGGTCGGGCAGAAAATGAGTATGGGCCCACGGCAACACTCGCCAGCCCAGTCAAGAGCACCAGAAGCCACTTGTTGTAACGCGGATTGCGCTGCATAATCTCATCGAGATCAGTAGTAGCCTGGTCAACACTGACAACATCGTGCACGACATTCTTGTAGACGCTATGGACCTCAGCTAGACGGGACAAGTCCAAGCCCTGGATAACACGAATGATTTTGACTTCGGTGGTACGAGTGAGGGGATCGTCAAAGGACATGAACATGCAGCCTGGGATATACAAAAACTGCGCATTTACCTCCAGCACATTCGCGGTCATGATCATGTATTCCTCGAGACGATGGGTGGGGGCTCCATACTTCATCAGGGCACGACAAAGCTGCATCATGTATTGCTGACGAGCCAAAAGAGCGGCAATGTGAACGGTCAGCTTCACGTTCTTTTGACTCTTGCGCTTCTGCTTCTTGCGCTCCTTGGCCGTCATTGGCGGCGGCCCATCGGCCGCCGGGACGCCGATTTTTTCCCATGCCCATCGATGCTGAGATGAGAGAGGACGTGTAATGGTGTCCAGGCGCTTTGGATGGCTTGTCTCCACCTTTGAGGTGGTTCAAATTGAACTTGCTTGCATTTTGGCTGTTGTTTCCACTGTTGTACCACTTGACCTTCTCCTTCTTTCCGCCTGGCGTTCCTGTTGGGGTAGTTGTCCCCGTAGTGGTTGGCGGAAGAGTTTCCGTCTCGGGATCCGCTTCGGTGGAAGAGGCTACGCTGATCCTGCTCCCAGTACCTATGTTATTGGCATATACCCGAAGTAGATGGGAGAGGAGGCCCCCATTGAGTGGGGTGGATGCACCACTATCGAAAGCTGGGGTTGAAGCGCCGGTCGATGGGGCCGATTGGGCCTCTGAACTGTGACGATGATGACCATGTAATCCCAATTGCTTCAACAAAGCATGAGCCTGACTACCATGGTTGACGTTCTGCAGTCTGTCCTCCGTATCGCCCGCCTGGCGAGCTTGGAAACTCTTCAGATCATCGGTGGCACCGAAGAATTCAGGATGAAGGCTTGCTTCCAACCCGTCTTCCTCTCTCTCATGAGGTCTTCCGAAAGCTTGCGCTATACTCGCAGAGCGATTGCGAATGCGCTGGCTTGCAGTCCTCCATCTTTGCGAGATCGAATTTGTGCTCGGCCGGTCACTAAATGCGTCATTGGCATTGGCGTTGGCATTGGCATTGGCATTCGCATTCGCATTGGCTTCTGGATGCAGGGTCTCATCCTCATATGACGATCTCTCCTCTCCACGCTCCCATGAATCTCTCAAAGGAGGTTCGGTGGGTGGAGGCTTCTCTTGGTGATCGGACATACGGAGCCACGCGGAAACATGCGGAGTTCAAGCAAAGGGCTCGGGCAGGGAATGTGGGGAAGTTCGAATTTGACTCCAAAGAAACAATAATGCACTTTTTCCTCCTGAACAAACGAGTGTTAACTCGGGTACCAGAGCGTTTGCAAGTACGGCAGTAAGTCCTCTGAGCAGCCCCAGAAGTGAAGGTAAGTCATGCTCTGGAGGAAAAGCAAGAAGAAACGCCGCGTGATCCGGGGTGGAGAAGGGTTTTTCATTGCGAGACGAATGCCGAGCCAGTGACCGGAGATTCTTCGATGGTCGGTAGACCCACGGCACTAACGCCCTTTGAAGTCATAACCCCCATCTCGCATTAAACCCAGTGGCGTCGTTCCAAGAAAATTGTCAAGTGGGCCGGAGCAGACGTGTCTGCGCTTGGTGTTCCTGAAGCCGATCCATGGTGATCAGTCTAGAACCCTCTGGAACCACCCGCAGGCTGTTCAGGAACAGGGATCCCTCGAACTCAACAGTAGCATATGGGGAATACATCGTGGAATTTACAGTTTTGACTCCCTGTCGCTAAGCCTGCGCTAAGAGCAGAAATCGTAGGGTCCGGGAGGACGATGGCCAATTCGACGGCAGCAAACTTGTGCGCCCCGGAATGCGGTGGGACTGGAATTTTGGTCAGCCCCACCGGGCTCAAGAGGACCCCGATCTGAGGATTCAATGGGAGCAGAATTGAGACCCAGAACTTGGGAATTGGACCGGATACTGCCATACGCGCCGTCGATCCACAGATGGCGTTCAGGTTCGCGCGTATCAAGTACAGGCGGCCAGCCACGAGGTGGCGGAGGCATTTAGTTATACTCCCCCGCCTTCTGCATCAGGGAACGCAGATCTTGGCTTAGGTTTAGCGTCAGGGGTATCCTTGGTATCTTGGGTATTCCGGGCTATCCTGGCTGTTCTTCTCGTCGATCATCTCTGATCATGGAATCTTAGGATCATGCCCCCTTAAGTTCTAAAGCCTCAACCCGTTTGATATTGAGATTCCGCCCTGGCGCCCATGAGATGTCCTGATCCGTTTCGGTTGGAACTGTCTGACACATTTTCTGTTCCGCATGTCGCTTGAGCACATGGTCAACATGGAGTCTCACTTCCATTCTTGTCTGTTGTCAAGCCCCCGAGACGCATGTCTCTTGTATGCATAATTGCATAGCAGCTATGCTATGTACACAATTATGCTGGGAACTTGAATAGGGAGAAGTGGATCTATACAATAGTATCCACCGTCATTGGATTGTCGACACTGACCTTGGTGCGTGTCTTTCTGGAGACCTTGATAGGTGTAACGATGTGTGGTATGCAGAGGACCGGCGGTGGTCCCAAATCTCGCTTCACTCTCTGATTGAGACGTTATAGATCTAGACCTCAGGGAACATGGATTCCCGCCGCCAGATGATTGGCCCCATTATCCTGCACGTTAGTGCATCACTAGCCTCCCTCCAGGAGGACCGTTTGAGCGGAGTCCTACTTTTGTTGGCCCCGTTCCATGGAACTTGGCGGATGACAGCCGTACCTGAACCTGCCAAGTATTGTTTACTTCGTCGCTTGTTTAGTTCTTCGAGAGAAAGATCGACTACGAGTAGACCATGGGGCACTTCGCGGTCTGATCTTCCCACGCTCCCCTCTCCCGCTCAGTCCCCCCAATGGTACCTCCACCTGAGCTCTTATCTCATACTAGTCTACGACACTAAAACACCCCCTCACTTCCGCTATCGAAAACGTCTAAGCCGTAATGCCAAGAACCAAAGAATAATAGTTCCTTCGCCCATAAATGGCTGCCTTGAGCACGAGCGGTTTATTACTGCCAGTCATACCACCGCCAAGTCCACCCCGCGCTGCTGCACTACGCGACTCCATTTAACCCTACAGCTCTCCTAGATCTCCCCATTTTCACGCCCCTCAAACAAGTCAGGCTCCCCAAGAATACAATGCTGCCATGCCGAACCCATCCCTGCAGCCCCCTGACCAACCCGTCGCCCTCCGCCGCTCACATCTACTCTCCCCTTCACCAGACCGATTGACCAACGCCCCCACCACTCTCCGCGTCATCCGCGAAAACACCCTCTCCGGCCGCGACTTCAGCATCCACCAGCTGCGCAGCGACGAAGAAGTCACCAGCCCCCGCCGCAGTACCCTCCTCTACACCGTCTTCGGCCGCCTCTGGAGCAACTCGCAACACCGCGAGATCCGCGACCCAAACGGCCGCCCCCTCCTCGAGCTCCGCCGGATCTGGTGGCGGGGCCAATGGACCGTGAAACGGCCTGGCGGCGTCGGCGATGACCTGCTGAGCGCCGAGCTGCGCTGGGGCATCGGGATCAAGATCGCCGTCCGCTTCGAGAACGCGCTCGCCTCGGGCCGCTGGGACGCGGACGAGCTGGTGAATATGAATATGAACATGAACAGGCGGCTGGACGCCTATCGCAGCCCGCACCCGCGCCGGCATACGCTCTCCTCCTCGCGCCGGAACCCGCCCTTTCGCCGCCGACAGGAGCCCGAGCCCGACGCCCCACCGCCGTATACACCGCCGCCGTACAGCGCCGTGCTAGCGGAGGACCATGCGCGGGGGGTGAGGCGTGGGGAGGCCAATGGCCAAGGACATGGTAATGGGGGGAGCGAGGGTAGTGGCAGCGGGGCGGAGAGTGAAGAGTCGCTTGATGAGGACGACAAGGTGCGTGCGGATCGCCAGCAGGCGCCGCTGCCGTCTTATGAGTCTGTGAGGCGGTTCTCGAGTACTTCCTTGCGGGATCTGCTGGATGCGATTGAGCCTCCGGGAGAGCCGGCGCCGGCTTCGACGGCCTCGTTTCCGCCGCCCAGGCCGAGGTCTGAGGGCGGCATTGTGGATACGGTGAATGCAATGGTGGACTTGAAGGTGGTGCAACTCAATAGCACGGAGGCGATTGTCACGATGGGAGAAAAGCGGATCATCTATGTGCGCAAGGAACGGGTGCTTGATTCTCATATATTTGGGTCAATGCCAAGATGGGAGGTCGAGGTTGCCGAGGGCGTGGATTTATTATTGGTGAGTAATCTCCTTTGCTTTTTCCCGTCTTTCCTTTTCTCGCCCCTGAAAAGACGAGAACACAGGGGCTCCCCCGGAAACTCCGAGGACTAACAGGTGACTTAGGCCGTCAGTATTGTGCTCATCATCGCGGAGTTTGTCAAGCACGAATATCGGATTCGGGCTAATTGAACAAGGTATTTCACGCTGGACGGATATACTACAAATCATGATACGGAGTGAAGCACTTTTAGCGCAGATACAAAGGAGTACCCCAGAGCATTTCGATGCCAATGCAATTGGAAATTCGATAGACTTTTTCTAGGCCATACATTCGTCAAGGGAAACAAGCACTGGCTAAGTTTCCTTATTAAGTATATCTTTCATGGGACGCCGGGGTTGAACAGATGAACATGAACACAGAATTGGTCGCAGTCGGATGAACATCTATGACTGGATCTTTTGCAAACGCTTGGTCATGCTGTACACTGGTTAGCATCAAGGCCCGGAAAATCAGCAGGTGCAGAAAAATGGAGCTTACAAGTCAAAGAAGGAGAATTGGCTGGGATTGTTGCCATACTCGTACACGAATCGGCTAGCCAAGTGGCTACCGAAGATGGCACGAAGGTAGTTCTCGGGAACCTGCACATAGTCAGTACTGATGGAATGATTGATGTGTGGTGTGAGGGAAATACTCACTCGTTCCAGGATCTTATCCAATCCGATCTTATCCAGAAGAAGACGCGGTAGAGCGTCTCCAAGCACAGAGCGGCGGAGAGCCACGTTGTGCCAGAGCTCGGTTTGCTGGAGCTCCTCATCCAGCTTGGTGATGGCGAGGCTGAGACGGTCACTGAGCACGCTGCGCAATACACCGGTCTGCTCGTGCTCGCGCCAAATGGCTTCGAACTCGAGAGTGGCGTTTTGCTTGATGATTTCCTGGACCTCCTTCACGTAGGCCTGGTAGAACTCTGGCACAGCACCGTCCTCACCAACACACATGTTGGCCACGAACTCGGCATCGTCGAAAGAAAGCGAGGCGAGAACTTCCAAAGATGACGAAGTAACACCACCCTTGTTGGCGGAAGCGTCCTTGAACAGGATACAGCCAGCCTTTTCCAGGCGGAGCTTGCTGTCCTGGGTAATGAATAAGTTGGCACCTTCGACAATGTACGGAACAATAGCCTTGCCGTCTTGAATAAGCTTGCCGACAGTTGAAAGATCAATTGACTCGGGGCGACCACCACAGGGGACGAAAGTGTCGAACTTCTCAACGTGGCGCAAGTGGAAGGTGTTCCGGAACATCATACCGTTGTGTACGATCTCACCACTGGGAAGCTTCACGTTCACCTCGTCCACCAGAACGCGGTAGCCCTCGGGGAGAGCTTGGATAGGTCGAACTCGGAGATCATGACACGCTTCTTGGCCAAGCGCAGGAGCTCCTCGTGGTTCAGACCTTGAGGGTCGACAATGACTCCGGATCCGTCGACAATAGCACAGTACTTCTCGTTGGACAGTAAAATTTCATTGGAACCCAGATCACCATCGGGGCCACCGGTCTGCAGCTTGCGGATGGTGGAAGGATCAATGTTGAGCTTGCGGTAGATTCCGAGCACGTATTGGCGGACCGAGAGGGTGGTCATGCCGTAAGTGTCGTGAGGGATACCGCCCAGCTTGGGGCTCTTCCCGGTGAAGAAGGACTTCCACCAAGGAGCACCACGAGCACGAGCGTGCTCGGTAGCCCAGTCAACCAGCTCGGCAGTGTTCTCATCAGGACCCATGAACAGGATCTCATCTTTGCCGTGAAGATCGACAATAGGGTCCTTGATACCGGGGCTCACGGGGGGCAGAAGGAGGTCAAGAATACTGTCGATGTACTTCTCGAAGGCGACCCGCGCCTTGTCCTGGTGGGCCACATCCAGGAGGATGACACCCTTTGCACCGCCCTCGGGAATATCCTTGTTCTTGCGCTGCTGAGTGTTGGCAAGGTTATAGTTCTCGTCGAATAGCGAGCGAGCGTTGATGCCGTATGCCTCCTTATTTCGACTCTTGACGATTCGGATGCCTCCACGCGCGATGTCTCGGAATCGCAGGTGGAAGCCGCGGAATTCAGAGCTAATAACCAAGAACATACCGTAGAGAGGCTGAGGGTACTCATGCTCTGGCAAGAAGTCTGGCTTCAGACGGAAACTCAAGGCCACCTTAGTGGGAGTGAAGAAGTTGGTCTTCAGAATGGAGGAGTTGAAGACACGGAACGAAGTCATGACCATCTCGTCATGTTCGTTCATGGTGGTGCTCCGGATCAACTGCTTCAGCTTTGTGCTGTCCAGCACCTCGTCCACCTGCAGACGGAGGTAACTGAGAGTAGGCAAGAAATCATCGCCGTTGGGACCCTGAGTCTGCACATAGTGGGTATTGGCGAAATCAAGGTAGAGCTTGTGAATCAGCTCGGGGTAGTTGTTGATGATCTCGAAGATGTAGTCGGCAGTGAAAGTCTCTGTGCGCAGGCGCTTCTTGATCTTGGAAAGCAGCTCTGCGTGAACACTGTTGTTGGAGTCCAGCAAGGCTGCAAGAGAGTTGTATTCTGAGCCAAGACGGTTGAGGAACTGCTGTACAAACACCCACGCACAGTGAGCATAGATGGTCTCTTGCAAGCTGAGTCGACCAGTAGCGAAGTGGCCCTGGAATCGGTTCTGGGGGATACAGTACAGGAGAGAGGCCTCCTTCATAATCTGGTGGATCGCGGCCTCGATGGGGGGGTATCGCGAGGAAACCTCAGCATTGCTGGAAGGACGAAGGTACACTGAAATAACAGTGATACCATTGGAGAATTGCTCCACGTACTTCCGGGAGCTAGTCAAGCGGTAGTAATGGTACAAATCGGACAAAGCGCTGAAGAAACCCATGGCAGAGCCCTGGCGGTAGGCAATTACCAATCGCTTCTCGCGACTACCTTCGATCTCGAACATTTCGATCACAGGACCAGTGCGGCCCACGGCGGTGGTGATGATCTCCTGGTAAATCGCCTTGGTGTTTTCAGTCGCCTTTTGCAAGAAACGCTTCTCGCCGACGATTTCAATGTTGGTCTCGTTCGGCGAGGGGTTGGGATTGGCGAATTGGCACTTGTAGACGAAGTAGCAACGAAGCTGCTGGCCATTGTCCCCGGAAGAGTAGTGGGGGAACGGAAAGTCTCCACACGATAGCTTTCCGAGCCCTTTGAGGTGTTCAGGTACTTTTCGTCGATACGCTGCTCATATCGAGGACCGTGCATGGAGGACACACCAGGCCTACTGGTGTCGATATAGACGGCGTGGTCTTCAGCCTCTTTGTCGAGGCGGATTTCCAGTTGCTTGTCATCCCGCGCATAGGCCGCGACCTTGGCCGCATAAAGAGAAAGGATCTGAGTCACAATGGCATCTACGGTCTCGGTTTGGAAGTAGGTGTCGTCGATACCCAGCATGTTGTAAAACCAGGTGGTTTCAGAAACGACAAAATCACTAGGAAAGAAGCCCTTCTCCTCCAATTGATCCATCACTGGGATTTGTTAGCGAAAAGAAATTGACCCGGCGCCGCTCCACTATCCACATTACGCACCTTGCTCCATCTGTTTCTGCTTGCCCTCGAAAGTGGCAGCGACGTAACCAGGGTCCTCCTCGGAAAGCACTCGGTGGGGAGTGCCCGGCACTCCCAGATGAGTAGGCTGGGGCGAAGGCTGTCGCAGAGCTGACCCTACCACATGATCGAAGTGCTTATTGTGAGGGCGCTGGAAACCAATGGGGGTACTAGGGCCAGAGCTGCCATCTTGGCTGTTGACCAGCTTGGGGAGAGGGCGTGCGGGGGGGCACATCGCCATTGGAGGTCTCGGACACGGGGGTGGTAGAGGAAATGGGAGTGGACATGTTGGTCTGAAGACTCTAGATTCGAGAAGAAAGAAAAGAACGCTAGAGATCAATTAGAAACTGCGAAAAGACTGGTTGTCGGCCTGGGGAGCTGCAGCGGGGCCCAGAGAGATAAGCGCACAGGAATGTGCGCTTATCGCTGCCTAGACCCGTTTTTTTCTTTCTCTATCGACAAAAGGACCCTTTCCGTCCCAACAGGAACTGGTTCCGGGGACCGATAAGAGGTAAGGGGGATGGGTTTAGAAAGGAAATCGAGAGTGGAAGAGAGGGGGCAAAAAAACAACAACAACAAAAAACCGGGATTGAAAGGGAATGGCAGATAAGACTCACCGTCGCCATGGACCAACTAAGCGGTATAGTTCGAGACGATCGAAGCAGGAAGTGTTTACGGTTTCATTGAAAATCCGGGGTACGCGGGCCCTTTTAAGTAGGAACTGAAGAAGCCACCAGAAAGCAGAAAAAATTTAATCCTAATTGTAAACCCCCCCCAAACCCAAAACCTGGAATCCCCTATGCGACAGGATGTCTGGCACAGCCAGTCATAACCGACGGTAGGCGGAGTTGGTTGACGGTCTCGAAGGGCTCCAGCTCCACTTGACGCACGCTCGTTCCCCATGAATGACTAAGAGCCGGCGATAGGCGCGATGGTGATTGGTACAAATCGCCCTTTTCCGAGGGCAAAGCCGACTGGGAAAATCCCGCTGCGTCATGCGGGCCGAAAATAGCGTGAAAAATGGGCAATTAATTGCCTCAATGCTTTTGGACGCAGTCAAGTGATTCTCTAAGCCTCAAACAAGAGCCGGCGGAGGCCAAACGGCTAAAAAAAGGACAATAAGAGCGAGACATTTCCCATTCCCGCTTCTCTAGGGGGCACGGTCCAAGGGGTATAGTCACCTGAGATGGTCATACTTTCCAGTCGAGGGGACCTGGGGGGTAGACAGGACGTGTCCGCCAATGGCCTCATCGAAGTAATGTGTGTCGAATATTGTGGAATGCGATGTGTCATGCAAAGGTCGTCAACGAACTTAGTTGTCAAAGTAAATGCCTCAGATTGTGCCAAATCTTGCCAAATCGTGTCCTCTCCGGCTCCCGTGCCCCAGCCCTACCACGTTTTCTGCGGTCAAATTGTGGCTAGAGTCCGGGGGATTTTCGCCCAGGGACCGCTAATAGATCAGACCAAGGCCACCAGCAGGTCGTCCCGCACGGACGACCCCATGGAATGGGGAAAGATTTGTAAATTTTGAGAAATAATCAGGTTCGTTGGAGGTCGCTCGCTGCGCCGGCCCGGTCACCGCCCCATAGAGGGGCTGGTACCTGGATCGTCCACGCGGGGTAGTGGCTCGATCCCAAGGTCCCCCTAGGCACGTTTATGCCCCAGGAGCGAATCACCAGGCGGGATGGATCGCCCGTCGAAAGAATCTTCACCTGCCCCGTTGGAGTGGCGGGGGGGGTTCTTACGTGATAATTTGGGCTTTGCCCCTCTCGGCGGATTCGCGATTGGAAGAGGATTCCGATCGGCGAACAATGAGGTAATAGCTTGGCTGGGAAGGGGAAGGATGTTCCGGACTCCAATGATGTGTCCCGTTTGAAGGGTCCAGAATATGTCAGAGTATTGGATGTGGTGATATCTTCAGTCTGGCTCCTCCGACCTTGCAAGCCAAGGGACTTTCAATAAAGTGGGACTCGTTGGGGGTAACGGAGCCATTTCGGACTGAAACACCTAACAATGTACCTGAAGTCCCTAATTCAAGGTACTCTATGGAGTACTCCATGGGTTTTCCGGCCTTCGAGACTGAATCCCGTCAACTGAAGGCGTTACCACGCTCTACTATCAATATCGAAAAGAGCCACAGACATACTGCCAAAGGATCCAGTACGGTATACGATTTGAGCTCTCCCAAATTTCAGAACTCTCCCCTAGCCTCTATACTAGCCTGGTGGTATAGGGCTCACCATTTTATATATGACGGACAACGGGTCCTCTCTGTATTGACCTCGACTTTGAGGTACTTATTACCGTTCAATTGCGCACTACTCCTATTCGTATTAGATCGTGATCCTGATACCATAATCCGAAAAACCTCATGATAGGAAAGCAAGGATAAAAGAATCCTAGTATGGAGGGGAATTCAATGTAACAAGTACCGAAGTGCAAGATTTAGATGCGATATGACCGACAAAATTGTATATATCATGGAGAGTGCATACTAGTCTGCTTACAAGAAATGGGACTTCGGGCTACATAAATATAGCAAACCCAAATAAAGCGGCGAGGGAATCATCCATCAAGGAAGGATTAGCAGCAACAGCGAACTATTGCTCACTATTAGCCTTTCGACACGGTCGACCAGACCTGAAGGGTTGCAAATCCTGAAGACGGGCCTTCCATTCCAATTTGGTTCTCTCATCCGCGAGTATATTAGGTTTGAGCTAAGATTGACCTGGGTTGAGACTGTCTTCAGGTTTGCCATGACTACAATGTTGGCAGGGCCAGATCCACTGGATACGACAAGATGGCGTACTGTGTGGGGCATGCAGACAGGCCGCCAGCAGGGATGTGGATATGTAAGTCAGTTTAGCCTTTGAAAACTGCCAGATAAGAAACTTGATGATCTGGACGGCAGAGGTGGTGGGTGGGTTGATGCTGTCTCCGTGTCTATAGTTTTGACAAGGAGGAACTACCAGACACCGAGATCCTAGTCCAGCTGGAACTGCATCACGATCTTTCTGAAGGCGGGCCTGGGAATGGTAGTCACGGGCGGAAGCCTTGTTTGTTCGCCCCGCTAGTGACGTATCCTAACTGAACGAGTCCACTTACTGAATGTCTGGGGTTTGGAACATATGTTTTGCTCCGGCACGACCGATGTTAAACCTAGCGCCCATCTCCACTTACACTCAAAAACCGTGTGGCCTTCGATAGATCCTTTCCTCGGACATTTCGGATGAACTACCGAGACGGCTCCCTCCGCAGAGTCTGCACAAGACATCCATGATTCTGTCCTGGTTACTAATCCCACTTTCCGAACTGTGGACACGACGTAAAGGTTGCAGCGACAGGCAACATTGATTTTGCTCAGAGATTTGGAATAGCAGAGCTACTATCTCATGATATAAAAGTTTGCCTGGATGATGAGATTTGCCAGCTGAAGATGACATCTGCCTACGCCTGTCGAGTCGGGATATACAATGGATTCCAAAGTTGTCGTACATCTTAGCCTCCGATTGCTTGGTGGAAAGTGTGTTATGGAATTATGGCCACCTTGCGGGGTTAAAGGGCCAATCAATAAGGATTCCTCCAGAACCAGAAAATTCAGGGACTATTTCCAGTGACGAACCATCTTCTGGTACTTTTTTTGCTTTCCAGGAACACCAGGTGTCCTCAAAGTACGATTAGGGTCAAAAGATAATGGTGTCCAGTGAGCATCAGTCTTTATTAGGCCGCGGCCACGAGCATCTATTTCAGGAACGGGCTGTGATAGATGACAAGCTCGTAACACGCCACGAAGCGACAAGATGCCGAGTCTGACTGCTGATCTTGATTGATTGCACTGCTTCATTGGACATTAGGCCTCAATAAGGCCGGCCATAGAAGCTGGCACGATTCAATAGGTGACAGGGCTGATGGGGTTGCAAATCCGGGGGGCAGAGTGATCCACCGGACTTGGCAGGTATGACCCATCAGCTAGTGGACGCTGATCATTTCAGAAAGCCCCAGGCCACATCATCAGGGGGGGATGCGCTGTTACATATAAGGGGGAGATATGGCGCCAAGTCTGGCATGTATCGTAATCATGGTGCATAGAACATCCGAAGCAGGTTGGTTCCCCAGGGAATGCATCAAGCGCTCTCCAAGGGAATCTCCGGCATGAATAATATGGGGCTCCCTTGACCCCCGGAAAATCCCATTGTGTGGAAAAGTGGAGAGCGCATTGCAGGGCGCCACAATAACCTCCGCGGAATTCCCCCCCTGTTATCGTCCGGGGAAAAGCGTTGGAATCAATAGAGGAAACAGGAGACTCCACATATTGGGGGAAACCTATTCGCCATACCCATGATGAGTTGGGCAATTCCACCGCTCTTCTCACCCTTCAGCAATTGGAGGAACTGGCCCGTCACCCCTGACATGTTTGCTCCACTTGGCACGTCCAGCGCCCCCTAATCCTGCAATAACGACGGGATGAAACATTTTGTCGATATCCGAGGGTCAAACCTGCAGTGCTAACCCTGGTTTTCTTTACTATGACGTGAACATTCGCGTCAACGGCTTCTAGAGAAGGGATGATCCGTATAGAGGCGACTGCTTCGAGGCGATTCTGGCACGCCCGACAGTCTGGTCCTTGGGAAGATCTTGTGCAGAGGGTGCCGCGCCGGTATTCACCCGACGATCGAGGCTAGAAGTCGTGGAAGGACTTAGGAATATTGTCCACCGCCGTTTTGCTTTCAGAATCAACTAGGAAGGTACTGCATTTGGGAATTGCAAAAGGGGGATCCCGGCATTCTGGCCCCGGTTCCCCGGAGCCCGTGGCCCTTGAGCTGGTGGTTCCATGGGGATCACTTTTTTCCCTGATGTGTGACAGTGCTTTCCCCACACTGGTAACGTATCAGGCGAGGGAGAACTACTGTCGGGGATGCCCATCCCTGGCTTTGGTCAATTATTGGGTAACGGGGGTGAGGAGAATGAGGCGATCAGGCTGGGCGATCTTATATGTATTCCCCAACCGGCTGAGGTCTGGGCCTTGAGTACTTTGGTCGCAGCATCGCCAGGGGGGGCTTGACGAATGCCCCGACTAGTTTACTCCACATCTTTTTCTTTTTCTTTTCCTTTTCTAGCTTTTTTCCCGCTTTGAATTGTGAGGCGGTTATTCCCCGGCTAATGATTAAACCAAAAAGAGTGGGAACTTGAGCATTTGGGAGGGTATAACTAAGAGGACCATTCCAGGGGGGGCCCCAGATCTGAACATTCTTATAAGTACTTGTACAACTTTTGCTGCTCTCAGACTTTATCTCGCCAACGTGTACAAACGCCCCATCCACACCCAGGATTTCAGCCCCTGCAACCCTGGCTTATCGTCCATAATTTCTCCATAAAGCCCCCATCTCCCCGGCATTCTTTGCCAGGTCCCCAACTTGAGTCTTGCATTCCGCCTTCATGTGAGTTTATCTGGAGCCCGTGCTAGTTACATCATTCAGCCCCGTTCTCCCGAACGCTTTCTTCGGGCAGTTTCGGAAGGACAGGCATATGTCTACAAGCAACAGCACAAGCTGACTATACAAAACAGCTTGAACATCAAAGATCTCCAGTCCTCCGACTCCCGAACTTCAAATTCGCCTCCGCTCTGTGCCGAGGTATCATTCTACGAAACACCTACAAAAAGCTCCCGACCCCAGCTTCCTATCTCCAACCAAAAGCACCATGTCTTCCAAGACTGCCCCCGTCACCGTCGTCCCGCCTACCTCCCACGAGGCTCTTTCTTTCACCCAGGATATCCGCGCCATCATGGTTGGATCTAATGCCAAGCCCGACAAGCGGCCCCATCTGGTGGACAACCTCCCTCCTGCACCGCCGCCATCTCCAGTGTCATTTGCAACCAACAGCACTGGCAAAGCCCCCGGCGGCAAACGGGAGAAAATCCCCAGCTTGAGTCTGGAGTAAACCAATCTATCCCTCCGGGCCGAGATCTGTACCACTACCGCTAAACCGTTCTATTCTTATTTCTTTTCCCCGTTTACGCCCTTTTCTACGCTCGGCTGGCCATGCGCTTGATTCCTTCATCTCGTTCCTCTCGACGAACTCGGCATATCTTATCATCTTGTGTTCGAAAATGCGAGGTGCGGGATCTCGGTCTCTCTTCTTTGTTTCTCGTGTCTCTTCGGGTGGTCTTCGCGGCAAATTGCCCTGCTCTTCTTTCTTTTTCCAGCATCAGCGTGACGGACGAATTTCTGGTCTGCCTCTTTAATTGGCACGACTCTAATGACTTTGGGATAATGGCTACATAAAAAGGGGGAGTTTTGGCGTCAATCGATTTTTCTAATAGCAATAGGGGTTCATTCAGATTGACATTTTCTTGAAATTTGTTTTGACTATCGGATCTGGAGCGAGTAGAGCCAGCCATCTGTAGAGAAAGCTGCATACGGAGACGGTCATGGACGTAGAGGGCTTGCTGGACGTGGAGGAGGCTCCGGAAGGAAACTGCAGCATTACACTCATGTGAAATCACTCAGGATCGAGATTCAATTTCTGACCTATTCTAGCGGAAAAGGATACCCGGTTGGTGCGGACAGGGATTCACCACTAAGATAGTATGGATTGGCGGTGTGGCGCAAGAGCACCCGGGCTGAGGACCCTGATACATCCGTCTTTCTGGTTTAGCGACGTACTTCTGGCCAGACGGGATCAAATGTAGCTGCGAACTCGTTACGAAGTCCCCCGGACAAAAGGACCTCTACCCCGGCCAGTTGAGCGGTGAAACGAGAACCTCATACCTGTCCTGGAGCAAGAGACCAGTTGCCGATCACGACGTCATCGAACAACACCCCCTGTGGAGCACCCGAAGTCGCACGTAAGGCTGGCAAGATAATCCATGGATAGCAATCGCCGGGATCGGTCGCATTTAGAGGGATCGGCCGCGGCAGACTACCGCGAGCGAAGGTAAAGACCTTTTAAACAGCCGCGATCAACGCTTTTAACGTCACCTTCACATCACTAGCCCTGAAGGCCAGGACTTTCATACCTGAAGTTTTATTCCATGAAAGTAACCTAGGCTGGAGGTGGGGCCGCTCCGGACCGAGGGTTTTCAGTGTTCACCCAGCAATCCATGAGACCTACATCAGCCCCAGAGATAACGAGAGAACCAAGGTCGCCGGAGTTCGCCATGACCACAGGTTGTGCATGGGTATCTAAACGATCGCATTGGCCATACAGATCGGAAAATTGGGGAACGTAGGAACCTCATCACGTGACGGCCACTAAGCACCCATGAGATGCAAGCAGTCCGGGGGGGATGGACGACCTTCCCGCCATCTCCCGCCGTCTTCCGCCGTTATCTTCAATCCTCTTAAAACTGGGAATTACCAGACTAGTGAAATATAGACCATGCCTCAGACATGCTGCCGAATAGGGTCGTTCAGACCGATTGGACATTCTGATCATCCAGATCTCGGAGCATCTGAAGCAATTCGTCTTCCGCTTCTTGGTCACCATTGCTAGCGCGTTCATTTAAGCTTTGAATGTTGGCCATTTGCGCTTCGGTGCGAGCCCACGCGTTCAAGCGCTCAATGAGATTAGGGTTGGCACGCTTAGAACTCATGACAGTACGCACGGTGTCCGTCTGGCCCTTGGCAGCTTTGAGGGCTTGCAGACGTTGGATGAATGCCGCTTGATGCGAAGGGGGTTCTGGCCGCCGAGGCACAGCATTGGGAGTCGGTTCCTGAGTGGATGCCAATGACGAATCGGTAGATATAGAGTTGGCGGGAGGATTGGCCTCTGGGACCGATGCCGGGCCTGTACTGGACGCGATGTTTGCTTTGCGTCCCAAGAGCTTCACGCTGTTGGCAGCAATCAGGTGAAAAGCGGGGCCCTGCTGCAGCGGTGGACAGGTCTGGTCATGACCCAGGCCTGCGTCCTCCTCCGGATGGGAGAAAATTAGCTCTGTGCCGATCTGATCGGCCCATGAGCAACTGAAGATTTGGTTGTAATACGAGACGACAGGATTGCACGTGTCGAGGCCCAGGACTTGGATTCGCTCGGTAGACAACGTGCTGGCTTCAGGGCCATCTAGGGGAGCACCATCGTCGAAGAAACGGTCGCCTTGAGGGTCATAGGGCGTTGGGTCCTCTTCGGAAGGGAGGGGTACATCAACCTGCCGACTGCGTGGGGGGCGCAAAAGACCGTTGATGGACGTTAGGTCTAGGTTCAAGTAGAAGGACTGCGGGAGAGGTGAGCTAAATCCGAATCTTCTCCGGGCCCGAAGTCTCCATACCTCGGTTTCTGACTCATGGTATTCGTATTCATAATCGTCCATTCTGGGCTGCTTCCTGGGAGCCCTGAAGACGGTAAAAGAACTGAGTCAGCCGGAAGCGGTATCAAAACAGCCGAGCGGTGAAGCCTTGGGAAGGATGGGGAAGCGGGATCTCGGAGGTTGCGGGGCATGTATGTAGCGTACTTGGCGTGTGTGCGAGAGCGTCAGGGCACTAGGTGTTGTACGAGGAGGGGTTGGACCCGCAGGAGGTGGCAACTGAGTCAGGGTACTGCGTAGATGGCGTATCCTTGCTGTTTTGCGCCTACAGCGTGATTGGACAGTAGGGTCAATCCATGGATCGTTCCAGGGTGCTTAATACTACCTTGGCCACGCGATTCTAGATTCAATAGCTCTCTCTGATGTGTATACGTAGATGGGGGGTGGGAAACGAGAGGGGGCTGGCCTAATTGATCGACGTTTCCCCCTCTCGGGGTTCCAGGAAGCGCCAAGTTCGGGCATTCAGCCTTACCGGCTGACCCTGGCAAATGTCTGGGCAGGCCTGAGGTCCAGTCGAGTGCATGAGCATCATGCGCTCGTAAGTATCCGAGTCTTCCGTATCTTCCTTTCTGCAGAGGATTCCCCATGGAAGATTCGGGTCTGATGGTCATCGCATCCGGACCCATCTCGTTTATCTCCATTTCCGCACGTTCCCGGACGTTCTCTCTGCCTTGTTCCATACCTCTTTCTTTTTCTCATTTTCCATTTTGATTACCTATTTGATCCACCTCTTTTTTTTCCATTTTTTTTTTACCTTGTTCACGAGGGAAGCTTTAAGCTAGTATCGGAAGTCTCGGCCACCCGCTATGGACTGTTTATAGGCCCTTCCTCCCCATCCTGTTGTACTGACCTCCTCTTGTCACTTCTCGTCCCAGAGCCCCGGCATGCCCATAGATCTTATCAGCTGCTCCCTGCATTGATCTTCCGGTGTCGACCGGGTTTCCTGAGGCTGGCCTCCCCGTTCATGACATTGAGCTTGCAGATCAGCCTACGCTAGGCGGTCTGTCCCCCTCTCCGGCAAATGACACGCAAAGCCCAGGTAGCCATTGTGACTCTGTCCACTCTGATTATCTACGTATCTCTTAACAGTCTCGCGCGGGCTCTCGATCCGAGTGCCTTTGTCTGGTACGAGGAGGACTGGGAGGAGAGGAGTTGGATCGCGACCTCTCGCTTTTGGCTCGATCGCAAAGCTTGTCGCTGGCTCAGCATCTGCGGACTGGCGCATCTGCAGAAGGCCCATTCGCCCTTTGGCCACCGCGATCCCGCCAGCTGGACCTCGCTAGACGAGCCCGACGCCGAGCCCGACGCCGAGCCCGGGCTCTGGTCTTCGTTCTGGACTAGCGGGGCTAATCAGTCCGAGTGGGCTGCCGAGGAGCGATCTAAGCGGGAGATCCCCGACTATGTCTTCGAGTACGCCCCACTCGTCCACCTTTACTCCCAAGAACAATTTTGGCCCAGCGATATCGCCGAACATCTTTATCACACCACACCTTCGTTAAACTACACCCCAATCCAAGCGGACGGGGGTCGCCTCACTCTCAATGACCTTGATCGACTGAATGAATTCAATGGCCGCCATGTCTTCCTTACAAGTAACGACAATGTGGAGAGTCGGCCGCCGTGGCTGGAAGGAGAAGCCAATATACCCAAGAATGACCGGGAAAAGGACCCGGTGGATGAAATGAGGCCCGGTTGGGATGAACAACCAGACCCCACCGATCCAGGCGACGCTGAAGACACCGACGATTGGACCGATTTAAGAGATGAACAGACTCGCGTGGAGCAGGAGCGGGAACAGGCACGGTTGTGGGATCAAGCGCGGAAACGCTTCCGTCAAGAGTTACGCAAACGATACGGCGGCAAGAAGCCCCAAGAACCACTGGCCGGAAGCCCCGGTGGTCGCAGCGATGCGCCAGCCGTGCTGCTCACTATCGACAAGGGTAATGGCGTTGTTGATGCCTTCTGGTTCTTCTTCTACAGCTTCAACCTGGGCAACGCTGTTTTCAATATTCGTTTCGGGAATCATGTGGGCGATTGGGAACATTGTTTGGTCCGATTCCACCATGGCAAACCCAAGGCTCTGTTTTTCAGCGCTCACACCGCCGGTGAAGCATATCGATATGAAGCAGTAGAAAAGATCGGCCGCCGTGTGAGTACAATTTTTTTTTCCTCTTACATCTAGAGCAATGATGATCGATGCTAATTCATACAGCCCGTCATCTACTCAGCAGAAGGCAGTCATGCCATGTATGCAACTGCAGGAATCCACCCGTACATTCTGCCATGGGGTCTCCTGTACGATGTTACTGACAAGGGCCCCCTCTGGGATCCCTTGCTGAATTCCCATACATATACCTATGACGGCCAGGAGAAAACCCTCCGTGCATCCACGGTTACCCCCAATGCGCCGACTGAATGGTTCTACTTCCGCGGTCATTGGGGCGACAAATTCTACCCGCTTGGTGATACTCGCCAGTACCGGTTCGCCGGTCAGTATCACTATGTGAATGGGCCCCTTGGGCCTCGATTCAAACGTCTGAATCGAAACAAGATGTGTCAAGGCTCAGACTGGTCTCCTTGTCTAATTCGAGACTCCATCTGATATTGAACTGGACCTGTTGATCTTCTGATACCCCTCCCCTTTGCTGCTTTATCTGACTGCGTTGATTATATATACCCCTTCCTTTTTCAAGTTCTGAATTGTGAAATCAAGGACTGGTATAGACATGCGACAGACCAGTTGTGGTGCGTTTAATTGTCTTGCTCGACCGATCTATGGACGGCATGATACGACGAAATTTTTTTCAGCCACCTTGGCCTACATTCGGCGTCTGTTTGAGTTTGGTGTTTGGCGTTACTTTGATTGGATACCTTGTGCGATGACCCCTCGATCTAGAATATCATCTAGATAGCTCGTGCATATCTAAATACTATTACACTGCAATAGAAAAATGTTGCGAACCTGCAAAGTGCAATTTTCCTGTGAATCTGACGGGTATTTATTACTGGCAGCCATAGAACACCGAGAATACACCACTAGTATCAGTTTTCTACTGGTCTATGAAGAAAAAAAGAAAAGAAAAGAAAGAAACTCGAATCGGTCACACATACAAGCATAATATGGGAAAAGCAGGGATTCTATGTCTATCCTCTAATCTCCCAGAGCCGAATACGGCCCTGCTCATTAGCAACTGCCAACTGCTCTGAATTTGGCGAGATGGCCACCGCCGAGATACGACCCAATGGCGTATTGGCGGTAGGCCAGTTGCGATATACAGTACAAGAAGGCAGATGAACTGTTCGAACAAAATTAGCATTGAGGACTCCACCACACAGGCACAGGCAAACATACCAAGTCTAAGCGCATCCCGCTTCCACCGACTAGCCATAACCAACATCTGCCCATCCGGGGAAAAGACCAAATGACTAGTCGGCGTAGTCAATTGCTCGAGCGCGCGGGTGGGAGTAGGGTTGCGCGGGATAGCCTGGGCCCCGTCCGCAGATGCCGCATAGGCGGCAGCCCAATCACGCCGATCGTACACGTTGACAACACCACTCGAGCTGCCGACAGCTACCCAACGATCTCCACCCAGCTGCGTGCGGCCCGAGCGGCCGCCCAGCCCAAGCACGGTGGTGCCCACGGCGCCAGCGTCCATCCACCGGGCTACGACGCGGCGCAGACGGCCATCCCACTCAGTCACTTCGCCGTTCTTGCTGGCGATTGTCATGCCCTCACCGTCAGACCACCAGGCAAAGTCTGCGACGCCGCCGCGACCGTCGACGCGGACTTGGGCGATCCATTGGGCGGTGTTGGAGTCGAGGATATTGATTAGCCCGCCGCCTTTGCGCGAGCTACCGACTAGGCCGATGTATCGGCCGCACGGGGAGGGCTTTAGGCGTTCCATAGTCTTTTGTTCTTCTTTCCTGTCCGCTGTGCCCTTTACTTTGTCCACTTTGCCGGTGTCCATGTCCCAGATATGGAAGTAGCGGCGCGGCCGGCCGCAAGGATCTTGTTCCCTGTTGGCGGGGCGAACGCGGAAGTGTGGATTGGTGTGCGCCGGATATGCAATGAAGTTAAGAGAGGGTTAGGAGCAGGGCGGATGGAGAAATGTGATGCAGGAAGAGCGTGGATGCAGGGCCAGAAGATAGCAAGAGCGGGTAGTGAGGGTGAAAGTTGAGTGAGTCGATAGATGACTATGAAAGGGGGTAAGCCTTAACTCTTCTGGGAATTCCATATAGGTACTTACGGGCTGAGCTTTGCCAACGTCCTTTAGACGTTGGATATCAAGCACCTCCTGGCGAAGCTTACGCTTGCCGGCTGACCAGGCATTTTCTTCGATGCTGGTAATTTCGGCAGAGCTTTGAAGCAACTTCGCCAGTGGTTGCACAGATAACTGGTCATTCTCCTCGTCGAAATCTGCGTCCTCTGCATCAGATCCGGCATTGCGGTGGTTGGCTATAGCTTCAGGGTTTGCCCAGTCTGGTGTTGGGTGCAGACTCTGAAATTGTCGGCGCAGTCGTCGAATGTACTCTTTGCCGCTGATTACGTCTTCCGACTCGGCCACACGTAGTTTGCGAAGCCTAGCCTTGCCTGCGAGTGAGACGGCTAGTTTCTCATCATCACTGTCATGCCAAATAGCAGGGACCTGCTCTTCCTCTTCGTCATCGTCGGATGGGGTCTCGGGTGCTGGAATGATATCTGTAGATGCAGCCGCAGTGCCGGAGTCGAGGAAGAAAAGCTAAAGAAGAGATAGAACGTCAGGAAAAAGCCAAGAGAAGAAGAATAGAAACAGCAAGCATGTATTCTTGTCACATACGTCTTCATCGGCCAGCTCCTCGAGGTTCTCATCGTCCTCGGCATCCTCTTCGCCCTCACTTTCTCTTTCAGTGTGTAAATCGAGTTGCATACCATCAGCTCGCTGTTGTTGGGCTTTCAATGCCCCCATAAACCCTTCGTCATCTCCAAACAACATGCGCTCAAGCTTTTTCTCAGTCTCGTCCTTTTCAGGAATACTCTCGTCGTCACTAGTCTCATCCATATCGACATCGTCGTCGGATGGGATTTGATTGGCAGACGGTTTATCGAATGCAGGCCGGGCGGTCGCCGGCTTGGACTTTTCCTTGAGCGCTGCTTTGGCCATGTTTTCTTTTGAAGGTCAATGACCTTTGGACCGGAATTGCTGTTCGTATCGGCGACTTGAGGCTTGCGTCCGCGGGACTGGAATATTTTTCGGTCTGATTTTTGCACTGCCGGCAGATAAAGGCGGTGTGGGTGGCGGTATTATCCACTGCAACGATGTTGTGGGTCACAGAGCCGTCTGCGCGGTCTATCAGGGTGTGCCGGTTAGGTATTATGGCTAGATAACTCGGAAGGCGTTCCTTCGCTGTAGGCTGCTGAACTCGCGCTTTTTCACTGGATTTGTCGCGATTATAGAGTGTATCTGAAATTCATTCGTAGCGTTTACTGAAGGAAATATCGTTACAGTAGGACAATAGTTGCAAAAGAGTCCACGCGTTGCACATGTATAAGACAGATCGTTTACCCGTTAACGCTCATTGAAGATCATGAAAAAAAATTCCCAAACGCCCGATATGTAAGTTCCGTCCACAGTGATCATCCAACTGGCCGCGAGTGCTTGTTATCTTGATCATCGCCACTTGAGCTCGAACCGGGTGGCTCATATGGAGGAACGGGAGTATCTTCAGCCAGAGCCTGCTCTGATTCAGCGATAGCGGCTTTAGTGTCCGTGGAGGCTGTCTTCCTAGGGTCTGCCGCGATATCATCGTCAGATGCATCATCCTCATCCATGCCCGCGAGAAGGCCTTGCCGATGGAGATCTTCGTCGGAAGTTGCGTTACCTCGCTCTTCAGTATAGAGCTCGTGTGATAAGGGTTTCTTGATGAAAATATCGATGATGTAGTACTGAATAGCGTTCATGATGACCGGGAAAAGGAGCATGGTGAAGGTAATCTGTAACGCAGTGTTTCCTTCCGTCCATCGAAGCGCCCAGTCACCGATCTTTACAATAAAAGGCAGAAACTGGATTAGAAAGAAGACGCAAACTTTCATGTTGAGTAGACCCAAGAAGTAGATGAAGGACTGCTTGAGCCACCAGCTGGCTCTGGGAGGTTGACCGTAATTACCGGATTCGATCGATTCAGGGGGGTTGGCGAGAGGGGTGTAGGACGCGAAAAAATTCAGAATACGAAGAGCAATAATCAGTATGGGAATACCGAGTGTGGTCTGTAGTCGACATTAGATATGCGATATCAAGTGGCAAAACGGGCAACTCACATCAATACCGATGTTGAGCAAGTAAAAAGAACAGGGATTCGGCTTGAACTCTCGGTGGATTTCGAGCTCGCCCGCAGATATCATTGACATAAGGAGATTTGCTAGGTGAAGCATCGCTGAGCCGAACACTTGCTTCGAGACGTCGAAGGCCCATACTTTGATTGGGCGCTGAGGGCGTTCTCTCCATCGTTTGAACACCAGGGATAGCAAGGCGAGTAGCCCCAGTGCGGCCTGTACAAGAATTGAAAAAGGCCCAAGAAGCTTACATTCGTTGCTCTCGTCGTTTGGGCCCTCCACTGGACCGGGGGGGAGTCACACCATGGTAGTATAGGAAGTGAAGCGTTGACTGAGATGACGTCGATGGCGATGGCATTGTGCTGGGGGATGCCACAGCAATAATAGTTGTTGAGGCTCTCGCCGCAAGATAAACAGCCTGGGAAACCATACTGCGAATGCGATGCCAGTCGATGACGGATAGGCGACCGGGAGGATGCCTCACGCACCAAGGCTTATGGAATGGCGAAGTCCAAATAGTCGCTGGACGGGCTTATCGAGGTTTCAGACGATCGTTCATGGGGTTACTCGGGTGGGATATTGCAGCAAGACGAAGAAATAATGACTGAGAGCTTTGGATTTATCTGGAGCCGGGAGTGGCAAGGCGCAGCGTTACAACCAGAGCGAGAGGTTTGGGGCGGTGTCGGTCCCCGCACGGGATCGGCGCGGTTAAATTTAGGGGTGATGGTGTAGCCTGCTAATGCATATCAACATGGTTGACTTGAGATGAAAGGAAATAAAGAAACAAGAGCTTATTCGTGTTATGAAGTACGAGCATTATAGACTGTAACCAGTTAATCACAATAAGGGCTTTCTCTCCCAGCAGTGTCGCTCCCAAGACCCAGCATGGAGTGGAGGCCTGATGACGGGCAGAGTTTACGCTAGGATCCTTATCTTCCGCCGATATTATTCTTATCGCGGTATGAGATTCGTTTCTTCAGGGTCCCTACCACACTACATCTTGATGATACCATCGGACTTGATAATCTTCTTTTGCCGAGCAGAATAGGATTTATTGATCTCCTGCGAAGGGACACGGAATGGAATAATAGGTGAGTAAAGATGCACAAAGAAAAAGAGTCCCATCTCTCGACGATCATATTTCTCAAGCGAGAAGCTTCTCGACGTCGGTCGAGAAGAAAAGAGGATATCAAAAGAGAGAGAAAAGAAGAAAAGCACCATAAACCCTTCGGCACTCTCCAGATGTCGAACTCATTGAAATAAAGAATGAACCCAGAAATCACGAAAACGCCAGAAACCCCTTCAACCGACCCGCAATCGATAGAATGGAAGAGCCGTTGCAGCACGATGTGCAGCTAAATGCTAGCAGAGGGAGGGGCAAAGAGCCTTGACGCGTCGCGTTACTCTATCCCATGCTGCTGTTTGAGACGTTCCAGGTTTTCCTGGCGCTCCGTGATATCCTCTTGTGAGCGGACCATCTTCTCGGGCTGGTGGTATAGGACTGCAGGAAAATTCCAGTCAGCTTTAGAGCTCTCAATCTGCCCGCATTCATCAGGAGTCGTATGCAACATACCGACCAAGTATCTGTTCTGGAAGTTGAATCCATTGAGCTTATCGCATGCCTGCTTAGCGTCATGGACATCTTCGTAAACCACGAAAGCCGTTCCCTTTGAGTTGTTGGCGATACCCTGGCGAATTTGCCTGCGATAAAGAAGAAAGAAAAAAAAAGTTAGTGGCAAATCCCTAAACGTAACTTCAGAATTTCTCGCAGTACATACCGAATAGGGCCGAATTTCCCGAATAGATCGAAAAGTTGCTCCGCTGTTACGTTGTAGCTGTGGGGATCAAGTCAGCGATCAAGGCGAAACTTTGCAGAGATAGTGCTGGCATCGAGATGGTCACAAGAGCAGCGAGTGCGTATAGATGGGGTCTCATACTTGAGGTTCTTGACGAAGAGAATCCTAGACAAAATAAGGCGTGTTAGAGATCATGATCTCTGAGATATAGGAGCAGGAAAGATGCCCTGCGAAGATAGATGCATCTGTTCGTGGAAGCCAGAGGAGGGGCACGAGAACTGAAACGTACCGATTTGCTTTGGGGGCGAGCTTCCGGCTCATCCTCAGAGAAAAAGGGGTGTAGTTAGGTGATGAAATTCGGAATAGAAATGGAGAGCTAGATACCCAGGGTATCGGCGCAGCGGTAGTACGAAAGAGCGAGGCGTATAGGATCAAGACCAAGACACGCAGAATGCACGAGGTGCGGCCTTGGCACGACCCGATCCGGCTTAGTGGTGGTCACGGGACACCAGATGAAGTAAGCAAGTGACAATACGGAACAAGCGGTACCGATTAGATGGGAGATATCGTGGATCTCCAACTACTAGCTGCCTAGATCCGTAACAAACTAAGCGTAAATTACGGTATTCCGCAGTCTAGCTCGGCGAAGACGCTCTCGTCGCAACTGGACTAGAGGTCGGGGCTCAGAGGAATGGCACTCCGTTATGTTTTCCTCTCGTTCGTTCTGGCAGATCAATCGAATCCCAATTCTAAGCTCCAATTGCCTTCCTTTCTTTCGCTACCTAATCCCGCAAACCCAAAGCGCAGTGTCTTTCCAGACCCTATCCCCGCGTACATACCTGGCCAGCTGAGTCGGACTTGCTTCTCCCTCTCGCACGCCTTGCGACTCACCTCCCCTCCTCGCACCACCGACCTTGAAACCGACCCATCCTCTCGCGATTCATCCGCGTGTTATCCAGTTTGCAGGAATTCATTCCTGCCGACTGGATCGCATTCGATTCGCTATACGTCTCTGCCCGCAAGCTGCGCGGCGCGACTCTCGGCACCTTTGTCCTTCCGCCGCTCAACTTGAAACCCCCCTCAACTGAAGCGCTCCGCGGATCGCCTACCTCAGTTACCACCTCCGGCCGTTCTTGATCATTCCTCGAACATCTACGTTCATCTCTCGGATTCCGATGCGGATGATCGCCTGCCAGGAATGACTTGCTTCTTCCTTGCGACGGCCTCTCGCTAGTCCGTGTGGTCGAACGTCCCCGCTTTGCACCCACCTGCCGCAAACACATATTTACACACCTGCGCCTGCAGCCCTTCATTTTTCCTGGCCTCGGATCCTCTAGAGACAGCAAATATGATGAGCGCTGCTTCTTTCTCGAATCCTCTGGGCCAGCGCCCTCCTCAATACCGAACCCCATCCCCGCCGCGACGCGCCGTCGAACCCATCACACCATCCACCGCCGAATTCCGCACGCCATGGGCTGAGCGCAGCATCACTCGGGCCACGAGCCTTGACGGTGATCAGCGCAGATCAACTAATGGTCAGATTACTGCCACCGATCGGGGCTCTCACCACCGGTCGGGCCATGGCCGATCAAATTCTACAATCGACACCCTCGCGACCATTGCCCTTGCGACCAGTCCAACTTTTACCCCACTTCCTCACCGACCACCTACTCCTGATTCCCACTTAAATGTTTCTCTATTCCCATCAGACAGTCACCCCGAGAGGCCTGCAAAGCGCCCTCGGTCCGAGAGAGAACCGTCCCCGCAACAAGCTCGGGTCATACCCCCGAGTAATTCCTACCCTAATCCGATGGACAGTATGACTACAGATGCGGAGCTCCTATTAAACCTTGCCCGACCTACGAATTTCCAACCCAAGGCTCATACAAAGCATGTTAGCATCGATGAGTCTCAAGGTTACTATGGAGGTGACCCAATGCGACACTCTGGAGTCGGTTTCACCAACGGAACTCATCCTGGGGCAGATAATGGGATACCCCAATCACGCATGAGATCTCGCTCTGATGGGTCTGCGTTCATCTCCCGCCCTGTAATCCGTAGCATTCGCCCAACGACGAGTGCTGGGACACTACCTCCGACTGTTTGGGAAGACGAGAACGAAGAACCCCCTTCTGATATCTCCCGCTTTGCTGGCTACGGCGGAGAGCACAGGCCCGATGTTCCAGGAATTGACCCCATTCCGAAGACAGAAGAGTCGGAGAGTGACACAACACAAGCAAGCTGTGCTGCTTGCCACATGGTTCGGATCCCCGACCTGACAGATGAGCAAGACGAGGACACTTGGATAGGCTGCGATGGATGCAAACGCTGGTTTCATATCGTCTGCGCGGGATTTAAGAATGACCGGGAGATTCGGACTGTTGATAAATTCATCTGCCGCGAATGTCGTCCCATACACGGACATACGACATTTGTACGAAAATCTTCACGGGCTCGCACTGCTATTGACTACGCTGGCTTGAACCAAGGTGTGGTTAAAGCTGCCACGGACACGGTGGAGCATCACTACCTGGAACCTATTCGCCAAGGGAAAATACGATTCCAGCCAGAGACTTTTCCCCGCATGAGACCAGAGCTCGTGACCGCGGAATGGTTTGAACGTGGCAGTGGCTGGACCGAGCCCGTGGTCATCCCGGCCTGCTGGAACACCAGTGCACCGGTCTCGGAAGAGGATATTGAGTTTGACAACCTCGTGCAAGAAACCTCCACCCAGGAAATGTTTGATGACTTGATGGAGCATGCCCCTAGGAATGAGACGGTCCTTGAAGAGACATTGGACTGCGGTCAGGATCAGCTGGACATGGTCATCCCCAGAGGTCTGACAGTTCGGGCCGTCGCTGAGCTGTATGGCCCTGAGGAGAGAGTTGAGGTCATCGATGTCAAATCTCAGCAAGGAGAAGACAAGCGATGGAATATGCAAAAGTGGGCTGACTACTACGAGAGCTCTGAGCCTAACAAGGTTGTGCGCAACGTTATCAGTCTAGAGGTCTCGCAAAGCAGGCTCGGCCGTCTCATCAAGCGCCCAAAGATCGTTCGCGATCTAGATCTGCAAGATGCCGTCTGGCCAAAAGAGCTCCAAGCTATCGGTGATTTCCCCAAGGTTCAGTTCTATTGTTTGATGTCGGTCGCCGACTGCTATACGGACTTTCACATCGACTTTGGTGGGTCGTCGGTGTACTATCATATCCTCAAAGGAAAGAAGACCTTTTTCTTCATTCCACCAAAAGATCAGCATCTGAAGAAATATGAGGAGTGGTGCAACTCCCCAGCACAAGATTCCATCTTCCTGGGCAATCAAACTAAAGAATGCTACCGTGTGGATCTCTCTGAAGGTGACACCATGCTGATCCCGTCAGGCTGGATCCATGCAGTATGGACCCCAGAGAACAGCTTGGTGATTGGAGGCAATTTCCTCACCAGGATGAACTACGGCATGCAGATCAAGATTCTGAACATCGAGAAAGACACCAAGGTTCCCAAGAAGTTCAGGTATCCTTTCTTCCAGAAAATCCAGTGGTATACAGCAATGCGGTATTTGGAGGACGATCCCATTCCGCAGAGTGTTCTAGACGCATTTGCCCAAGATGAAACCTATCGATTCCACCGGCATTACCCAGTCTACTACGAATTTGCTGATCGAACCAATAACGAACCACGAGGCTCGCCTTACTTCAATGCTCGGTTCTACTCCCAGGCAGAGCTCGAGGGGTTGCCGGAATTGACTAAGTATCTTCTTCGGACAGCACTCATCGCCAGCTCATATTCTGTGGATGGTGTGACGAGTGAGGTGAGCAATGCGGTCCGGCGCTCCATCCCAAAGGGAGTCGGAGACCCAATCGATGTGATCAGGAGGTTCGGCATTTGGGTGGCCTGGAAGCGGGGCAATGAGCGAGCTCCGCTGTGGACTCGACCTGGCATTATCGAAAGCAATCCAAAGGCATCTCTTGCTGAGAAACGGCCTGCTGGTCGACCTAGCCGACGATCTGAGCGCAATGTTGAGGCACAGCGTACCTATACAGAACGTCAAGCGGTCCAAGGTCCAGTTGTGGAGATTCAAGCCACTCCAGTTCCTTCGACTAGCATCAGCAATTTCCCTCCACCTGAGAACGATCCAAATGTTCTAGCCGGTTTCGCATCTGATCACGCTGCTCGCGACGCAAATAGCGGGAGGTCACGATCTGCACCACGAGGATCAGGGCTTGGTTCCTAAGCGAGTCGCCTGCGATGCTTGCCGTAAGAGGCGCATTCGATGCCGCCACAAGGATGAACCAAGTGATCTGATGCTGAACCGGCAGATGGCTATTAACGGGTTTGCTCCTGCTTCCGGTATGAGTACCCCGTCATCGTCCTTGGCACAGGATGCGGTATCTGCCTTGAACTCACTGGCTGCGATTGCCTCCCAAACCGACTTCCAAGGGAATGGTCTGTCTGGCTTGGAGCGCTTTGATACACCGGCTTTTCATTCTATGATGGGTGCACCTATGGCAAGCAACGGGCTCAATGATGTTAGCCCCGATGTCAATGGTGGCAAGAAAGGCCGAAGTAAGGCATGTGACGACTGCCGGAAAAGCAAGGTAAGCTTCAACTTCTATATCGTGTTCTGCCCAGGGGGGCCCCCCGGGGTACCCTTCGATTCAATGCTGACTGACCATATTAGCGCCGCTGCATCCACGATGAGTATGGACGGATCGATCCTATCAAGGCCCAAGAACGATCCAAGCCTCGCGGTACTGCCACTGCAAAACGACCGCGGCCGAATGAAGACGAGAGCACGCCTGTTACTGTTAAGAAGACCAAGCAAGAAAGTACTTCTCCAATTGCACATCCAGCGTTTCTCAGTCATGGCGGAACCGATGCGCACATGGCGCCAATGGTGCCTCCCTATGGACATAACGGTGTCGCGTACCATAATATCGATCGAATCACCGCCGAACCTATTAAGGAGAGTGAAGTCTATCTTGACCAGAAGATGTATGCCTCACCTCCTGCCTTCCACGCGGATTCGGTCGAGGCCAAAGACCCCAGTCTCTTGTCTGCGTCATCAAAGCCAACTGCATCTTTGGTATCTCCTCCGACGTCGCTGGCTGACGAGATGGACGTTGTTCCGGAAGGTGAAGCCATTGCATCTGTTGAGGGCGAGGTTTCTACCGCACTCCAAACCCCGAATTCCAGTTCTCGCCATTCATCACGTCAACCGCGACATCTTGAACGGCATTTACCCGATGCGACTGTGAGCCGTGTCCCCAAACCGACGACCAAGCCCGCAACGTCCACCACGCGCCGTACTCCCGGCCCACCGTCTTCTGCGAAGAAGCCTTCATCGCGTCCCTCGTCGTCATACGCAAAGAAGAGCTCACCCATGGCCGAGAGGCTTTTTGAGAGACATGCAACGGCCTCGCTATCCCCTCACCAATCTAAACATTCCAATCACTTTGCCAATGAAGAAGGGCCCGATGCTGAAAGCTTGCGGCTCATCCGCGAGTTGCAGGAAGCAGAATTCGGGCTGCGTCGCCGACGAGGCTAGAGAGACCCACGAAGATATAGGGATGACCGAAAATACGGCTTGGATGATCTTTTCTTTCCCTTTCCTCTTCAATTTCTTTTCTTTTTTCTTATTTGTTTACCAATGCAATAGGTTACTGGGATATCAGTATGGATTGGACTTGGAAATTTTTGGCGTTTGTACGGCTCTATACAACTTCTTTCACTTCGCTTATCACATGGCGTTCTCTTTGTTTGGACTACAGGGGTTTACGGAGTTCCGAGTGTTTGCGTTTTGCTTACTCCACCTTCGCTTGGAGACTACTGACTTGTCTTGATGCTAGTCATGGTTTTGATTTTTTTTTTTTTCTTCCTTTTCCTTTTGTTCCTTTTTTTATGTCCTAATTTAAGCTCCTTGGACGCTCATTCCGGTTGAACTGCATTGACCTTGCCCTTGGTTGCCCTTAGGTTCCTATCTTCTTGGTGCCTTTTTGAACACAAATGCAGCTGTCTCTGCGCGTATTCCTTGCGCTTGGGCGTTCTCCGGCGGGGTCGTTTTGTAATTTGAGATCTCTGCCTTGCGGTCAATCGTTTACACGTCTTATTCCAAATACATTACATAGTCAGCAAAATATGCTTTCCTTGTTGCCATCAAGTAGCTGCTACGGGTCTTTAAAAAGGGCTTTACACTCATCATGGTACTTGGGTCCTACTATGAATGCCGGTAGCTGCTAGTAGTATTCGGAATCAGGAATCATCCTAGTGGGCTGTGACAGGCACAAGGGAGTGGATATGGTCTAGAAAGATAAAAATCACGAATAACGACAGCTTGACATGACCCCTTCCATCTCAAGTGTACATTAGTAACTAAATATGGCTCCAGAGCTCCAACTTGGAGTTATCCCTCTCGCTTCTCGATGAAGTCTGTCTCTCCAAAAGCCTGTTTTGATGCCCTTCACTTGGACAAGTTCTCTTGTTCTATTTGCCGAAGTTGAAAGTCTGGCTGGGCGGCATTCAGGTAGTTGGTCCTGGCTGCAGCTCCGGCCAAGGGTATAGTTAATTCGTGCAAGGAATTTAGGGCTGGAGACTGGCCTTCATTATCCGATGTTTACCAGGGTAGGAGACAATGATTCCAAGCGTTGCCATGCTGGCCGTTGGTCGTGGTACTTAGAGAAGAATGCCTTTTAAATCTCCAGACTATGAGAATAGAAATATTGGTGTGTTGTCTGGCTTTAACCTAGCGGGCGGGCGCTTGTGTTTGAAGAGCCATGCTTATTTCTCGTCCCGTAGACTGGGACTGGGACCGGGAGGGGGGCGCTGAGAGCAAAACTTACATATTTCGCCCAATTAGCGTTAAGTAGTGAATTGCCACCAATTTGTGGCGGGAATGATCGGGCAGGTGTACCCTAATAGTGGCCGATTATAACAGCCATCGACATATTCCGGGTTCCATTCTTCACGCGCGTCTTCTCCCCGAAATTTTGAACTGCGAGGAAACTCCAGAAAAGCAAAGCGCCGGCGTGGAAAAGGCATGGGAAGATCTCCAACGACCGCCAGGAATGACGCTCGGATATGAATAGCCGAATATCTTCAATAGCCGTCCAAATGCCGTCCAGACAAGCAACCATTTCTATTTAAACAAACCTGCGGGGGTATTCGTGATTCCCTCCTAGAATTGGCCTCTCGAACTAGGCATTTTCCCTTAGAACCATCTATGTATCATAGCAAAATGGGTAAACCAATTGTGCTGCACTTGGGGGACGACATCCGCTGGAACCATGAACTTTACGCCAAATTCAGCGAGCAATTCGAGGTGCGCCGGTCGTACAGCTTGCCGCGCCCGGACTTCATCCGCGCCCTGCAGGACCGCAAATTTGGAGACTTTGTGGCCATGTACCGACCTTTCTGGAATACCGGGGGAGAGATGGGCAACTGGGATGAGGAACTGATCTCGCTACTGCCGTCTTCGTGTAAGATCTACGCCAGCGCGGGCGCTGGGTTTGATTGGGTGGACACTGCTAGCCTGGCCAAGAGAGGTAAGGAATCATCACTGCAGTTTATCCAATGTGGTGCAAAACAGCTGACCCAGCCCCGTTCAAGGTATCATCTACTGCAATGCTGCGGCCGCGTGCACCGAGTCAGTTGCCGACGCGGCCCTTTGGCTGGTAATCTCCACCTTTCGTCTCTTCTCATGGTCCGCCATGGCTGCCCGCACAGCTGATGTCGACAAGTTTGTCGCCGCGAACCGGAACCTGGCCATGGTGTCCCAAAACCCGAAGGGCCACACCCTGGGGATCATTGGCTTTGGCCAGATCGGTCGCCGGGCGGCTGAAAAGGCATACAAGGCCCTAGACATGAACATCCTCTATCACGATCTCGTCAAGATGCCGCAACAGCTGGAAGATGTATCTAAGGCCACTTTTCACAAGTCCATGGAGACGCTCCTCGCGGAGTCCGACTGCGTGGTGGTGGCGACTCCGTTCAGCGGCGAGACTCTGTTGGACGCCTCACTTCTATCGAAGCTGAAGCGCGGAGCTCGGATCGTGAATATTGCCCGGGGGAAACTCCTGGACGAGACGGCCTTGATCGACGCGTTGAAGAGCGGGCAGCTTTCTGCAGCGGGTCTGGACGTGCACTTCAACGAACCTCAGGTGAACCGTGAACTGGCCGCGATGAAAAATGTGGAAGTCATGTCTCATAACGCAGGGGCTTCTCTGGACTCGCATATCGGGTTTGAGCGCTTGGGTATGGAAAACATCCTATCATTCCAACAGACCGGTAAGGCGCTCACCCCAGTGAATGCGCAGCTCGTAGCCAAGGCCTATAAGCTTTGAGCCGGCAATTACACGGCAGGGATGTTTTTTTTTTCTTTTTCTTTTTCCCCCCTTTTTTTTGAAAAAAAAAAGAAGACAAGAAAAGAAATTACCAAATTTGAACCTTGGAAATAAAATAGGAATAAAAGGATGCAAATGAGTGACAGGGTCCTTCCGCTCAGCCCGGCTTCTTGATCTATACCGTTCGCGAACAAAAATAGCATGGAACCTTGGAAGGACGGGGGTTGACTGACAAGAACCATATGCTTAGCCCCGAAATTGCCGGGATCAAAGTGGGAAACAAGTTCCTTGATGAAGAATCCACGACGTCCTACAGTCCCACTTCCTGTTCTCGCCTGGCATGTCATTCGCCAGCCCTATCAGTCCACGAAGCTTGCATTGCCTCGATTTGGCACCGCCAGTGGGGCTGTGTTGCTTAGAGCATCATGCCCAAGTTTCCCCTATAGCCTGACCTGATCTTCCAGGAGCTATCGGTCATCAATTGTCGTAAAGGTCATTTGTAAGCCTTCTTAGAAACTAAGCCCCTAGGCAGATCCTTCCGAGCTGGAGAGGAAGACGGCGAGCATCCCCAGAATACGGTATGCAAATGGACAATCGGTAGCAAGTCAGCGACGTCACCGAGTCTTGACAGCAACAGAATGACAGGTTACCCAAGCGAGTAAGCCTCCAAAGCAGATAGAACCAAGAGGTCACCAGCGGAGGTTCTTCCGCGTAAAGGGGGGGATGATTAATTCCGTAGTCTGTTCCGCGGTAATCGGGATACTGAATTAGGAAGCTGGACTACTGGGTTGGGCTGAGTTGGGGGCTATTGGTCGGCTCGTCCAAAAGTTGTTTTTAGCGTGTGATGAGGATTTAAAATATCACGGAGAAAGCAGAACAAAGGAGGTTGAGCGGTCTGGGCCGCTAGGGGGGGGGGGAACTCCCATGGGAGGGAAAACCTTCAGGAGGGGAAAGCACACCGACAGATTTGGGGGCAGTTTCACTTAATAATATGGCAGAGGCTCAAGACATGGCGGTGATGGAGGCCATGCCCCTCCAAGCTGAAGGCTTGGCCGCTCTGGCACGGCCAGCGATTCGCCCTTCAGCTGTCGGCGCAATCTTAGCGCGCTTCTCGAGCTGAGCCAATTCTAGGCAAAAGGTCCTGAGACGGGCAGCGATCAGCACCGCTCGTATGGTGCAGCCAACCGCGGCTCACCAGCACAGCCCAGCCCTACGTCGATGCGGGCGCGATACGCAAGTCGCGCCATGTGGTCATCTACTTAAAGCCATGGAGAACCCCACTGCGTACTCGTAAAGCTCACCCCAAAGCTCACTTTCAACTATGGATTCCCACTTCATGCCTCTGTACGACTATCCCCGGAAAGAGAACCTCGAGGGCCTCGAGGGCTACGGGGGCTACGAAGGGTACGAAGGGTACGAAGGCCACGGCGTCAAAGGCTTCCACCTTCCACATCTCAACATGCCACCCGAGTCACAATGTGCTCTGCCCTATGACACTTACTCGCCATACATGGCCGCCATGGACAGCCCATTCCTCCAGGGCAGCACCATCCCTACAACCGAAGATTATACATGGCTGCAAGTCCCGACCATGCCGGAGATGCCTCTATACGGCGATTCCGCCCCAACACATGCAGACAGTCTATTCTCATGGCCAACCTCGGCTCCGTCCAGTCTGGGGGGAATCTCCCCAGCCCTCCTCACGACCTCCCTCCGCCTCTCCAACACCCGCTACCACCGATCTCTCATACCTGGGCGCCCAAATGGAAGATGGCACCTGGCGCTGCACATTCCCCAGCTGCAACTCCAAGAATTCCTACGAGCGAGTCTGTGATCTCCGCAAACACTACAAGCGCCACTCTCGACATCTCTTCTGCCGACACAACGGCTGCCCGAAATCAATATCCAGCGGGTTTTCAAGCAGAAAAGATCGTGCGCGACACGAGGCGCGGCATAACCCTACCATCACTTGCGAATGGGAAGGGTGTCCTCGACTCTTCAGTCGCATGGACAATATGCGCGACCATTACCGGCGGGTTCATCAGAAACAAAGTCGGGCGCGAAAATAAAGCCTTGGAGAGGATATAGAAGGGGAGCACGACGCGCAGTCTCAGGACAGACCAAACCACCATGTATTTATAATTGAAAGCCTGGGGTCCACAGCAACAAGGGGCCTCACGATGCATCTTTCTGGCGTTGATATTTATTGAACGTGTTATATTTTAGAACAGTCGATTTTCTCCTATAGAAACTTTCATATACCCTTTAGCGCCTTCGGCACCTGATTAATCTCCCTCAAGCCTACAAGTCCTCTCTGGAGATCAACGTGAAGGAAGCATCCGTGGTCGTACCGAGCAGCCGGTCATGGAAGCATGCCAGGTCCGTATGGTTCTTGTAGATGTCACCATCCTGGTACTGGGCACAATCGAAGCATTTGGTGACAATTCACCACCAGAAACAACTGGTCGGAGGTAGACGCCACCATCCTTACAGCACCCTCGTACCTGCCGAAGTTCTCGTCATCATCATGTTCATGCAATAAGTCTTATCTTTGTTTCTTCACATCTTTGGATCTCCGGACTATTGTCCACCCATGATCGCAGGCGTATTCTGACACGAGTAAACTTGGGGCGAACCCCGCAAAACTCCTAAGCAGATCCCTTGTGGTGTTGGATGCCCTTAACCACCCTCAATCAGTGGAGCCGCCATCCCAAGGCCGCCGGCCATGGACGGCAACGTTGGCGTCATCTTTGCTGTAAAAAGTGATGTGAAGTCTGGCCTGCCGCGGTAGATCTGACACTCGAGACAAGAAAATGCGGATAGTAGAAAGCCAGATACCGGGAGATAAGGCCTTGATCTGGAAGACGGCTGTTTCCATTCGCCAGTTGCCACACTATGTACTTCATGGTTGCAGCAACCAGCCAATGTCCCCGCTATGCAAGCAATGGTGATTGGCATTATACGCTGCATACTAGCCTGCGTTATCGTGATTGGCTCGCTTCTTGGCGTGTCATAAGGCCCCACTTTGGACGCTAGCGGGAGTTCTGCGCACGGACCCTCTACCCCGGACATATAGTCAGTCGCTTTCTCCTACCATTCCTCTTCTTCTTCTTTTCCTTTTCAGCGCTCTTTGCCAATTGGCTTAGATCAAGTGTAGTATCTGTTCTTTTCAGTTTAATCACTGAAAGTGTTCTCTGGAACACCCTGATTATTCTTATTTTTGGAACCCGCGGCCGGCCTCTGTGCTTGCGCATGCCAGCCGCACAGTGTCATTGGGCTTACACTATTCCCTCTCGACGCGAACACCTTTTTTTTTCACCTTTCTTCACCCTTTTTTTCATCAACCGTGTCGGCTTGTCCGGCCGCTTGGAGAAGAACTGGTGTATGCGCAGTAGCGGGACATGTGTTGTTGACGTTTGTGGCCGGCCTGCCCACCGCGTGATAGTATACAAAGCACTTTGTTCTATACAACTTACGATGCAACTTACGAGGCGACCACGCAAACACGCGACCATACGCGACCACGGAGGATCTTCTATGGTTGTTTTGTTTTGTTTTTGTTTTGTTTTTGTTTTGTTTTTTGTTTTGTTTTGTTTTTTATCTTCTTTTTCTTCTAAGAAAGCCCTTCTATTCCCCGTAGGAGGTCCAGTATGAAAGTCTACAAATAGAGCCAGGGATCTCACTAGGGCCCCCCCAGAGCCTACTATATGATATCATCGTTCATTGGCGACAGTTCTCCGTAAGCTAAAAAGGCTGGGGATACACTACCAGAGTCCATTTCTAGCAATGTTGAGTGGGTCTCCCAAGAAATGGCGCTGCGCCGTTTGCTGCAGAGGCGTTGGCCCATCAGCCCTTCTAAGGAGGACCCAATCTCTACTTGTACAAGCACTGACCATGTTTGTACGGAGGATTTGAATGCTAGTAGGCTAGTCCTATCTAATCATCGGTCACCCATCAAAATATTCATAGTACTCAGATAGTCATTTCTGCGAAAAATAAAATTACCGAGCCAGAGCTTGCTTCCCCCGTTGCCTTTCTTCGACGGAGCTTGCATCAATCCCTACTAATATAGTGCACTATAATACATATCTGAAACCCTTGTTTTCGATCTCAGTTTGATCCTGTAAAAATTATTAGTCGTCTATGCGAGTCCAGCCAGGAAAGGGAACAGACCAGCATGCCATTTTCCACAGCATCCTCCTCGGAAACTCCCTCTTCTAGTGCCTGTTTGTCTCGGCGTTTATTCTCGAGGTACATGTACAAGTACAGGCTGACAATGCAAAGTAGCTTGACAACATAGCCAACGAGCATTCTGAAAACTTGTCAGCTCGGCCATGGCCGTGGATTGATTGGACAATGTCCGCGTCACTCACGCGATGTATGCACTGTGATACCCAGGCGCCTCGCTCGACTTGAAGGTCTGCGGTCCAATAATATTCCCCACACAGTAGCCAGTAAACAAGAGCGCACTAGTTACCTGCTTCTTCGTGTACCCAGCGATGTTGGAGCTGAGAGTCGTCAGGGCCATACTGAACCCGAGCCCCTGGAAAAAGCAGAGCCAAAGCGCGACGAGACGACCCCATTTATTCGAATCGGGCAGCCCGACCAGCAGGCCTGCTCCGACGATGCAGGTGATATTGGCGAAGATCATGCAAGCACTCCGGGCATGGAACTTGCTGTCGTATTTCGTAGCGAAGACTCCTCCGAACAGAATAGTGAGGAACTGGACGGCGCCTCCGGGGATTTGGAGATACTGGGTGCCCAGCGTATCAAACCCGAACGACTTCACGATAATGGACGTGAACTACCCTTCGTTAGCCTCGTTTCTGCCTCGGTTGATACGAAGGGCTCATACACTAGTAAGAGCCGAGTTGGGCACCTGCGCGCCGATCGCCATCACGAACAAGAGCCAGGTCTTGGGATCGCGGACGGCTTGCCACGCTTGCTCCCATTTGAACTTCTCGTTCTTGACACCTTGTCTGTTGACCGCCACACGCTCGACTGCGATGGCCCTTTCACGGTCATCCAGGAATGTCGCTGTCGAAGGGAGATCGGGCAAGAGCCACAAGGCAAAAAGACCAACGGCTACGGAACAGGCGCCGAAGATGATAAAGACGTACATCCACCTGGGTAGTCCGCTTGTGATGTGCCCAATAGCGTATCCGAGCAGACTGATCGATATGTGAGCTGGGGTCCTGCCCGGCAGAAGGCAGAATGGTCTCTTACCCTCCAAACATGGTTGCAATGCCGTTGGTGCAGTACCATGCTTCTAGCCGCAGAGGCTGTTCTCTTGCGGTATACCACATGCCCATCATTAGTACAAAGCCGGGGTTGACGACTGCCTCAACCATGCCCAGGACAAACCGATTCGATGCGATGCCAGCGAAGTTGTAGCATGCGGGCGTAGTCATGAGAATACCACCCCACGCTATATCACCAAATTTTAGCTATATATTACTCCGTTCATGCAATACATATTATCACATCTTACCAATCGTCGTCGATGCGAGGAATTTCCCGACCGGCAGTTTCTGGATTGCCAGCCCGGCCGGGTACTGCGCGATCAAGTAGCCAAAATAGAATATAGAGCCTGGAGCAGACTCTAATTAGGAATGGCAGCCTAGCAAAATATCCAAGACGCCTACAACATACCAAGCCATGAGTAGTCTTGCCCCACAAGACCCGTGCCCTGCTTCAAGCCGTATACAGACGCGAAATTGAGGGTGTTCTTGTCCAAATACTATGCCTCATGAGCAAATGAGCATCCAACGCCATAGGAGCCACGAACCTGCAGCAAGTAGATCAGAAATAATAACGGAATCAACCGCATATCAATCTTGCGGAGCACAGCCTTCTCTTCCTCAGGCGTATACACCAAGCCCCTGTACCGCCGATAGGTATCGTAGTTCTCGTCGAGATCCGAGGACGCCGTGGTCGTCAGCGGAGGCGAAGTCGCCGCTTCGAGTTCCTTCTCGCTTCCCATATCGACCAAGAACCGGGTAAATAGATCTTGTCAGAGTACAGGGCCGCAGGTTCCCAGATGCAAAACGAAACGGCTTCCGCAAGATCTCCGATTCCTGGGCCTCGCGGGGTTTTAAGGGAAATTCCTCCAGTTGACACGGCCTAAGTGGAGCATAAGCTGGATGCTATAGGCCCCACTAGAGCCTAGAGGTCCGGGGGTAGCTCTATTCGAGGATCAAAGTGCTGATCGAGATGGAGCCGTCGCCAGCAGGACACAAGGCGTCGGACACATGCTCCCGGTTTGATTATACTATCATTTCTAATTATTCTCGCGATATCTATACTAGGATTACTGAAGAAAAGGTCCTGTCAAGTCGTTATCAGCCTAAATTGGCACGGCTCCAGGCGCTGAGAGAACTGGTGAATAAGTGGAGAAAATCACGACATCGAAGCGCAGATTGCGTGTTGAGCCAAAAGTCAATTCCACCAAGTCGCGCCGTTTCACAGTTCGGCGAGATGCCGAGTGTTTAAGATTATCATCATTAGCAGCATAACTTAGTGGCATGCAAGTTTTGGGGTCAATATGGTTTGGATGGTCATAATCTCATTATCGCCTACCTGGGCTTTTTAAGGTTATCGGCTTGAATCAGGTCCCACCGGCCCCGTACATAATTCACAACTTCGCGAAATTCCTAGTAATTCCTAGTTTGCTGATCTTTGAACGCTAGAATTCAGATTCCATTGATCTTTGTGGTCTAATTTACTAGTAGAGCATGCGAGGAGTCTGTTCTCTCGCTCCCTCGGAGTATACAGAATCAAAGTCTGGCCACCGTCTTGACAAAATTTACCAATTCGCATGACCAAAGACAGTGAAACGGCGCGTGAAATGCTTGGGATATCCAGAGTCCTTCCTTTCTTCGCGACTTGTGTTCTTTTCTCTCTTTTGTTTCCAGCTTCGAAAAAGAGAGATCCGCTCACAGTAGAGTCTTCATTTCCTCCATGTCGCGGATACCTGCCAGGTTACCGGCCTTGACACGCTTCAGGGTCAAGGCGGCAATAAGAGCAGCACCAACACCGGAACCATCCTCGGCAGCCATGATAACGACCTTGTCCTTCTCTTCAGGCTTCCAGTCTAGGATTTCCCGGAGGGCCTGGGCTCCACGGGCCTTGAAGTGAGGGTACTTGGTGAAGACGGAGCCGTCAGCGCCAACGTGGCACGACTCGATGTTCTTCTTTGTGCAGATAGCAGCCACACCACAGGCAGACAGACGAGCAGCGCGGGTTCCAATCAGCTCGGCTAGGCGGCGGGACAGCTCTAATTCAGGCTCGGTAGGGTGAATGCCGAGTTCGCGGACGAAGAGATCATAGGTCTCGGACAGGTTCTCGTAGGGGTCCTCTTCAATTTTGGCGAGGAATGAGGCATCCAGGATGTATGGCTTGCGAAGCTTCGACACGTCCTGGCCGTTGAAAATCAGGCCGGGCTTGTTGTCGACCAGATCCACAAGGGCCAACCGGAAGATTTCGCCCAGGTAGAGACCGGCGGTCATCTTTTCGAAAGCCTGCTGGCCGGGGCGGGAGAGTCGCGATCAATGATCTCATCAAATTTAGTAAGAGGGAGGACCACGCGTTCATTGTCAAACGCTCCGTATTCACAGTTAATAGCAATCGGCAGTTCGGGGTCAAGGTTCAAGTGCGCAATCTTTGGCACGGATCCAACGTTCTCCATGTACGCCGCATTGACACCAGTACCGAAGATACAGCCGATCTTCATTTCAGGATCGGTGTATGCCGAAGCAATCATTGTACCGGTGGTGTCGTTGATCAAGGCAGCCACCTTGATGGGCAAACCCTGAAAACATAGTTAGTTCAGATGGGGCGCGGGAACGATGGCGCGGATGTTGACATACCCGCTTTTGCAGAATGGCCTCCAGAGGAGGCACAACGTCCTGACCTTCGACGCCGTCGATATCAAATCCCTTCGTCCAGCGTTGCAAGATGCCGTGGTCGATGTATTCTTGGGTGGCCGGGTAGGAGAAGGTGAAACCCAAGGGCAACTTGGTCAGATTCTCCTCTTCGTGGTGGGACTCAATGAACTGCTGCAAACAATCGGCAATGTATTCCCACAGCTCCTCGGCGGTACCTGTCTTGAGCTCCTCCGGCATGCGGTACTTGGACTGAGTGATATCGAATGCGCCCTTCTTGTCGGTCAAGGTGATTTCGCAAACACGCAGGTTGGTGCCGCCCATGTCGAGGGCCAAGAAGGTACCCTGTTCGTTGCCATCAGGGAATCCCATAACCCAGGTAACATTCATCGGCTAATTTTCTTTATTAGTAGAGCGAACTTGCAGGGCTTCGATTCGGCGTTCTGGCGATCTTACAATGTTTCCGCCCTCGACGCTCAGGCCTAATGTTTAATTATCGTAAGCCTGGATCGCATTCATACTTCGGAAAGTCGCGGAGTCCAAACATACCCTTCTCCAGCTCCTTGACGAAGTGAGCGACAATCTTCTTCAGCAACTGGCGGTCCACGGTGAAGACATCTTCAAAGTCTTTGATCTGCTGCAGAAGATTCTGCGGCAGATCATGCATGGACCCTGGACAGACGGAGTGATTAGCACAGGAAGAGTACACAAATCGAATTCATCGAGCTCACCCTTGCGAGAGGGAGGTTGTTTGGGGCCGATTCCAACCATGGTGTGTTTTGGGAGGTGTAGGTGTAGATGGGAGGGGCAGGAAACCAAGGGAGGAAATATGACGATAAGAACGTGGGGCAGCGATCAACCTGGTTTGGGTCCCGGTGGGAAAGTCCCCCAAGCTCGGGGCTTCGCTTTCCTTGCATTTTGCTGCGCCGTCCCACGAATCACCTCGCCCCATTTTCAGATGTCTTGTTTTACTACTTTCTCAGCTATGGCTTCTTTGTTTTGTTTTGTTTTGTTTTTTTTTTCCTTTGATTTTTGCTTGTCATGCTCATAAAAGCTACTGTTTAGGCTTTGGTTCTCGGAAGCGGGGATACACGGGGAGAATCTTCGGGAACTAAACGCAAGCTGGATTTGCGTCAATGATGTAAAAGCTAAACCTGGAGACTTCGGTAGCTTCATCTCAATTCATGATCTAGTGGGAACGGCGTCCAAAGTGTGGGAAAACATGGCCCAGTCCACTCTCGGGCGAGCTGGAGCTAGATTGTGAGGCTGACTGCCCCAACCGTGCGCGGACTCGGTCCTGGTACGCACCGGACAAGTCCAATGTACGATCAACGTCCTCCGTCAAACGTTCAATTTCTCGTTTCAGTTGTTCATCGCGGTCCTCCAGGGGCGCATTTTCCTCTCCCGGTCCTTGGGGTCTGGGTTCGTCTTTTCCCACAGCGCCTCCAACTCCTCCTCCCACCCCATAGCCTTAGCAAATTTCCGGACTCCAGCATCGCAGTCGCCCAGGAGGAGAACGTCGTCAGCGCGAGATCCCAATCCACCGACCTTCTCCATGTTGATGAGAACACGGGGGGGTTCCCTCTCGGCAGAGCATAGGCAGGCTAGCAAATGGGTGGACCGTCAGGCTGGTCCCCATCACGATACACAGCTCTGCGAGTTCCGGCTTGGAGCGTTCTTCAAAGAACTCGCGGGGCAGGGCTTCTCCAAAAAAGACAATATCGGGTTTGACGAGCCCATTGCAGTCGGGGCAGTGTGGGATCGAGGCCTGTGCAACATGCTCGCGCATTTGATCGTCAGGGAACGCTTTCTGGCAATCAATGCATCTCTGGGTCGCAAAGCTGCCATGGGCTTCCACGATCATGTCCCCCGGAACCCCGGCCTGTCGCTCGAGGCAGTCGATATTTTGGGTGAAGTGTTTCAAAAGCATACCCTTATCGTAGAGTAGCTTGATAAAAGAGTGAGCGATGGTAGGTCTGTACCGACCGGGATAAAGCTCCTTGGCTAAGGCGTAGAATGGCTTAGGGTTCTCGCGGAAGAAACTGATGTCGAAGACCTGCTCCGGCTCTTCCAGATCTAAGAATTCGAGGTTCGCGTAGAGACCTGTATCCGGAGATCGAAAATCAGGTATGCCTGCAGAGGTACTGATTCCTGCTCCCACCTAAATTCGAAATAGATTGAATGATGAGCCCCTATACTTCCTAGACTTCGTTCCTGTACATACCATGACTACTATCTTTTTCACCTCATGATCTTTGATGTACTTGGCCACCCCCTCCATAGTGCGCGATTCCAGCACCGATGGGGGAGTGGAATCATCCACCACAGTCGACTCTTCGTTGCCCATGGTGCGGCCACGAGGTCTTCTGGGGGTTGTATGACGACGCCTGTGGCGGCGACCGATGGCGACGGTAGTAAAGTCCTTTGCGACAGACTATCACGGCAAGCGTCCAAGCGCAAGATGATAGTAGAGATAAAGTAGTTGCGGAGTGGGGGAAAAGGCAGATGAGGAACACAAAGACTTTTGGATTGGCAACTCAAAGATCAAACACAGGCAGTCGGTGTTTTTCCAGATTCCAGGGCAGCTTCTCACAGGACAGGCAGCAAGGCATTTACCTGTTCAGCTTCAAAAGCTTTTTTACTCTCTGATGGCGATAAGAGACTCAAAGTCCGCACTCACCGCCTGCGGGTTTTCGTATCGTTGTCAACAACGTGGAGTTCACAAGCTCCCACTTTGAGCCCCAAACCATGGCCGTCTCTCACCTGACCAACGGTCGTGGCTCCCCGTCAAATCCCGCGAATACCAATGAGTCCCCTGCTCAACCCGATGTATTCAATGCGAGTTCCGTCGCCGAGATAAAGGCCGCTTTGTCCCACCTCCACACCCAAGAAGCCTCCGTGACCGCCCGCCTCGATGCTCTGGTGACCTCACAAAAGGATTTCTCGCGCGAATTGGGTCGCCTGGATCTCCTGCGCGCCCATATCGGCACACAAACGGCCACTACGCGAACAATCAGCCATGGCATGCTCTCTGAAGCCGCAGGCACCGCCGACCGAATTTCCCGCGCCGTCCGCCGGCTCGACCTCGAACAGGCGCGAGTCAAGGCTACATTGGAGGTAGTCGAGCAGGTTGCAGAGCTCAAGGCTTGTGCGTTGGGAGTGGCGGGATCTATGGGCGCCTCGCAAGATTGGGAAACGGCGGCCAGCTATCTGCACCGGGCGTCGCAGGTCCCGTCTGCGGTGATCAATGGCGCGTTTGCAGCGGAGATGGTCCCTACAGCAGAAGTGCCCGACCCACCGAGCGTGACTCTGGAAAATGCAGCTGAATCGCTGTGTGGATTATTCTTGCGCGAGTTTGACAAGGCGGTTCAGGAGAACGACGGGGCTAAAATTACTCGGTTCTTCAAGCTATTCCCGCTGATTGGTCGATCTGAGGTTGGGTTGGACGTGTACGGGCGCTATGTCTGCCAAGGGGTGGCTGCACGAGCACGTGGTAACCTGAATAGTACCGGCGCCAACAAAGACGGCTTCTTCTACGCCAATGCATTGACGAAGCTGTTCGAGCATATTGCCGGGATCATTGACAGCCATAGCGGGCTAGTTGAGCGCCACTATGGCCCTGGGAAAATGACTCGTGTGATTGAACGTCTACAGATTGAAGCCGATGTTCAGGGTGGCATTGTTCTGGATACCTGGAGCGATGAGCGGCATGTGGATCGCAAGCTGATGGATGTCAAATCCTATGCATTTACATTTCTTGTGCAAAGCTTCTTGCCTACTCAACGGGGCCAGGCTCGCGTTCAATCACCAACAGTACCAGCGACTGATGAGGAAGGAGTTGACATGAGAGAGATCGACGAAATATTAAACGAGATGGCAATCATGCTGGGCCGGTGGTCTCTGTACTGCCGGTTCTTGACTACTGCCTGCAACGTAAGACTTTTTTTCCCCCTCAAAGAATAACATGACCCAAACGAACAATCAGCCCTGACTTCGCCCGCAGCCTCCTACGGAAGAATCGAGGGGTGACGAAGAACAACAGTTCGCACCGCCTTCCTTCCTACAGGAGTCCACATTGGCCCGCAAAATCAATGACCGACTGGTGAACCCATTCAACGTGATGACAACCTTTTTCTTCCGTCGATCCGTGGAGAAGGCATTCCAGCTAGATGAATCCCCTACAGGATTGAGCTTACACCAGCAAATCAGGGCAGACCCTCCCTACATAACGTCGGCCGTCGATACGATCATGTATATCGTGGACAAAGTATTGCAGCAGTCCCTGGCGACCTCTCAGGAAACCGTGGTAACCAGTGTGGTCCCAACCCTTTCACGAGTCCTTGGCTCCGACTTCATCGGCATGACGCAGCGTAAAATGCGCGACGAATACTATCCCCGAGCGCCTACCCCAGGCACTCAGCCTCCAGAGCAGACCATCATCTCATTCCTAGTGCAAATCAACAATCTTGATGTCGGAGTCGACTACATCCGCCGCATCGTCCAAAACAACACCGGCTCCAAACAGCCCCCCTCCAGCGAAGGGCAAGAGCCCGAAGTCACTGAGCAACTACTCTCGCGATTCCCAGATCCGGCCTCCGCTCTGCGCGTTGCCAAGACCCTCCAATCCCTCAGCACCTCCTTCGAGGCGAAAGTCAACGAACTCCTCACGGACGGGATCCAAGTCGTCTTCAACAACCTGATCAAGCATCGCCTACGACCTATCCTCGCCGACGCCTTTCGCGACATCGAGTACCAGCCCGGCGATGAAACGGACGCCCCCCGACAGCCACGACGACTACCACGATCCAGGCAGCAAGGAGCTTGTCCGGCCGCGCTTCGCAGAAGGCTGGGCCGAGCTCCTCGGCCCAATGGCCCGGATCATGACGCAGCAAGCATTTGACCGACTGTTGACCGTCACCATTGCCTACTTTGCTCGACTCCTTGAGAAAAGACTCTGGTCTTACCAGGGTCGTGTGAACCCGTTAGGCGCGGCGAGACTGGAGCGCGACATCGCGGGTCTGGTGAGTGCTGCAGTGGATGTTGGTGGGGCGGGTGTCCCCGGTCGCTACCGTCATCGTGAGGCATTCGCGCGCTGCGTGCAGATGACGCTGGTAATGAGCATGGATGAGGATGAGTGGGATGAAGTGCTGAGTGGTGGGGAGGCGGCGGAGGTGGTGGAGAAGCTGGGCCGCGAGGAGAGGGTGCGTGTCCGGGGCATGGTGAGACGTGGGTAAAAGCTACGTCTGATACATGGACGGGCTATATAGGCACTTGGACGGATTGCTTCCGGTGCGGGATATTTGAAATGGCATAGCATGAGTAGCGCAGCTTTGTTTATAATTTGTCTATTTAACTTGGTTTCATTTTGCTACGATTTATCTGCATGATTTTGTAAAATCGGGAACGTGGACGGGTTCAAAATCAAAAAGTCTCTATATTGTATAGCAGATATCTTCAAGTCTGCAATAGCAGAACTTCGTCGCGTGCTTGGATCAGAACATGGAATATGCAAGTACATTTTCAGCTCCCAAGACATAATAATGACATCCGCTCGTCCCAAGGGGGAAACGCCAGAGAGAAAAACAAAAGAGGCAGATTCATCTTCTCCAATATACGTGCAAAAAGGGGCAGGAGGTGGACGGAGGTGTGAGAAGCAGGAAAAGGGTTTGATATTCGGAATCTCGAAGGGCGCGGCAGATGGGATATATAAAAGATGTCGGAGGAAATCAAGGATGAGAGGATAGGAGGAAAAAGGGTGATATAGCCAAAGCGCCAGGCTTTGCACATGCCAAAAAAGAAACACGCTAAGGGGGGGGAATATGGACAAAATTTTTAAGACAAGAAACGAAAAGAATACTAGAAGAAGAAATGTCCGGTCTATGCGCCCTCCGTCTTCTCGTTGCCGGGGAGGATGGAGGAAGGCACTTCGACTGCCTCGCCGGTGTCAGGGGGGGTTCCGCTCAGCAGCTTGACGAGGCGCAGGAGTGACCTTCATTTCATGGATGGCCATGTCCCCATCGCTGCCACCGTGGCTGCTCTGACTGACACCGTTGGGAGCTCGGCCGTCGAGCATCATCCTCGCTGTGCTCGCCGATGCCGTAGCGCTGATCGTCAGGGATATGGTGGCCGTCCTCCAGCTGGACTTGCTTCTGGGGGGTCCAGGCGAGGTAGTCACGGCGGACTTCGACATAATCGTAGGCGAATTCACCGAGCTGGTCGTCGTCCATACCGAGGAGCTCTGCTTCCTCGGAAGCGCGCAGCTTCAGGCCGGGGATGGCGTTGATGGCGAAGGCGATAATGGCGGACACAACGAACGCGTAGGCTGCAGCGGCGACAATGTAGGCAACCTGGATGTAAAGCTGCTTGTAGTTGTGAATGACCCATCCACCAACACCGCTGCCCGTGTTCACGCCGTCCAAGCCTACAATCGAGTCGTCGCCGAAGAGAGCGTTGAAGATGAGACCGACGATGCCCGCGATACCGTGCTCCGCCAACACATCCATCGAGTCGTCAATGCGGATCCAGTACTTGATCTTGGTCGAGTAGTTGCAAACAATACCAGTCACGACTCCGAGAATCACACTCGCCCAGGGCGTGATGAAACCGGAAGCTGGGGTAGCGGCCACAAGACCGGAAATAGTACCGGAACACCAACCGACCATAGACCACTTGCGCGCAAGGCGCCAATCGAGCAGAACCCAGGTAATCGCTGCAAAAGCAGCAGTCAGGTTGGTGTTCCAGCAGGCCATTGTCGCGCGCAGGTTAGCACCGAACGAGGAACCGCCGTTGAATCCAAGCCATCCGAACCACAGGAAGCACGTGCCGAGAAGAATCAGCGAGACATTGTGAGGGCGGAAGTTGAGCATCATGCGCTCCTGTCGGCGACCAAGGACCATCGAATAAGCCAGCGCCGTGAATCCAGATCCGATCTCCACGGGGCCTCCTCCCGCGTAATCCATCACACCGTATTTGAAAGCCCATCCGTTAACATTCCAGGCCCAGCAGGCCAGCGGGCAGTAAACAATTGTCGCCCAGATAAAAGTGAACACCATGGCGGGGAGAAGCCGACCGCGTTCGGCGACAGCTCCCATGACGATCGCTGCTGTGACACCACAAAATTGCATCTGCTCATGTTAGAGATTGTCCATGGTCGCCTTCTTTGCAATTGAAGGCGGGGGGAGAAAAGACTGACTTGATAAAACGCATAAAGTATGTCTGGAATTAATGGGGAGCCGGGGCTGGGAGCCGCCAAAGTCTTCATCAGGCCAAAGTTGCGCAGATTCCCGATATAGCCGTTGGTCGCCGTGGGGGAGAAGGCGAGCGAGTAACCCCAGAAGTACCATTGGAAGGTAATGACCGAGAAAGAAGCCATACAGGCCCAGATCATGCTCAGCGCGGACTTTCGTCGGGCCAGACCAGAGTACAGGAAACCCAGACCGGGAACCATGATCAGCACCATTGCGGAGGCCACAATAATGTAGGCCTGGTCCCCCCGATTGAAACCATTTGTTCAAGTTTTCGGTGCCTGTGGCAATTAAGAGTATTAGAGCGCGCAATTTCTCAGCGAGGATACCACAACAGTCGTCACGTACGGGAGTTACCGCCCAGGTCGGGGTTTGTCGAGAGGTCGTAGTCGGAGGGAGCTCCTAGCCAGTTGTACGAAGCATAGTCCGGCGCGTAGGCGCTTTTGCCGTTGAAGTCCGACATAGTCAGAGGTCGGGTGAGCTCGAAGAGCTCGTCTGTGGGGTGAAAAGAGAAATTGGATACTCCAAGGTCGGTCGTTGGAAGGGATATGGCGAGAAATAAGGTCGGCAAAAGTTGAGGCACGCGATGATTCTGGGGGGAAAGGAAATGGTCGCCACGGGGGAGCAGAGCAGAAATATAAAAAGAAATGGAAACCTTGGGAACAGCTGCGGAGTGGGCAATACACTCGGATCGACACCGGCCCACCAAGGCCTAAAATCGGACCAGCGAGAGCCCAGATAACAAGGGGCACCGAGAAAAAAAAAAAAGCAACGAGGCCCCTGGTCAGTGATGGTCTCAGCTCGGGCAAGGCAGTCCTAGTCTCCAATCTAATTAAAAAAAAAAAAAGAACCTTTAGGCGCGGCTACCGAGGAATTCCAAAGGTTAACAAGCCGCAAACAAGATTATGACAACAGCAATGGGATAATCCCCTCCCACAGCTGATAAAACCCCGGGCTTGGCTGTACACCGAACGGGACGCTGTTGATTGGACTAGAATGGGACTTGGAAGTCTGGACCTGGGAGATATTCTGGGATCTTCTTGATATTCTTTGATATTGTATTTATGGCACTCTCTAACGATCATCAGCAATACAACCCATACATCATCATGAACTCCAACCTGAAGGGGGACCGGCTCCGAAAGCCGCAGTGGCGAAACTTGAAAGACGTCCGAAAGGCGTCGGTACGTGGATCTTGCAATGGAGTCTTGGCTCGCAGGTTCCTTTTGCTGAAACACGAGGTGTCTCCGATTCGGTAGCGGAGACCATCTCTCCGGGGAAGAAGAGCCCTGACACATCGTACCTGCGGCTCTCCACGCCCTTTATATAGTCCCAGCAGAGCTTCCAGAACATGCACTTAATTATCCATGTCCACCGCCACGGTACCTACACAAAGATAGCTTATCGGTCTGCGGGCGTGTTTCTGGGGTCCCCTGGAGCTCCAATTCTGAGCCGGACAGCATAACCGAAGGGGCTTATCATGGACCCGACATGATTGAGGATTGCAAGAAGTCAACTTCGCTATCAGCGGCGGGTAATTGGACAGGCTGAGCACGCTTCTCGTGTCTGTGATTGGCTGCAGATAAACCATTTTGGCCACCGGCCGCCAGTGGAGCCAAAGTGGGCCCAAATCGGGTCCCGCTGCAGGTTAAGCCTCTGCCGCTTTCGGTCTAGCGGGCTCTAGTAAGCAACACCAACTAGCGATGCTGATTGGCTCCAGATAAGCTGCTTTTGCCGCTGCCGGGTTCTCCCGGTTCGGGCAGCTTTTTCACTCCCATTGCGAAGCCAATGCCTTCGACTACAATTTCCGTTGAACAGAAAGGCTATACATTGCGTACATCTTGAGTCGACTGTACCAGGGAAAAAAAAAAACCTCTCTCACTAAATATCATTACTCCTAGTAGACGTCAATTCCTAGTCGTCTTGCCTGCCACCGATCCGAACTCTAATATCTGCAGTAGTAGTCATCGACTTGCCCGTCGCATGGGCTCCGCTTTCTCCCAATTTTGACACGGCCGATAGTTCTCTGCAGGATCTCTAGCTCTTCCATGGAACTCCACTAAGACTTCATAGTTTGAGAGACTCGGATCTGCCGTCTCAAGTGCCAGAATATCGTAATCACGTGCAGAAGTGCAGAAGACCCATTCCTCGGAAGCTCCACTGCATAGAACGCGTGTCTACATACTTTGTAGAGTTGTGGGGTATGTGCGACTGTGAGACAACTGCCATAGAATGTAGGTACTCAGCTTTATCTGAAACAGCCCCTGGCAGCCTCGATCTCCTCGGGCCTTAAAGTCGGAAACTCTGCGTGTCACGGCGCTATGGTCTCGCTATCTAGTCAGCCCACAGCATTTCCGGCGCGCACAGTCGCACTGAAGTTTCGAAATCTGTGCTCTGCTAAGTTGGGCGAATGTTTCTTCTTGAGGCTGATTCATATTTCCTAGCACTAGCAGCTCAATACCTCTGGCATTCCGCCAATTGATCGCATGTTTCCCTATCCGAGATCTTATTCGTCCCTCTCCCATCGGTGGGGCCGTCGGTATCATATCACAGGGTCCAAGTGATTAACCTCGACAAGCTCCTGCAAGACCAACGTCACCGGACACAAAACAATTTGTAATATGTTGAATCTTATCCCACATGATTGCGCGTAGGGGTTTTAGGGATTTTCCGGGGTTCAATCTGGGAAAAGACCAAGCTGCACACCGAACTCCGGTGAAGGAGTGATTGGTTTCTCGGAGACTCTTTTTTCCCTCTCCACGAAGCAACCCCCACTTTTTGAAGGTGGCGTGGGATCTTCGCTGATATCCAGTTCGATCCAACCAAAATAGGCCCCCCCTCTACACCGTAGATTATCTCACCATGCCCGACAAAGACGCCGGTACCCCTCGGGTCTTCCTCTACCGACACGGTACGCCCCAGCTATGGACCTTGCATGTGTCCCATCCTAACCTGTTTAGGCCAGACGGAATGGTCGCAGAATGGCCGTTATACCGGCAAGACTGAGCTAGAACTTACCAAGAATGGAGAAAACCAAGTCTCTGCCTCCGGCAAGATCATTGTCGGTTCGGGCAAGCTGATTGACCCCGCCAATCTGGCCCACGTCTACACGAGCCCTCGTCGGCGGGCCGTCCAGACGTTTGAGATCGCCTTCTCGGAGGCCGATCGACAGGCCTTGCACGATGCCAAGAAAGTCTCGCTCACGGAGCGACTTGCCGAGTGGGACTATGGCCAGTATGAAGGCCTCGTCACCAAGGAGATCCGCGCCTTGCGTAAAGACCATGGTCTGGACGCCGAGAGGCCTTGGGACATCTGGCGGGACGGATGCGAAGGTGGAGAGTAAGTCGGGGCATGGACACATTGGTTGGAGCACAGTTAACCGCGATCACATTCAGGTCGTCCCAACAGGTTAGTGACCGTATTGACGATCTTATTCAGGAGATCCGCGCCATCCACAAGGGCAACATGCGCGGAGAGAACCCCTGCGACATCGTCCTGGTGGCCCATGGCCATTTGCTTCGTGCCTTCACCAAGCGCTGGCTGGGGTATCCACTCGAATTTCCTCTGTCTTTGATGCTCGAGCCGGGTGCTGTTGGTGTTCTGAGGTAAGAGTGCTCTTGCTCCGTATCTCATGTGCAGGATTTAACTGGTATACAGCTATCAACATCATAACATTGATGAACCTGCCATGTTGGTTGGATACGGGTTCCCGGTTCAAGAGTGAGCCTTTGTCTTCTATAAGCATAAGTATATAGATTAGCTAGAGCATCAAGAACAATAGATTGCGTTGCTTTTCTGGTATTTCTAACACGAGGCTTACTTGGTTACGAGTCGCACTTCGGTCGATCTGTTCATTTGCTTTGATATTGGAATTAGGATAATTCGAGTGGTGTTCAGTAAGCCTGCTTTGTCCCGAGCTCCAGAAGCGACTCGCAATATATATCTTGCCTTCGACCCCTGACCCGTGATATATAATCTCAATATGACCAATACAACTCAAATTAGAAGAGAAGAAGTCTAGAGCCTACCAGGGCTTACAATGTTGGATTCAGCAGCTATGGTATCAAAATTCTACCAAAGCTGGAGCCCAAACGACTAGTTTTTCAACCCACATCCTACTCATCAGACGTACCACCGCGGGTCCCACTTTTCACATAAATTCTGCCCCACTTTGAATGGAACAGGCCAACCAAGGCCCACAGAAGCCTCGCAGAGTTTGACGCGAGATCAGATACCCCTCTTTCTCCAGTTTTCCCAAGCAAGGCCGGCTGGCCCAATGGCAAGGCGCTTGACTACGAATCAAGAGATTGCAGGTTCGACCCCTGCGTCGGTCAAATATTTTTTTTGATTTTTTTTCCAAAATCCCCTTGAGTTAAATCCTTTTTTCTTTTGGCTCAAGTCTCGGGAATCGAATAGGTAGGAAGGAACTGGGCGTGGCCGGATGGTTGCCATGTGTGTGAACAGAAGAGAAGCCCGGCTGGAAACCTCAGGAGCCAACAGGGAAAGCAAGATCGAGAGGAGACATAGTTTATTTCTATGTTGCGATACGGAGCTTGATCGCTTTGCATCTAGCCCTCGGCGGACTAGCGAGCAACTACAGGAAGAGGTGACAAAAGGTACATAGCGAAAAGACATAGGCAAGTGTACACAAGCAATAGATATGGAAAAGCCCAGGGGGTGTCTCCGAGGGACTACTAAGAGGATCGGAAGCTAGAGAAGGCTCAAGCCCAAGACCAATGCCCGTCTTTGACCCTCGACAAACGTCGTAAACAACAGATTTGCGAGGCTATAGACCGAGCGAAGATATACTGTGTAGTCGTAAACGGAATCCATTCATCGGGCAAATAACCAAAGCCCATCTAGGCGAATCTATTATGTATAAAAGGGGATATCGCCCCAACCAGGTAGGTTACAAACATTCACACAGAGAAATCATCTAAAAGAAAACAATGCTCGCACCCACCCAGATCAAATGCATGTTAGACATTGGCACTATACCCGGAGCCGAGGCCACGCCGGCGCTGAAGTGCATGATAGTATTTGCGGCCTTCATCAACCCAGAAGACGGTGCTGGCAAGGCAGACAAGCTTAAACAGGGAGCCAAAGCTGAGAGGCTCGGTCTGGAAGATGCGCTGGAAGAGCGGAAGGTAGATGACACAGGCCTGGCCAGCTAATGACCCCAAGACAGCGTAGTTGAACATCTTGTTTCCGAAAAGTGAGATTTCGCCGCGCAGGACTGACTTGCCCTCGCTGCGGCAGGTCAATGCGTTGAACATGTCGAAAAGGACAAAGCATGTGAAGGTCATCGTGGTATCGTGAGCGGTGACTACGCCGGATCGTTTGCCCAGCGGCTGGCCATCGGTTGCGTCGCCCATCTCATGGATGTAAATGGCAAGTGTGCCAAGCATGACGACCATGGCGGAAGTGAGAACGCGTTGGATGAGAGGCCTGGTCAACACTCGTGCGTGCTTGGGCCGTGGCGGCCGGGTCATGACCATCGGGTCGACAGGTTCGACGCCAAGGGACTGAGCCGGTGGGCCATCCATGAGTATGTCTGGAGAACAGGTTAGCAAAAGCATGCAGAAAGGAGGGGGTGGAATCATGAAGAGCCGCGAAACGTACTTATCCACAGAATCTGCATAGCATTCAGCGGGTTCTTGAAGCCGAGAGTCGTGCTGAGAAGCACAAGACTAAGAGCAGCCACACTGGTACTGAGCTGGAACGTGATGAAGTTCTGAATATTGTAGAAAATCCCCTTGCCCTGCTCAATGGCTCGCAGGATAGTCGAAAAGTCATCATCTGTTAGAATCATGTCGGCTGCCTCCTTGGCAACATCAGTTCCCAGCTTGCCCATGGAAATGCCAATGTCGGCCTTCTTAAGAGCTGGCGCATCGTTGACACCATCGCCAGTCATGGCAACCACATCCCCGCGAGACTGCAGAGCACGCACGATCTTCATCTTGTGATCTGGGCTGGTACGGGCGAAGACGGAAGTGGTTGCGATTGCTTGGGCAAGTTCAGTGGTGCTCATACGATCGAGATCATGACCACTTAGAACCGAGCGGGCTCCAGCGGACTCGGTGACCGGTATGCCAAGCTTCTTTGCAATGGCCACGGCGGTCGTCTCAGCGTCGCCTGTAATCATGATGACCCGAACACCACCAGACATCAGTCGTCGGATAGACCTGTGCACGTCCTTGCGAGGCGGGTCAGTCATGCCGACAAGTCCCGCAAACACCAGTCCGTTATACCGGTCGTCGTCATCGGCAGGGCTGCCCTTGGAGTTCGGGGTTGGAGATCGGCTGCCAAAGCCACGCACGCCTCTTGACTTGTCTCGCACAGCACCGCTGGCAAACGCAAGGACGCGAAGACCCTCAGCTGCCATGTTCTCAGCTGCTTCTCGAATTATCTTGCGCCGAGGCTCGTCCAGTATAACCTCCCGGCCATCCTTGGTTAGATACGTATCTGAACGGGCCAAAACTTGCTCCAGAGCACCTTTGATATATGCCACACTAGAGTCACCAGAGCTGCTTCCAATGATGACACCCATCCACTTTCGCTCGGAGCTAAATGGAGTTTCCGAAACACGAGCGCTGATTCTGTCACGAACATCGTCTTCTCCTAGAGTATCTAGAAGATCCAAAATAGCCACATCCGTAGGCTGACCGACCCAGCGACTTTTCACTGCTGTCGAGTCTTGGTCAACAGTTGAGGATAGAATTGCCGCAGAGGATGCGCTTGCCGGGGAGTTTGCGTGCATGCGAGAGAGACGGGCGTTATTTGCGATATTACCCACTCGAAGAATAGTGCGAGCTGCTGGCCCAGGCGATAGGACCGAAGCCATGTCCCGCTGAACATCAAAAGGTCCAGCCGAATCGAAATGCCACAACTTGGTCACGGTCATATGGTTCAGGGTGAGCGTTCCCGTCTTGTCACTACAAACGACATTGACCGAGCCCAAGGTTTCAACGCTGGGGAGTCGACGCATGATAGCGCCTCTCTTAGCCATGCGAAGAACCCCAAGAGCCAATGTGACGGTGACAATGATTGGGAGACCCTCAGGGATAGCAGCCACGGCAAGTGAGACACCAATAGTGAACATCTCGAGGAGCTTCCTTCCCTGCAAAAGACCAATGACTACGATCAATGCAATAACACCGAATGATATATAACTGAGCTCTTGACCCAGGCGATCCATAGAGAGTTGCAAGGGTGTACGGGGGCTCTCGATCTCTTGCAAAGACGCTGAAATGCTTCCAAACTCTGTCTTCGCTCCTGTGGAGATGACGATTCCCTGCCCATACCCCGAGCGGACCAGTGTACCCATAAACGCGATGTTATGCTGTTCGTTCAGACGGATGTCGGCTCCAACAGCACCGGAGGCCGGGGCATCGTAAAATGGGGATCGAGGGGGCGTGGTGCCTTGAGGAGCCTGAGCCGGTGCTCCGAGAGTACTGCGAAGTGCCGCTGAGAATTTCACGACCGGCTCGTTCTCGCCGGTCAGGTTAGACTCGTCAATTGAGAGGTCGGTCGCTGCAGTGATTCGAATATCCGCGGGAATTCGATCACCAGTGGAGAACAAAACTAAATCTCCGGGCACCAATTCATTTGCCGGAACCGTCGTGGAAGCCTTCAGGGCAGCTGACGCGGTACCCGGGCTTTTGCTCCGAAGCTCTCCCAGCTCAATGCCCGACCTAGCAGTCCCTGGCGAGGCATTTTCGTTGTTTCCGTAGGCGGATGGCAGATCGCGGATTAGGTGGGCGTAATGCGGTACGAGGCGACTCAAGGCCTCCAGAGATTTTTCCGAGCGGTACTCCTGTACAAAACCAACAGTGACGACAATTGTGACGGCTAAAGTAATACTGATAGCATCGTCATAATTGCCCATGATAAATGATATGCCAGCGGACGCTAATAAAAGGAGGATGAGCGACTCCTGAAATTGCTTCAGGAATCGGAGCCATAGGGGCTCGGGGTCCTCATGCGGTAGTTCGTTCGGTCCGTCACGAGCAAGCCTTATCTCAGCCTCTGCAGGAGTCAGTCCATGGCTAAGAGAGGTTTGTAAGCGCTCCGCAGTTTCGTACGGTTCGAGCCATGAGTACGTGGAGGTTGAGGTCTGTTGGAATGAAACAGCGGTTAGCCCCTTAGCAGACTTCAAGCGCTTGGATTGGTGCGATCCCAAGGAAACGATAGGGGCGGAGCTTACCGATGAGGGCACATCTAGTCGCGTGCCTAGGGGGGTTTGTGGGAGAGGGTCGCGAGTCGGGTTTTTGTGCATTATGCAGCGGTAACGCAGGCGTCGCGGACCTTGACATTTCTCATGCCTTGGCCGGATATCGGATTTGGCAGAAAGAAACAACGCGTCAAGCCTAGCGGAGGCCAGTGTTCATCCCGCCTCAATTGGATGTGGAGGGAGAGGGGTGCTGGAGAAGCGATCTGGCAGCAAAGCTTCGGAGATGGTGACTTGTTCCAGACTGGGGATGGAACTAAGTGGGAACTGGGAACTCTGGGAACGGGCCGTGTACTGGAATCACGGACAACTTCACAGCACCCCCTATCGATGCAGAGAAGATATATAGACTGAAAACACCAGATGTCAATCCTGCGTCGATACCGAGCCTACCACGTGCATAACTATCAATCTCCAAGAGTCCAACTTGTATGGAAACGGTCTTCATTCTCGAATCCCATGATTATGCTTTCCCTAATGGGGACCTGGAGTCAACCGGAAGTTAGATAATCCGACAGGATGTCTTAGGATTAGCGGGCAGACGCGAACGCCCAATCAGAGTGCAGACAAGCCACGCGCATTCCCAGCCTCTCGCATTTTGGATTTTCTAGGCTGCTGTGGCAGGGCCCGGGGCCCGTTTCATCTTGCCAGACCCCATTACATCAGCAAGCATTCCCAGCGGCCCAAAGTGGCTGGGTTCACCTGACTCGCCCAAATTCCCACGCGCATCCCTCGTTCTTTCTGGTTTCTCTGCCAACTTGACTAAATCGCTCCCGCCTCACCCTGGTCGCACCTGCCATCACCACCTACAAGGCACTCCTTTGCGAACTTGGGCACATTTGGTCCTAGTCAAATTTACACGCGAAAAGAGGCAGAAAGGCTACTCATTCCCGACTCGTTTGTTTTCCCGGCTTCGACTGCGCGCGCGTCACTCCCCTGTCACGCTCCACCCCGCGCCGGGCGGGCTCATCCCTTTCCAACTTCAGAAGACTTCTATTCTTATTGTATAGTGTCATTTGCTGAACATTACGCGCCATGTTCTATTCGGAAACCCTCCTTTCCAAGACCGGTCCGCTGGCCCGTGTCTGGCTGTCGGCCAACATCGAACGCAAACTGACCAAGTCGCATATCCTGCAGTCTGACATTGAGGGCAGTGTCAATGCCATTGTCGACCAAGGGCAAGCGCCCATGGCTCTGCGGCTGAGCGGCCAGCTCTTGCTCGGTGTTGTGCGAATTTACAGCCGCAAAGCGCGTTACCTTTTGGATGATTGTAATGAAGCATTGATGAAGATCAAAATGGTATGACCCGATTGAGACTATATTCCAAGATCAGACGAAACCAACTCTAACGCTTTCCTCTCCCAGGCTTTCCGCCTAACAAACAACAATGATCTGACTACCACTGTTGTTGCCCCGGGTGGCATTACTCTTCCCGATGTGCTGACTGAATCTGATCTGTTCACCAACCTGGATGCTTCTCTTCTCTTTCCTCAGAATCTGAATCTTGAGTCTACAGGCAAGCAGGCTGGCGCTCTGGACTTTGGAAGCCAACTTCTCCCGGATAGCAGCTTCCGACGATCAGTATCTCAGGAGCCCGCGCGCCTCGAGGACCCTTCCCTCGTTGATCTGGACCTGGGTGAAGATGAAATGCCTCTTGGACTGGACACCACCATGGAAGTTGGTCGAGATGCACCCCCACCTCGCCCTATGGAAGACGACTTGTACAGCGATGCCGGAAAACTCAATGATAATGATGACTTGGGTCTCGACTTGGGCGAGGACGATGTTCCCCTGGACAAGATGGATTTGGATGATAATGTCAATGATTTGCTTCCCGATGCGCCAATTGACTTTGGTGGAGACGATGATTTTGGTGGACTGACCCCCCGAGCAAACGATACACACCGGTTCAACCGCGATACCGAAAGTCCTCTTTCAGACGCTGGATCTGTACAGATGAATCAATTGGAGGAAGAATACAACCGTGAGGCATCTGCTGAGCCTGAAGCTGCTGCCCAACAAAGCCGTACCAAGCGCCAGCGACTTATTGAGATGGATGAGCATGATCATCTCTCTCAAGGTCAAATTCGGGAGCAGCAGGAGGACCGCTCCGCCATCCTCAAGCCTACTTCTTTCCTTCCCCGCGACCCAGTTTACCTCACTCTCATGACTCGCCAGCAAAATGGAAACTTTGTCTCCAGCATTTTTGGCGAGGAGCGTAGCCGCGGCCTAGCCCCCGAACTTCGTGGTTTGCTGTCTTTGGAATCCGTCAAGAAGGCCGGTGAGCTGAAGCGCAAGCGTGACAGTGGAATTTCTGACATGGATGTTGCCGCTGCCGACCTTCCTGCTCTGGACCTTGGGGACGACGATGCCGTTGCTCCACTTGACGAGGGCATTGGCCTTGATACCACGTTCAACCAGCGATCTGAGATTGACTTCCCCGGAGATGACGGCGAGCAAGATCTGCAGTTGAGTGACGATGGAGGCATTGCTGAGCCTCTGGAGGAGCTCGATGACACGATCCATCCTGTGGATACCGAGCCCGTCTCCATTGGCACCAAGCACGCCGTTCACATTCTGCGCGAACAGTTGGGCGATTCAGAACAAAAGAAGAGTGTCATCTTCCAGGACCTGCTTCCTGAGCAGCGCGCAACCAAGGCCGATGCTACCAAGATGTTCTTTGAGCTTCTTGTTCTGGCAACCAAGGACGCTGTCAAAGTTGAGCAACCCTCAAAGACTATTGGCGCTCCACTGAAGATCCGCGGCAAGAAGGCTCTTTGGGGCTCATGGGCAGAAGAGAATGCCGGAGGCGCCATGAGCCAATTGGCTCAAGCTCTGTAGAAGCTTGTGTGATATTCAAAAGTTGGAGATATGTCGGCGTATTTCACATCCATGTACAGTTGACTTTACCATGATCGGCGGATTTTAGGCTATCTGGTAACTGTCTGGGGATAGCATCGATTACATGACTGTCAGGCGTTCTGGGGGTGGATTCGGAGAAACCGGGGTCTTTGGCGATTACTGCTGTGATGGGCTTTGCTTGGAGTTTCTTCCGCTATAGCGGTATTAGTGAGTCGTCTATTGTTGTAGTCTTAGCAACCTAGTTAATTGAACATACCCATATTGATATTCTTGACCTTGGTTTCTGTGCTGCTTGGAGAATAGGCCGGTCAATTGCTCTAGCGGTGTGCTCAGTATTAATCCGAGCTATTGTATTCATTGATTGCGTATCTTGTGTATCGGCCAACGGTTTCACAAGAGTTTCCTAGAGACTTCTGGGAAGCGAATCGCAAGCATATCAACCGCCCCTTTCTCGACTGCATCTAGGGAGTTCGAGCCAATTTTGCCGGCCCATCTCGCGTTGAAATGCTTCATCTGATTCGTCCGTTACGCCAAGGTACATTATCCAGCGCATCTTATGTTTGGGTAAACCACTTGGTTTCATCAGGAAACATTTGGCACTCCGGACTTTCTGGCTCCTTGCAGGCCTCCGAAAGTTGATCCGGGAGGCCCGCGTGGCCCGCACGGCCCGTTCGGACGGTGTATTTTTACTCTCAGCAACATCTGAAGGGCTGTCCAAGTTTGATAGGTAAATTAAGGTCTATAAACTATTGAGTTACGGCTTTCAATGCAATCTGTAGGCATTTAGATACCTAGCAAGAGGGAAAGCCGAGATCAGTGCTGTCGCTCTCGGCATACCGGTTACTGTATGCCGACGAACAGTAGGATTATCGCTTCGCATCTCGGAATTGAAATAACCGGACGTTTCGGAGAGGTCGAATCTGAGATGATCTTGAGGCCAGGTAGTTCCCAGCTGATTTCTAATATCGGATTTCTCATGTCGAAGTAAGGGGGTTTGCTCTCAGGCTTGTTGATGAGAACAATCGGCGTTGGCGGCCGACGGTGGGCTCGGAAATACGCAAAAATCTTAGTTTTACCGAACGTCAGTCGCTTGACTCGGCGTTTGCTTTTATTTTGGATATTGATGATACACTGAAGCATAGTAGTATAATCTAAGCTAACGTACTGTGTTGGCCCTGAGAGTGTAGAAAGAAAAGCCCAATTCAATCTGTGCAGCCTCGTGGAATGTATGGCCTACAACGCTAACGCCGAAGCGGCTAATGACGACTGCGACAGCTAGTAATTAATCAGCTTGCCCGCTCCGACCTTGGGAGGTACGAAAACACGCTAAATGCTATTTGAACAATTCCATCGACTTATCTCTCCTTCCCATTTCCCCATATAATGCGGCTGTACCCGGCCTCCTGACTCCGTCGCTTCCGTTTCCTTCCACCCCCCTCAAGGCCAACATAAGGGCATATTATTGATCAATATTATCCCCACGGGCATTTGCTGCCCACTAGCGTGAGGAGTGCGGAGAGATCGCCGACCTCGGGTCGTCCCCGGGATAGCAACCACGCAGCAGCATGGAACCCGAAAAGCTTTCCATCTCTGAAAAAAGCTCGGGGGGACCCGGAGCACTCGAAGTCTGAGACGGAAGATACTGCTTTCGCGCCCATTGGCAACCCAAGGACCCGCGAGGAGCCGATATCAAAACAGCAGTCCAATGCCTCTCGATCGCTCGACCGTGCCTGGTCTTTGAGTGACGGGGTGAGTGTGAATAGACAGGATGTCGAGCAAGAACCTGGCCAAGACCAGGATCAGGCTGCGGACGAAAATGGATTCACCGTGAGCTGGGATGAAAATGACACCTTGAATCCGCGGAGTATGAGTCTTGGTCGTCGGTGGCTTATCACCGTTCTGGTTTCCCTGGGGTCAGCGTGCGTGTGAGTAAATGACCCCTTAGCTTGAAACCTGAAGTAGTCTTGACTACTAGTACGGGGTGAATATTAACCGAGGCAGGACGTGTACATCTTCAATGTACACTACAACATATGCCCAAATCATGGATGAATTCAACAGCTCCCAGGAAGTCGCCACTCTGGGCCTGTCGACGTTCATCTGGGGACTCGGTTAGTCGCCCATTGGACTCTCCAACGAATGTTGTTGCTAATTCTTGGATGTATCTCAGGCCTTGGCCCGCTCTTCCTTAGCCCTTTGTCCGAGGTACGTCGTGGATAGCAAACGTGGATCAAATGTCAGGATCCCTGGGAAAAAGGCTAACGCAGCCCGATCAAGTTCTATGGCCGGCGATGGGTCTATATTATCTCCCTCTTCCTTTTCTTGATCTGGCTCATCCCCTGTGCCGTGGCGCAAAACATGCAGACTATGCTTGTCTGCCGTTTCTTCAACGGTCTCTCTGGGAGCGCATTTTTAAGTGTTGCTGGTGGTACCGTAGGGGACATGTTCGATCGACAACAGCTTGCTGCGCCGATGATGCTTTACACAGCGAGTCCATTCGTTGGGCCAGAGATTGGTCCTCTGTGAGTTCTAGACGCCTGCAATATATTTCATCAGCTCATGTTGGATACAGGGTGGGCGGGTTCATCAACCAATACACTTCCTGGTAGGTATATCTCTTGGTTCGTCGGGGAATACCGTTTCACTAACCATCACAGGCGCTGGACTTTTTGGGTCTTGATGATTTGGACCGGTGTGATCCTCATTTCGGTCATCTTCTTCGTCCCCGAAACTTACCATCCGGTGTGCGTATCCACTCTTCGATTTTCTGATATCTGTCACAGAAGTTGACGTCAAGAAATAGTCTCCTCAGGCGTAAAGCACAGAAACTCCGGAAAGAAACCGGCGACGATCGGTGGATTGCTCCCATTGAAAAGATGAACAGATCCGTGGCGCAGACAGTGCTTCGCTCTATGTACCGACCAATTCTTCTCCTGGTTTTGGAACCAATGTGTCTGAATCTCTGTCTATTCTCAGCCATTCTGTTGGGTATTATTTACCTGTTCTTCGGAGCCTTCCAGTTGGTATTCGAAAACGTGTACGGCTTCGAGTTGTGGCAACGCGGTCTCTGCTTCATGGGTATCTTTGTTGGTATGGTCTGTGGCATTCTGACTGATCCCTTCTGGCGTCGCAACTATAAGCGGTTGGAGCGAAACCATAGACGGAGGGCAGATGCGGACGATGAATTTCGCCCCGAATGGCGGCTGCCACCTGGTAAGCTCTGATTTTGCTCTGTACGGGGAAGTAGATGTTGACACCAGGTATAGCAATCGCAGGCGCCCCTCTCGTCACTATTGGAATGTTCATCTTTGCGTGGACAATCTATTCTGATGTTCACTGGATCGCCCCAATCATCGGCAGTGCAGTGTTCGGTGCAGGGTAAGCCCATCTTATCATGTTTCAGTTGCCTTTTAAAGGGAGCAGTTGAGCTTTGGAGCGTTTCCACTGTGCTGACAGATCGTGTTACTGTAGAACGATCCTCGTTTACTCGGGTATCTTCACATTTTTGGTGGACGCCTATCCCACCTTTGCAGCGAGTGCGTTGGCAGCGAACAGCTTCCTGCGATCCAGCTTTGGAGGGATCTTCCCTCTCTTTGGTATTCAAAGTGAGTTTTCTCTTCCTAATTACTCTGCGCGCTGCATAGAAGATGTGTAATTTTGGAACGTCCAAACATGCTGTCCTTGCTCTCAAGCAGTATCACTGAGCCTGGTCCATATTTACTAACGGTAATAGTGTACAACAAGCTTGGGTATCACTGGGCCTCATCGCTGCTTGGATTCTTGACCTTGGCCATGCTTCCCTTCCCGTAAGTTTCGACTCGTCCCTCACTCTCGAAGGAAATGTCCGCGCTTTGATCCGGGTATGGATCTCTGGGACTCTGCATCAGTCTCAGGGCAGACGTTCCAGGGGCAACTTTCCTATCCCCGCTATGGAACATGACAATACAACTTGGTCATTGTGCGGCATTTCTCAAACAACACATGCTCACCGTCATCCAGGTATATCTTTTTCCGCTTCGGTGCTCGTATTCGACAGAAGAGTCGCTTTGCGACTTCCCAGAAGTGATCCATTGGCCTTTGAAAAGTTAAAAAAAGCTGTTACCTAACAGCGATATTACCATGGCATGGCTTAGATACATAATATGCAGTACATAATTTCAATACAGCATCTCTTTTGCCCCTGACTCCATTGCAGAGGGACGACTGCAGGTGCGGTTCATTTGGTGCAATCCAACTTCGCTCCTCAACGCATGCTGCTTTGCGAGCTACTAGTTCTAGTGTGATCCTGTGAAACTAGGGATATACAGGGACCGCGCTCGGTCCCATGGCCCAAAGGTTCCCAACATTCCAGCTGTGGTGCGTATGGATGAGATTACAATGCAGATGCCAGAGGCAGAGAACAATGAATGACTCTACGCCGTACAGTGTCCGCTTTGCCCTCGATTTCGATGCAAGACAGGCCTAGGTTGCCAAGGCTTGCATCGTCCAATGGATTTTCTCCATGATAGCCGATTTTGCGATCAGATTTGACGACCACGTACCGCCGGCTCTTAAGCCCGTCTTGATTACAATTTTCCGACAGTCCCCTTCAGATCCGTTGCGAAGAATGTACCAGATCATGTGGTCTTCTGATTTGGATTGAAAGTTCATGAGCCGTATTTGCATCGCACCTCGTATCTAGGGAATGGATTAGAAGTGATCAAGCCGAGGCATCCGCACAGCTGTGAGCCTCGGGCGAAAACGGGACCGAGGGGAGGAAACCGGGTTAGAGCCTGTGCGGCGCGAATAACTAGGTGAGGCTTTTTTTTTTTTACCATTTAATTATTAATTATTCTTGCAGGAAATTCCGGAAGGACGTGCGGAGAGGTACAGTACAAGAAACCATATACTGTACTGTATCCAAGCCCGCAGATACTTTCATTTTGGACCACACGTGGGCAATTGCCCCAGTCGCGGGGGTAGGAGTACGATCTGCCGCACTTGAGCCAATCACTTCATAGTTCGATGCGTAATTTAAAAGCGAACAAGGCCTGTAATGCCTGTAACCAATATGGCTAGTCCGTTTTTTGCTTTTACCTAGCCCCTAAGGTACCACAAGCAACCTGTCGCCGATGGCCCAAACGTCAGCATGTGAGTCCCAGGCTTCCCGCAGACCTCAGAGCTTCCAGCTCGTATTGAGCGGGGAAGGGTTTTGGGTAAGTTTGGGTGCCTTTCCGCACGTTGGCGGCTAAAACGCCTCTGAGTCTCTAATTAGGTAAAGGAAATAGGGAAAAGCCTTGGGGAGGGCTTGGAAGCCTCAAAGAGCACCAGTATAGCCCGGAGCTGTCGTGAAGCGACAAGGGGATCTATGACCCATTTAGGAGGCACAGTACTCACAGTACTTTAGGTCTAGGGATTCCAGTAATCCCCGTAAATCCCAGTAAATCCCAGTAATTTCCAGGGCCTGAAATCTGGAACACGAATCGCCCTAAATGATTATAAAGATTAAAAATTACGTTCCCCCCCCCCCCCCAGACCACAGGTCAATCGGGCCGTAGTCCTGTCAATGCTGCGGCTTCACAAAGTCACGGGAACATCCCCAGTCCTTTCCTCTTTCCTTCCCAAAAGAAACCCAAGTCCTCAAGCGCTTGATTCCCCCACGCTGCTAAAAAGCTTCGACAAGCCGGGTTGCTTTTCCTCTCCGATTTCGCTTTCCCCGCAGCCGAAAGAGCCTTGCCCGCTTCAACTCTCCACTGCCGGATCCAGCTCAAACTCCCCCCCTCTGAACCGTTGCGGCATTTTTTTTGCCTGTTGCGTGGATCCCTCGACCTCCAACTCCTCTCACGAATTCCATTCAATGCGCCAACCTCCTCACATACCTGGTTTTCGACTCCATTGCGTTTCGTTACACCCGTTGACTCGGCTAGAGCATCCTCGGGCTCCCCGCAAGCGCGCGTGAAAGGCATCCGGGGGCCCCTCCAACCGATCCGTCCTTGGAGGAGGTAAAGTGTCCTCGTTAGTACCAGAGCGAACCGCGTGGTGGAAGAATTCAAGCGTTTGAGTCGGGTTCGTGCTGCGCGCAACTGCGCATCCGCGCTTCCGTTCCGCCGAGGTTAGGTGACGCGGATGATCTTCTTGCTTCTTGCTTCTTGACACTTGACACTTGAGACTACGAAGGTGCCAGCTACAATTCTCCCGGACGTCGTTCCGTAGAGCCTCCAGAGCGCGTGATTACGCGCGGGTGAGATCTGTATTCTATGCCGCGCAGCGAGATACATGACGCAATGAACGTCGACGTTCAGAACGGCTCGGCCCCAGCTGATCTGCGCAGCGATCGCGATTCTGCCGACACTACAGAGCACTCTGAGCCACTGGACTCGAGCAAAGACAAGATGAATGGCAACGCCAAGGCAGAAAATGGTCGCAAAGCTGCTAATGCCAAGGATCCTTCGCGACCGCGCAGGAAGAAGGCCCGCCGGGCCTGCTTTGCCTGCCAGCGAGCCCATTTGACGTGCGGTATGCATTGACGATCTATCTACATCTGGAAACCAGAAATCTCTTGGCTAACCTACCGCGTTTCCTTTTTCTGCCGTATAGGCGACGAGCGACCATGCCAGCGCTGTATCAAGCGAGGGTTACAGGATGCGTGCCATGACGGTGTCCGGAAAAAAGCAAAATACCTCCACGATGCACCGGACGGAGCACTGATGCCCGGTGTCGGCAATAACAGCAGTTTCTACAATGACAATCTCCGCAACAGCCTGTCTATACCTGGCCACGGCGGTGGCACAAATAAACAGACTCCCCAATCGAACAGTAACAGCTACTACCCCACACCGCAGGCACAGGCGCAGCCGCAGGCAGGGTCCTACAATTTGTACCAGGATACGTTGAACCAGAGTCCATTTACGACACAGTCACCCGTATCGCCCACATTCAACCTCAAAACTACCCAAAACGGTCGGAACCCGAGTTTATCATCCGTGACCCAACAACCTACTCCAAGTACCGCGCTCTCCGGGGACACCAGCCAGTCCCAAAATCCTTTCGCCGGCCCGTTCTTCGATCCAAGCGACCCTGCCCTTTTCAATTTTGATTTATCCAGCATGAATTTTGAGAATCGATATGGTGCCCTCGAATTCGGGATGTTAGGCCACATGGCTACGGGCGCCGGTGACTCTCCAAGCGACTCAGCAACGCAGCGTGGATCGATCGGCCGGAGTGGATCCGCACAGTTCTCCACGCCAGCTCCAGGGTTTGGAGAAAGCCCGAGCAATCAGCCGTTCATGTTCGGCGATCCGTTGCTCAATGATTGGTCGACGGGTCAAGCCTCGGGCCAAACGCATGTGAACGTCAGTGGTGTCTATGGCCAGAACGGCATGCTGCCTACACACATGAAAGCAGATGGGCCGCATGCTTTCGCTATTGAGAGCGGCCCTGCCAACTTCACCAGCCCTGCCGATGCAAGCAGTCCACATGTGAACCCCGCAACGTTCGATGATGGCTTCAATGGCTCGGCTTCCAAGGCAAACAGCCTAGCCCCTAATGGCCAGCGACCGATGATCACTACTCCTAGCTTAAAACACCAACAACTGCAGGTCGGATCGAAACGACGTCATCGCAACCCATCCTCCATCTACGAGAGCGTCAAGGAACCCTACGCATATACGAGTGGCTTCCACAACCTCACTGCTTTCATCCAACGACGCTTTTCCCCGTCCAAGACCGTGCGCATCGCCAAGGCACTAGCCTCGATCCGCCCTTCCTTTATCGCCACGACGAAAACCCTCAACCGCGATGACCTCATTTTCATGGAGAAGTGCTTTCAGCGAACGCTCTGGGAGTACGAGGATTTCATCAACGCATGCGGTACCCCCACCATCGTCTGCCGACGGACGGGCGAGATCGCCGCCGTCGGCAAAGAGTTCAGTATCCTGACTGGATGGAAGAAAGACGTGCTTCTAGGCAAGGAGCCTAATATGAACGTCAATACCGGTGGCGGTCCATCAGCCCCAGCGTCCGGCACAACCTCTCGTGGCAGTTTTACGCCACGCAGCTCGGTCGAACACACCACCGGCCGTCCACAGCCCGTCTTCTTGGCCGAGCTCATGGACGATGAGAGCGTAGTGGGATTCTACGAGGACTTTGCGCGCCTGGCATTTGGAGATTCTCGGGGTAGTGTGATGACCCGATGCAAGCTCCTCAAATACAAAACTAAAGACGACATGGACGTCGCCCAATCGGACGAGAATGGAAAATGGAACAACCACCTTCGCAAGGGTGGGATTGCCGGAGAGGCTGGTATGAACCAGCTTGGGTTTAAGGATGGCAAGGTCGAATGCGCGTACTGCTGGACAGTTAAGCGTGATGTGTTCGATATCCCGATGCTTATCGTGATGAATGTGAGTGACCGTGTTACTATCCTCTTAACTCTTTGGAACCGAATGCTGATGCAGCTTTTTAGTTTCTGCCCTGCATTTGATTTTCCTTTCTTGAAATTGGCCTCGCCTTTTTCTTATGATCTGTTGATATGTGCCATTTCTCATTTCTACATTCTCTCTATGGGACTTTGGGGTTGTCTTGGCCGAGCTTGGTTCTGCCTCAAATTTTTATTTTAGGCTTTCATCTTTTTGCGTTCCTTCTTCTTTTGTTTAATATTGTTTTCTGGGACTGTATGATTCCCCATCTGCCTTCAATTTTTCGTGGTTTTCGATGCGTCCGTACATATCACTGGCTTTCGGCGCTCTACGGGGGGTTTAAAAAAATCATATCTCTGGGCTGGGATTGCGTTTGAACGAGATATAATGCCATTTACGTGGTTTTTTATGCTGATTTTCAATCCGTGGAGGCTTCTTCCTGCGTAGAAGAGTAGACTTGACTTCGCTGATCTAAATTGAACCCCTATGTCGCGCTTTTCCCCCCTCCGGATCCATGGATTTCTACCGCAATCGAGGGCCTCGGCGCCTTATCGATAACGCAGTCCCCCTGCCTATTCGAATCTCCAATTCTGACTCTTCGCTGCCACTGGATGGCTTTCGCATTCGAGATTATAGATTCCCCTTAGGCTCAAAGTATTCCAATCGGAATATACCACGTCTGTTCGTATATAAGACCGCCGAGATTACCAACGTCCCTTCCCCGCGCCCCCCACGCTTGCAACGACCCCACACCATCCAAAGCAGACGACCAGCCGTTCAACATGCGCCCTGATAAGCCACGCGATGCTGTCGCCGGGCCAGACGCCGGCCCCGAAGCTCCGTACCCGTACGACTGTCCGGCCCAGTGATCAAAGGCTTTGGCCGTGGCAGCAAAGACGTGTGTAGTCCGAGCTCCGCCAGAATCTGAGGAACAGCAGAACTGACCGTGCCAAAAGCTAGGAATTCCCACCGCGAACATCCCCGCAGACAATCTGTCCGTGGAGCACCCGGATCTGACCACTGGCGTCTACTACGGCGTGGTCGCGCTGGACCCGAAGAAATTCGTCCCCGACGGCGCCGAAGCCACGGCGCAAACGACTCTCTTCCCGGCCGTCCTGAGCATTGGGTATAACCCGTTCTATAAGAATGAAGTGCGGTCTGTGGTAAGTGCGAGGCAGATAAACATCTTACCCCCCCCATCCCACATCCTGCATCCCGCATCTCTTTCTGCTCCTCACCCCGTGGAGAGCCTGTGGCGGTTTCTCACGTGTCCATAGGAAATCCATATCATGCCTCCCCTCACACAGCCGTCCCCGACGGCGGTGCCGCAACCGAAGTTCCACCGACTGCCGGATTTCTACGGCACGGAGCTGCATCTGCTGATTCTGGGGTATATTCGGCCGGAGTTCGACTATGTTTCAATGGAGGCGTTGATCGAGGATATTCGGGTGGATTGTGAGGTGGCGAGACAGAGTCTCTTGCGGGAGGCGTATCAGCGGTATCTGGTTGATGATGGGAAGGCGTCGGAGGAAGTTAATGCTGCCCGCAATTGGCTGGTCAGCTTTCCGTGAGCGTTTGGATAATACAATAGAGCATTTTATAGAGTTTGTGGAGGGCATAGTTGGATAGATCGGGGAATTGATTATACTTCCATGCCTGCTTCTATGCGATTATGGGGAATGGCTTGAGACGAAAAGTCTTGATGCTGATAGATGAGATTGGGTGATTAGGTTAAAAATCAAAGTCAAATGTATGTATTTGAAAGTGCCGGTACTGGTCATATGGAACGGGATGAAAGGGCGTTCTGATGTATCTTTACAGAAGTAGCCGATTGCGCAAACCACGCAGTTCAGAGCTGACGCCCCCGCTACTTGTAATTGTTTTCCGACTTGCCTCTTGTGCAACCGGAATGATGTTCTCAATAGACAGCTTTTGATCTCCCTTGGCAAGGCCCGCAACGAGGACACCTAGCAGAGTATCTCCGGCACCATTGACGCTTACCACATCCTCAGGCGTTAACGTGGCTTCCGGAGGAACAGTCTCATATAGACACCACCGAAAAGTGACTCGGTAGACGAAGCCCGCGAGAGAATATACTGGGCATAAGCAGGGTTCGTTAAGCGCTGGTCTCCCGGAGGCAGCAACTGAGTGAGAAGGACACCATCGGCGCCAAGCTTTGTCACAATGCACGGAATAAACGGAAGAAGCTGGATAGACTGCTGGGGCAGACCCTCGTCAACCAGTGCTGCAGAAGTAAGATAGACGAGCTTTTCGCGGGAGCCGCTTGACGACAGACCCATGGCATCGATGATATACCACCAGCCCGGGGACTCGAACAGAAGGGCCTCGCGGGCCGCGGAATACATAGCAGTCAGCTCCAGCCGGTTGGGGCACGCAAGGCTGATTGCATTGTCGGGGATTGTGCGCGCAGGGCCTATAGCCACGTCGGTCCCACCACCGCGGCCGAATAGACGGCTGGACTTGGCAGTTGAGACAGGCTCGAAGGCTACGCGGGCGCCGTGCTTTTTGGCAAGTGAAGCCCATTTCGCGAGGACGTCGGGCCGCCAATTCGCATCCAGGACGACCCATTTAGGCTTGGTCTTTTCGAGGAGTGGGCCCCAGAACCCGTCGACATCAAGTTGCTCGTTGGGTAGTTCGACGATTCCCATATCGGCCATGGCAACGACTAGGTCTCTCTTCGTGTCGTTGACGGCGATGTATTGTGCTGTACGTGCACCGGATGACCCTGGGAGGGTTTGAACGCCCGTGGAACTAAGGCCTTCTTTTTCGAGGGAGGATAGGGCTGCGCGGCCACTGAGATCGTCTGCCACAACACTGCAGAAGAGGACTTTGCTGCCGACATAACTTGCTGCCAGGGCAACATTATGGCCGACACCCCCGAGACTTTGCCCGATAGCGGCCGGGTTAGAAGTGTGTGGGACGGGGGCAACTTGGGTGCGATCTTCGGAGAAGGGCGCAAAGTCACAAGCAAGGTCTATTGCGAGTGAACCGGCAACTAGAATGTCTGCTTGCTCGAGAGGCGCCACGGCTGGCTCGGATGTCTCGACAGCACTTTGCTTCGGGGCTGTTTGTTCCAGTAGACTAGGGCTTAAGCTTGCAGGCATTGTACTACCACGATGATCTCCAAACTTAGTAATTCATTCTCGATATAAATTATGCCTAGCAGCCAACTCACCGAGACCCAGATCCCCGGTCAAGTTCCTCCATTTTAGCTAATTCCACGGCTACGCGAGTAGCGCGCTTCACGTTAGACTCAACCAAAGCCCTATTTGCAGTAACGCTCTTATCTCCACTCAGTTCCTTGATCTTAGATAGAACAAAGGGAGTATTATCGCTGCCCTTGTATCCTTCCACCTCAGCAAGGCGAATGGCTTCCTCAATGATATGATCTATCTCAGCCTTGGGGACGGAGTGCTCTAAAGGCACCGGGTTGGCAAAGAGAATACCAGAAGACACGGGTAGCTTTGATTGCGCATCTGAATGTGTGTGAGCCACGAGCGGCATAGCATTGGAATACTGAACTTACAAATAATGGCTGCAGCCTCGGCTTCATTCTCGATGACTCGAGAGCTACGGAAGCCACTATCTCGAGTGTAAAATGCAGGGAAATCGACTGGGCCTTCACGACCATCAGCGAAGGTACCGACGCAGACACCCTCTGTCTCTAGGTACTCCAGAGTCCGGGGAATATCCAAAAAGCTCTTGCATCCGGAGCTGATCACGGTGACCGGGGTTCGTCCCAGCTCCGTGAGATCGGCTGGAAAAAAAATGGTCAGGTGAAGGGCTTTGAGAGAGAGCAAATGGAGACTCACCAGAGATATCCATGGAGTTCTCTCCCCCTCGGTGTACACCACCTAACCATGCCTTGATTAGATGACGTTGTTGTTTTGTTTCAGGGATATCAATTACCTAGTCCGCCGGTTCCGAAGATTCTGATGCCAGCTAGCTCCGCAAGGATCATGGTCCCGGAAATTGTGGTTCCTCCGTGAATCGATTTCCCTGCAAGGCCCTGGGGAGGTTTAATTGGCTATCAATTATACTAGGCGGACCGCGTATACATACCATGCCACAGATGTAGCCGAGGTCTCGTCGTGAGACTTTCATCGCCGACTTGTTCTCTACAGTTGAAGCCAGCTGAACAATCTCTTCTGCATTCATGCCAACCCGGGCAACACCGCCGAGCACACCCACTGTTGCGGGGACTCCACCGTTGGCTCGGACAACTGATTCCAGTAGCATCGCCAGCGCAATATTCTCGGGGAACGGAAAGCCTACGGCCGTGAGCAATTGCTCGATGAGAGACAAGGGGTGTCATTCGACTCCAATGCATACCATGAGTGTATATAGTGGTCTCAAGGGCAACGACGGGCTTGCCAGTTGCGACTGCATCACGAACCTCTTCCGATACCTTCAGAAACTTGCTCTGTGGGGAGCTCTGGAGCCCGTGCAAGCCTCTCGAAAGAGGCAGACGAAGCCTCCAGCTCCTGGATTTAGCGGCAGCCCTGGCAGCAAACATCGTGCCGACAACGTCGCAGTACAAAAATGGGGGAGAAGCTCTGTTATCGGGCGATAAGAAAGCGGAGTGCACGCAGACGCCGCCGCGCTAGCCGTACTGCGTATACAATGGGGACACCTCATCAGCTTCGATCTTGAAATTCCCATCTCTCTAAACCCCCCTTTCCCACGCCGTCTCTTTAGGAATTGTCAGGAGTCTTTGTGTGCTCCGGCGTGATACCCTCAGACACAATGAGGTTTTTCACTGCCACGGTGCTCGGGCTCCTCGTGCCCAGCCTGGCTACCGCTTCCAACTTGACTACGCCATACCAGATCGCTGTACCAGCCGACTTCAAGCCTCCTCAGGTCTTCAGGAACACCAATTTGGTTCGGAACACCAATTTAGAAAAGGGATACGTCCGCGAGACTATTAATGTGGTGGTGGAGAATATCGACAAGCAGCCCCAGAGCCAGTACTATATTCCTTTCTCGTCCGAGGTGTTCGATCGCGTGGGAGGTTTCGAGGTTCGTGACAAGAAAGCTCCTGAAAAGGGTCGCTTTCAAGTGGAAGTGACCGAGCCATCAAGGTGAGCCTTATTCGTGACGTCAATGGCATCGCGCTATGAAATTAAATGTGCCTGTAACCCTGACCTCCCTACAGCGGCAACCAATACTTCGTGGTGCACCTTTCTGAGCCACTCGCTCCGAAAGCTCAAGTAACTTTGGGCATCTCCTACTCCATTCTGGCTGCATTGAGCCCGCTCCCTGCAACCATTAAGCAAAATGACCAACAATTCCTTACCTACACCTTCTCAGCCTACACGCCATCAGCCTACCAAACTGTGACTCAAAAGACCAAGCTGAAGTTCCCCAACGCCAATGTCCCCGACTACACCTCAACCGCAGGTCTTAAATCCGGAGCCGACCCCGAGCGCAAGGGTGCCACTTACACATATGGACCATATGATACCGCCAAGGTGACACCGGGCACCGAATACCCTATCACAGTGCGCTACGAGTTCACCAACCCTGTGATCGCCGTCACTCGCCTGGAACGCGACATTGAGGTCTCGCATTGGGGCGGCAACCTCGCCACCGAAGAGCGCTACTGGCTTCGCAACAATGGCTCGAAATTGGCGAACCACTTCTCGCGGGTGGAGTGGACATTCGCCAACTACCAGAAGGCCCCTTCCTCCGCCGTCCGTGAACTCGCCTACCCTCTGCAACCAGGCTCCGTGGACCCGTACTTCATCGACGACATCGGCAACGTATCTACCAGCCGCTACCGCCCAGGTAACGGCAAGACCGCCGCCAACCTGGAGTTGAAACCCCGCTACCCCATCTTCGGTGGCTGGAACTACAGCTTCAAGGTCGGCTGGAACAGCGACCTGTCCCGGTTTCTGCGCAAGGGCGCCGGCGCCGACTCTCACATTCTGAAGGTTCCTTTCCTCCAGGGTCCTAAGATGTCTGAGGGCGTCCAGTACGAGCACGTCGTTGTTCGCGTAATCCTGCCCGAGGGCGCCAAACACGTTCGTTTTGAGACCGTCGAGGGTCTGAACAGCAATGGCCTTCCTGGCTCAAACCAAATACATGCTAGCCTCTCAGGATTCAAGACCTACATGGATACTCTTGGCCGGACTACTCTGACCCTGGAGGTCGACAGTCTGACCGATGAAGCGCGGGATGCGCAGTTGGTGGTAAGTTGATATATCTTGTACCGGTTTTCGAGCTACGTGCTAACTAGAAACTAGGTTACTTACGAGCACTCGTTGACGGATGCCCTGCGCAAACCTCTAACCATCATTGCGGGTGTGATTACCTTGTTTGTCGCCACTTGGGCCATCGGCAACATCGACACTAGCATCAAGAAGCGGTAGATAGCGTCCCTGGATGATGCCATTCGATTTATATTGTATTTTGATGAATATTTTACTAGTTTCCCTATCCTTGGCAGGGGTTGCTAAACTCTAGCGCATGCATTGCTTGTAGAGAGCTCAATACGTACTCGCAGCTTCGTAGCTGGATTTTACTCGGTTACTGGCAGCTCTGGAGTAACTTAACTACCCTGCAAATTATGGCCTCAATGCCATGGGGCGGCAGCATGGACTTCTAATTGTTGTTGGAAGTAGAGGATCGCGTGCATGGTTTAGGATTATAATAGTGAATAAGGATTTAGCCTCGATGAGGGAAATTGATAAAGAATAACTAGCCTGGATAATTGGTCAAATATTCAAAACGCCGTTTTGATGTTTACGACCCTATAACCTCCCCATGGTACGCGGTCCCAGCGGAGTGATCACTTCCAGAACACGATAATAAAAGTTACATATCAGGTAAAACGCAAATGACACCGAACGCCTTGCAAATGGGATCAGGGGGGAAAAAATTACACAAATGATCTGCTCAGTTTCAACTGGCCCATCACTCCTCATACTTCCTTTTAACGCCATTCCCATTCGCAGGCGGCGGCATCCCCCTCGGCTTCGAATGAGGATCGTTCCGATTCTTCCAAGCCGCCTTGATCGCCGGCGCAGCACGGATCAGGTCCTCCTCTGTGACCCGGTCCTCGATACTCTCGAGAACCTTCTCGACCGTCGAGACGTGATTCGCATCATTCTTGTCGTCGCGGATGCGATGGAAGCGCCAGCGACCATTCTCGTCCTTGTAGCATTCGACGATGGCATCGTCGAGCGGGACGTTCAGCGCTTGCATGTCTTTCCACTCGGAAGGGGTGATATGCATTTCGCCGAAATGTCGGTGCTCGCCCGCGTTGACCATGACGAAGAGATGGCAGATCGGGAGGGCATCATAGTCCGGGTATGGGTCAGAGATACCGTCGGCTTCATCGTCGGTGTCGGGCTCGTAGATGGGGAACTCCAGGCGCATGCGGAAGTCGATGGTGTTTTCGGATGGAGGCTTCCACTTGAGGATGTGCTCGTCGGTGCCAATGCGGTAGGGAGTGCTGCGGCAGGTAAAGATCAGGCCGTCGTTTCCGTGGAGGAGCTTGACTTTAGGGATGATGTCGCGGAACATCATGTCCACTGCGTAGCTGAATTGGGTGGACTTGTCTTCGACGACGAAGGGGCGGTGGGCTTTCTCTTCGGGGAACTTTTCGAAGAGAGCATTGTAGGGCTTGAGGACTTTTTCTTTCAGATAGGCTAGCCGCTTGTCGAGAGTGCGGTGCATGAGGCTTTGTCCGTCCAGCACCAGGCAGTCGAAGACGAGGTACTTCAGTTCCTGCGAGCCATCTTTGGCCGTGTCGCAAACCAGCTCGCCATCTACCAGAGTGTCCGCGTGGAATGATTGGAAGTCACCGGGCTGGGGGAAGTGCAGGCCTGGGACGAAACGGTAGTCGTTCTTGCGGTCGATCAGATAATGAATTTCTGGCGTGTCGGACTCCGGATCGCCGTGCGCAAAGTACATCAAGCAACGAATGCCATCTGTCTTTTCGCAGACATAGTAGTCTTCTCGCTGGAGCTCCGCCAGGTGTTTCGCCGAGAAGCTGACTGGTTGTGCGCCTGGGAAATTGAGGTTGGTGCGCCCCAGGAGCTGAGCAACCTCTCGGCGAAACTGGTCTGCGAGCTCCGGATGGGCTTTAATGCCAATGGAGTCCAGATCTGGGACCGAGTGAGACATGGTGGACGGTTGTGGGCAAATGCTGAGATAGGCAGGGTAAGGCTTGAGGTAGGGTTCGAGCTGGATCTCGATGAGGTTCGAAGACTCGTCTGTAGAACTAATATGCATTCACTTAGGGCGAGGGGGCGGGGGAGGTTCGAGGATGTGATGATTGCGGTTTGGAAGTCTGCGAGGATGACGGGTGCACACCAATGTGAATGTTGAGCAAAGCGGAAGTAAGAGGTCGGTTGATCAGTGAATACTGAGCTCCACCGAGCATTGCAGGTGGGCTCGCATTATGGCTGAGGCTCGAGGAACAATGATCGCCGCAATTAAAGATGATTATCTCGTTGCGGCCTCAGGCAGATGCATCACATAATCCAATCACGGGTCTCCAGGGCTCCGGGCTCAGAGCTATGTAGGTACACAATCACGGATATAGCTGCAAACCCTCATGGAATCTGCAAGGACTAGGACTTATGGATATCGCGGCTGCTTCGTGGTTTGAACTCAACGCATTTCATTGCAAACTACTTTGAACCGAGTGTGTGTGCTTTGGTAGCTGGGGTATCATGTCATGACCATTATAAAAACCAAAAACAAAGCCCCAAAGAGTAGACCCGTCTCCGTTCCACGCCCCCAAGCCGACAGAAAATGAGCCAAGAGGAAGGGGGATATAAAAGATACAAAAAATTCGAAGAAGGGAAAGGAGGGGATATCCACATAAGCTCTTGCGACAGGAAACGCCAGCATTCACAAAAGACGCCGTAAAGAGATCCTTGGCAACATGGAAAAAAGAGAGAGAGAAGGAGGGTCATAAAATCATTTTGTCGCTGGATCTTCATGAAACCGTGACAGAGGGCTTCTTGGTTCCATCGGTAGAGATGTCACCGGTGTCGCTCGAGGGTAGGACTGGGAGACATCCATCGGGTCAAATGGTTGGAAAATGTTGCCACCAAACAGCGGTTGTTGACTATCGTCCGTAGAGAAAATCCCCCCGCCGCCGCGGCCACCAAAGGCATGAAGCATTTGCTCCTTAATTCGAACATAACGGTATTTGGTTTTCGAACTAATGAGAGTATGGCTCTCAAGAGGCCTTGGATTTGATCGTGCAATCGCAGCCATGACCGTATCTCGTTCTTCATCCGAGTCCACCGGGCCATTTGTGTCGATGTCATCTTGGAGTGGAGCGTTGGCATCGATGGCAGCTTCTGTAAAAGGACAAAACGAAAAGTGATCTTGTTAGCCCCGTGTCTTTGGCCCATCGGTCCCGTTTTAGCTATGGGATTGTTTGCGCGACTTACTTTGTTGGCGTGCCTGGTTCTTCTTCTGATACTGCTGAAGCAGCATATCATAGGGGAGAGAACGGCCAGGAACAGATCGCTTGGCCCCCATTGAATGGCTCTTGCAAGTCAGGGAGCGAGCACACTGCGCACCATTAGGTAAAGTGACACCACATTGCTTCTCAACATCCACAGGGCCCTTGGGCTTCGCTGTCTTGGCCTTAGGCTCGTCCTTCTTCTTCTTTTTCTTGGGTTCCTTGCCGTCGTCCTCGTCAGCTTTGCGTTTTTTGCCTTTTTTGCTGTCATCAGTCCCCTTGACTGCACTTTTCTTCGCGCTCTTTTGACCTTTCATGGAGTCATCGTCCACCCTATCACGAGCGTCGTCGTCCTCCTTGCCATCCGCGTTCTTAGCACGGTTGATAGCATCACGTGCCTCCTTCTTCTTACGGGCTTTCTCTTGCTTGGCTTTCAGACATCCACGAATGTGCTCTGGGGCGGTTTGTTTCAAAGTTGGGCGCTTGCAATGCTTGCAGATCACTGTTTCTAACAGGTCGTCTTCGCGCGGTTTCCCGGTCGGGAAATATGCTCCGAGTTTGCTGTCCAGCTTCGGCAGAGGGGAGGTATTAGGTGATTTGTCGACAGGGCCATCTTTCACATCTGGAGACGTCCGTTAGTACGCGTCCTGGTCCTGGATCCCAGATGAAACTGTACCATCGGCCTTCTTCTTGGTAGAAGCCTTGGCTGTCTTCTTAACCTTCATCTTTCCCGGCTTCGTATCTTTCTCCGTAAATTTGTAGCCCGAAGCATCCACCAGACTTCCGGACGCTATATCGAGGATGACAAGTTAGCCTCATGGCCTTCAAGGTTCTCGTCCCAATGCGATTTGAGACCGAAAGTGCCTTCGGTCTCTTTGGCGCGCGTTGGAGCAGATCGGGTGGCGCTCACCTCGGCCAGCATCCCCGTTTGACGCCATGATTAGCGCAGCAGTGGGGTTCTCGGGGCACGAGAGGTCGCTAGATGGCAATTCAGTACGGATAGGATCGCGAACAGTGGAACAGAAAGGGGATCGGTCGCGCCCTGGGGTTTCGAGATCGAAGGACGGGCTGGGGCTCCGCATTTGGAGCAAGTCACGTGGGCGCTGGTAATGGGACTGAATGTCGAAGGGAGAAAAACAGGATGGACGTACAATCTCCGTCATGCAAAAGGAGATAAAAGTGGGAAAGAGAAGGACGAATGGGAATTTGGAAAATCTTTCCAATGGGAAATTCTAGGGAGGGCAACTTATATATTACAAGTATCGTACATGTTCTTCATTCACTGGGGGGGCTCCTCGTTCACTCGTGGAACCGAGTGAAGCAGAGACTACTATTTGTTCCACCAAACCCGAAACTGTTGGTCAGAGCCACATCGATCTGCCTGTCTTGGGCATTGCCTGGGGCGTAGTTACAGTCGAAGCCCTCAGCTAGCCGGTTGAGATTAAGAGTGGGCGGCATGATATTCTGAACAAATCAGTCATACTGTCTTCCAAAGCATTATGACCCACTTACATCACGAATTGCCAAAACACTGAACACAGCTTCCACAGCTCCAGCACCGCCGAGGAGATGGCCAATAGCACCCTTGGTACTGCTGATATTCACCTCAGAAGCTTTGTTTTTGCCTTCTGGGCCTAGCAGAAGCGACTTGATGGCCGTATTCTCGGCGGCGTCGCCGACGACAGTCGACGTGGCATGAGCATTAACATAATCCACAGCCGCAGGCTTGACCTGAGCCTGCTTGAGGGCTTTTTTCATGGCAATATAGGCACCTTCACCATTTTCCTTGGGAGCAGTCATATGGTGAGCATCGCTGGAACAGCCATAGCCTTTAAGCTCGGCATAGATGCGAGCACCTCTGGCACGGGCGTGCTCCAAGTCCTCCAAAACAAGCATTGCTGCACCTTCGCCAACCACAAAGCCAGCGCGGTCGGCATCGAAAGGCCTTGAAGCCAGTTCTGGGTCATCATTGTAGTCGGTTGCTAGACTTCGAGCACGGGCGAAGCCGCCGATGGCTAAGGGATGAATGCATGACTCGGCACCACCAGCCACCATCACATCCGCATCACCGCAGGCAATGAACCTTGCTGCGTCGCCGATGGAATGGGCCCCGGTCGTGCATGCCGTGGTCGCTGCATGGTTTGGGCCCTGATGATGTTAGCGCAAAGGTATGACCGTGACAAACTTCTACCCTACCATAAAGCCATGCCTCATAGAGATGTGGCCAGCCCCTAGGTTGATCAATAGCTTAGGTACAAATAATGGATTGACCTTTTTGTAGCCCTGGGAGTCGTCAGTATCGGAAAGACTTTCGATCGTAAGAGCGCCTACTCCTTTGTCATATGCAATCACGGTATTATAAATCTCATCAAAGTTCCCAATCCCCGATCCAAGACAGACGCCCTGTTGCTCAATCAGCACTGGATACTCGATGAAGACTGAATGATCCATAGCCTCGTACTGTAGCTTCTCTCTGTTCAAACTCGGATGGTCTCCACTTTGCATCGTTCAGTGCTTCCTCAGCAGCAACAATTCCATATTGGGCAAACAGAGCCATCTTGCGTTCATCCTAAAATCTTATGAGAAACTATAGCCTGAATGCAAGATCGTATTGTACCGGGTATACTTACACCGCGACTCAACCATTCCGACGCGATCCAGCCCCCATCTTGCATGGCACCCTGCGGCACGACAGCTGCGATCTGACATGGCTGCTCCGCAAAACGTGCATCTCGATGTTTGACATTCACGATCCCACAATGACCATCAAGCAGTCTTTTCCAAGTGCGAGGCACGCCTATAGTTCCCCAACATTTCAATTAGCTCCGAGCTCAGAAACAAACAATCAAAGCCCCCTCCCCGAATGCCATGCGATCATCCATAGAACCGACAAACAAGGCAGCGCCATCCGATGTCAAGTCCACAGAAGCACTGGGCCGTCCCGCCATTGGTTCAATCCTTCCCGATGCGGTTGCCAGAAGTGGAGAACTAGCACCCCTCGAGATTTTGGCCGAGGGCCCTTCTGTGCTCACTTCTGGGCAGGACCAGAGAGCCTCTTAGCTGCCCAGCAAGCTTGCTGGACTTGACAAGTCGCTTCAGGAGTTCATCGGCATCTACTTCTGTCCCACGCCGCATCACCGTCGGTGGAAAAACCTCGCGACGAAAAAGAAAGTGACCACTTACCTACACCTAAGGGCGTTACCGCACCTAGTCCCGTCACCACAACACGACGCATGGTATAAGACAAAAGGATGTAGAGCGAAGGAGTTCCAGCCAAGAAGGGAAAGTCTGCACGACTGTAGTCATTGGTTGGCGGCACCAACGGGCGTGATTGGCTGGGGGTGCCATGCGGGGCCGTTCTATCTGTTCTTCTTTCCTTTTAGATCGATAAAGCTCAACTGATTAGGAAGTCCGGCGGAGAGAGCCAGTATATAGTGGCGACCCCGCCAAAAAAAAGACCATGCTTCCCTCCTTCCATTCAGTCTCCAATTTCCAGTCATGCCTGCCTGGAAGTCTTTGTTGAGCGTATTGGCTCTGGCCGGCTCTGCTGTAGCGTGCGCTCACCACGGCGATACCGAGGTCGTGCCTGAGCATGAGCGTGAGGAATTGTTGAAGAAGTGGGATCAGGAGGTACGTACAAAGAAGAACCAGCATCTAATATCCAATTTGGACAGGACTCCGTGCAAATTCCAAGGTCAAATTGCCAAAAGAACATCCTTCTAACCCTCGCAGTGGTCCTTCTCCGGCATCGCCAGCTTCGCCCACCTGAAGCCCGTCAAGTGCCTCGTCGAACCCACCGAGCACTATGACATCGCCGTCATCGGCGCCCCCTTCGACACAGCCGTGAGCTACCGCCCCGGCGCGCGCTTCGGGCCCCGCGCCATCCGCGCCGCTAGCGCCCGCCAGATGTCCGGCACCAGCTACAACACGCGGGCCGGGATCAACCCGTACCAGTCGTGGGCCAAGATCACCGACTGCGGCGATATCCCCATCACGCCGTTCGACAACGGGCTGGCGGAGCGGCAAATGTACGAGGCGTTCCTGGAGCTGGGGTCGCGGAAGACGGTCAACGCGGCGCCAAAAGGCGACAAGAGCATTGGCGCGGGCCACCCCAAGCTCGTCACGCTGGGTGGTGACCACAGCATTGCGCTGCCGGCGCTGCGCGCGCTGTACCAGATCTACCAGAAGCCGATTACGGTGCTGCACTTCGATGCGCACCTTGACACGTGGAATCCCGTGCGCTACTCGGCGTACTGGCAGTCGGAGCAGACGCAGTTCAACCACGGGAGCTTCTTCCACAAGGCGAGTCGGGAGGGACTGATTTGCAACTCTACTTCTGCGCACGCGGGACTGCGCACCCGCTTGACGGGGGTTGATGATGGGGATTATACGAACCCGGGACCGGAGCAGGGCTTTATTCGGGTTCATGCGGATGATATTGACGAGCTGGGTCCTATGGGTGTTGTGGATGCTATCATGCAGCGTACCGGTCTTGATCCTGAGCAGCCGGTCTATCTGTCTGTGGATATCGATGTGTTGGACCCGTCGACTGCGCCTGGTACGGGTACTCCCGAGCCTGGTGGCTGGACGACTCGCGAGTTCATTCGTATTCTGCGTGGGCTGGAGAAGTTGAACCTCGTGGGTGCTGATATCGTGGAGGTTTCCCCTGCTTATGACAACAAGGGTGAGACTACAGCGCTTGCCGCGGCCCAGGTTGCGTTCGAGATTATCACGAGCATGGTCAAGTCTGGCGTTTCGGAGAACTTGGGCGGATGGTATGGCCGCAAGGACGAGATTGCCGAGGCCTACGAGGCCAAGGTTGGCAAGGACGAACTGTAAACCGGGCGGTTGATTCAAAATATGCATATACGAGTATCATGATTGTAGTCTTGGAGAATGAGAAATGAAGAGATGTCCACCTCAAATCTGTTTTCTTTTCTTTTGACTATGTTAGCTACTATGTAATCTGGGGTATTTGCCAAGTCCCTGAATGTGGGCGAAATGCTTAATTTTCTCGGAGCTCCACACCCAACACCTGCCCCCATCTACGAAAGCTCAATCCGTGAAAGAATCCATCCATTGGGTTATCTTCTGCATTGGTCTAAGATCCAGGATAATTGCTTACTTGAAAAGCACGTGTAAAGCAGATGACGACAGAATGCTTATCTCGAAAGGCCAGCAGCCTGGAAGATAAGAAAAATTAGATGAGAGGGGAAAATAAACCGGCATGCAGGGAAATCCAGATCGGTGACAGGCAGAAAAAGTGCAGCAAGCTCAAATTCATACTTCCGAAGTGCAGACCGAGGTTGAAAAGAATTTCGCAGCGAGGTGTAAAGAAGAAACGAGGCAAAGGTTTCATCGGCCAGCCAAAAACACGACGCCCTGACGTCCAACGCCGAGAGACGATGAGAAGAGGTTAAACGCATGGAGGAGCATGGAGATAAAAATGTCCGGGAGTGAGAAAGGGAGGGGGAGCTGGAGCTTCAGTAAATGGCGTAAAGGAGAGAAAGGGAAAAAAGAGATCCAGGGGCGCTTAAGAGGGACGAGTCGGGAATTCCGTGGAGGACAGAGATGGAAGCAAAGTCGGCGAGGAAGAATAAAACGGGCAGACGGACCAGGAGCAGGAAACCTTGGGGAATTATAAAGCAAGTTGGGGTTTCTTTGGGAGATCGCCAGATCGAGTACAAATGGGAAGTCGCCGAGACCATCGGGGTTGAAACGCGGTCAAATCGCTTCAGATAGTAACGCTAACCCATAAAACACAGGATCCATTTCCATATCCCAAATGCCGGCTCCCCAATGAATGTGCCTGATCCAATAAGATAAGAGATTTCAGAAAACAAAGCAGGTTCATTCCATCGTATCTGCAGGTCGCACGGAGGCAAGCGGTCAATTGAAGCCGCGGGGAAAAAAAGCAAGGGCCTTGTGGAGAAGGGGAGGGAACCAACCTGTGAAAAATAATATTGCCGTAAAGATGTGTTCACAGCAGGCGGCAGCCTCTGGACTTCTTCTTTGGCGCAGGTTCGAGAGCAGCGACAATAGCCTGTATCGCACATTTAGCGGTGAACACGAATCCAGGAGTGGTCCGAAAAAATTGTCCGTGTTCCGTGTGCCGCGGGAGAAGATACCGGACACTGGGATAGGAATAGGGATTCATGATTGCGGAAACCGGAAAGCTAATTACCTCGTCGAAAACGTCTTTGAGCTTGTACTGTGTCAGAGCAGAACACTCGACATATTTGACCGCTCCGAGTTCCTTGGCCATCCGGTCACCATCCTCCTTGCGGATCGGCTGCATCTTCTGGCGGGCAAGCTTCTCGCGCACGTTGGCATCATCGCGCAAGTCGGTCTGGGTACCGACTATGAGACACGGGACACCGGGGCAGTGGTGGTGAACCTCTGGGAACCATTTTTCTCGGACGTTCTCGAATGAAGCGGGCGACGTGACGGAAAAGCAGACCAGGAAAACGTCGGTCTGAGGGTATGACAACGGGCGCAGACGATCGTAATCTTCTTGACCGGCCGTATCGAAAAGACCAAGGGTGTAAGGTTCATCACCGATCCTGCATGGGAGAATCGCAGCGTCAGTTTTATTGGAAGATGCCTTTGTGCTTTCCGGTTCCTCCTCTCTCTCTCTCTCTCTCTTTTTTTTTTTGGGCTCGTCAGGCCGGCACCGAATCGCCTCCAGGTAGGGGGGGACTTACATGACAGTCACGGCATAGTTGTCAAAGACGGTGGGGACATATTCAGAAGGGAATTTGTTGGTTGTGTAGGAGATGAGCAGACAGGTCTTGCCGACAGCACCGTCCCCCACCACGACACACCTGGAAGGTCGGGGTTAGCCCAAAGGAGGGGGAAGCGCTCGGCAGGGAGAGGGGCATCTTACTTGATGGTAGCGACAACCATATTGTGAGCTCCGAGGCGAAGCGTCGACGAGGATGAGAAATATGGAGAAGGATGGGTTTGAGGGGAAGGGAGGTTGAAAGATAGAAAGGGAGGAAGAGCTGTGGTTCTGGACTGGATGGGGCACACACCCGCGAAGTTGGAGTCTAGACAGTCTCGTGAGATACGCCGCCCGTACAAAATTACTGTACCTTTAGCTTCTTTGATTGTCCGACTTCTAGCTTTTTCGCGTGCTCTTCGTAGAAAAAGAAAAGCAAAAAGCAAAAAGGGAAAAAAAAAAAGATAAGACACCGATTTTCGAGTTCTCTTCTTTGTGCTCTTAATTAACCCCCTTTCCCCTCCGATACCAATGCTAACCCGGCGGGTCCGCATCTCGTACAGAAACCCCCCTACTCTAGAGCCCATAGTTCTTTAACCGGTACGGAACATGCCAAGGTTCCGTATCAAAGACCTCGATTTTTAAGCGCCCGTGGCTCTCTGCAGCGGTACTGCCTACTGGGTAACTTGGCCGTATCTAGCTACTTCGCTGCATCGGACGATTTCTGAATAACCTTCTTCACGTCTTCGTGGGAAGCTCCCAAGCTCCTAAGCTCCCCCCCGAATCCCAGTGGAGAAGAGCACAAAGCGGGACAACCCCCCGGGAAGATAAAAGCAGTATTGAAGCCCCGGCATGAGCTACGGAGTTCCGCCTAGCGACCACCCCCCCCCCTTTGAACGAGCAAAGCCTGCGCCAGACCCTCGTATCCAACCAATTGTCAATTGCATCAATGTTAAGGTGTCATATGATTTAAGCCGACTTATCATGGCCTCCACTCAAAGTGCCGAGAGTAAGGCCTTCGAGCCGCAACAGCAGCCACTGAAGCACAAGAACTGCGGGAAGTATCACATGCGTCTAGAACGCCCCTTTCCGGAGCTTGACTGGCGTTCTCCTGGTCGGATGGCGGGTTCTAAGCCTTCTCTATCCGCGTCCAGGGGCTATCCGAACCCACACCGCCCTGCTCATCTACGGAGTACTTCGTACGCTTTTCGATTTTGGTGGCGGAATTTGCGCTAATGGCAAAAGTACCCTCCCCCTATATCTAACCTCGCGGAATGTCTCCGCAATAACCCTCCACGATTCATCGCCAGGGACTTGAGCTTGCACTTGCACTTGAGTTCCTGAATTAAGGTTGAGACTCCTCACATGTCACATACCAAAGAGTGCATCTGCTACTAGGAAGGATTGACTTGTTGGCACCGTAGACCATATCTGAGCCAGCCGCCGCGCATCGCCAGATCCTAAAGAAAGGATGCATGCATGCGGCGATATGCAGGTACCTGCAGCACACCTTATCCCCAAGGCGTAAGTAGCCAGGCATCCGTGTGGTAAGATACTGCTAGAAGCGATTTCTATAGCCAGCCTTCAGGCTCAACGGGGATTCTCCTGCGAATCAAGAGTCCGTGGAAGTGCTTCCAGGCAGAAGACGGGGGAAGTATCGTAGATTGACGACTCGGATACGACAATGTTGGAAATTGGCCTTCGAGCGGGAAAACCGTTAATTGTTTATTGGCAGACCCCCATTGGCTTGGCGAGTGTTATACCTCGAATGGCGGGGGCCCAACACGGGAGATCCGTCACGGGACTGGCCGTTGTCCTAGGCGCCCTGTTCTTTCTTGTTTCAAGACAAATTCAGGGCACCGAATCATATACTTAGGCAGGACGATACTGTCATTGGGCACTATTTTGAGAGTGGACTGTTGCCTACAGATGCTGTGAGACATGAGGCCTGCAAGAGCAGTCAGGATCTGAATGCTTGCTGACCAGCGACCAATCCTTGGTCCGCCATAGGTAGGCAAAGGCAAGAACCTGATCTCCGTGCAGATGAATGTCGCGATAACCGAGAAATGAGTGGGATACAATACGTTTCAGCAGTGGAGAAGGCCTTCAATAGGATAGGTGGGGCACTGGACTCTCCTAAACCGTAGACCAAAAGCTTTCATTGGAATCTTGGATCATGTCTATCAAATCGCATGGTACACCAAGGCATGCATTGGTATGTATACCGTGTTAAAAACAACGCCAGATGCAAGTAGGGATTTTGAAACAGCCCGCTTTCAAAAGAAAAAATGCGAATGACTAGGGCTTCGCGCGAAACATGAATGCTGGTGTGCTGGATGATCTGTGCTGGAAAATCAAACCCAATGGGTAATCTAAGAAACAAGATTCAAAGAAGACAAGAACTGAAGACAAGTCGTATAATCATAATCATGCATGGATCGTAAGTTGACCCAAGGAACTGCGAGTCCTTATATATGCTTGTGGGGGCTAAGGTCTGATTCGGCCTCCAGAGGTGGTGGGTGCTCATCAACATGGACTTCGTTACGGCGATTGCTCATCTGCTCAGGGTCAGTGGTAATCTTCAGATAAGTACTATGGGCTCGGGGTCACGGTGTCTCACCTGGTCAAGCTTGTAGTTCGTCATCATGAGGCTCAAGGGGATAAGAGGAATAGTAACAATGATGGAGAAGGTGAGAAGGCGATTCATGGTTTCTTGATAGGCCCGGTTGATGGCATGGCGGGCCGGAGAGCCCATAGGGTACTCTAGGGCCTTTGTGAGCTTCCCAAAAATCTCACCGACCTGAGGCTTGACCTCATCAGGAAGATACTGATACAGCTTGCGAGGGATCAAATGACTCCAGACTGCGCCAGAAATTGCAGCCCCAACAGCTCCACCCATCTCCATGGATGTAAGGAACATCGCTGTCGCTGCAGCGACCTCCTGATGGCTCGCAGAGGCTTGCACGCCCAGCTGAACGGGGACGTTGACTAGACCACCGCCGAACCCCACCAATATCTGGGTGCCCAGGACTTGGAAATGTGTTGCCCCCTCTTGGCGACAAAGGAGCATGAGCGCTATGCCGACCATGTAGACAACACATCCGATAGTCACAAAGATTCGGTATCGACGGGTATATTTGATCAAAATCGAAACGCCAAACGCGGCAATGGTTGAGGTAAAAGCGAATGTTTGGGTGACGCGGCCGGCGGTGCCGACATCGTATCCTTGAACAACTTGCAGGTAGGAGTTGAGATACGGCTGAACGGAAAAGTAAAATGCCACTTCAAGAGATGTTAGTCGTTGTGCGTGGTGGGAAATTCCATCAATACCTACTAAAGTACCAGAAAGCCAAAGCACAACCTGCCAGGGCTGTTCGTTGCTTGAGCAAATGCAAAGAAAGTAATGGTTTCGGTGCTAGCTTCTTGGACGATTCATATAGCGGGGTTGCGACCAAACAGACCAGACCGAGGACCATCATGATGACGATGCTGGGAGTTTGCCATCCCTGTTTGGTGTTCGCCGCCAGTGTAAGAGGCACAAGGAGCAAAGTGACCGCTGTCGATAAGAGGGTGAGTCCACCGATATCCAAGTCATACCACGTCTTTCGGATAACAGCAGCGAGACTCCGCTTGCGCTTGCGCCTAGAAGGCCTTATCAAATTCAATCGCCGGGCCTTCCGTTGGTTCAGCAACAGCGAGAGCGCGAGAGGGAGAAATGCAGCAGGCAGGATTACAACCCACATGCCATAGCCCCACCGCCACGAAGATGACCGAAGTACCGCGTCCGCGATTGTCGGGCCCAGCCAGACAGTGATCAAAAACGGGAATTCCGGCAACAGGGCGAGAAATGCACGGTTCAACAAATCACTGCTATCAGCAATAAATACTTGCTGCAGAATTTGCAAGCCTGTCGACCCGGCAGCATAGAATATTTGAGCGGAGGCGTAAGTTTGCACATTATTCGACGCGGCCATTTGCACATAACCAAGTATATAGATCAGGATACTGAGACAGAATGCCTCGAAACGACCAAACACATCGGCGATCTTCGCCATCGGTGGCTTGATGACGGCTGGCAAGCGAAGGTTTAGTTAGCTGACTGAAAGATCTGAATCCGTTCTATGCTGTGTAACCCACCATTGACTACGTTTTGAATCACCAGTACAGTAGACACCAGCGAATGCTTACTGAAAGCACTGGTTGCGTACGCTGACAATGATGCAACAGTCTGGCCTTCCAACGAAGTACAGAAGGCCATCAAGAATATACTTTCAGTTGGGTCAGTAATGCATGGCATGGTACCAAGGCAGACGACACGAACCTGCAATAAGCAATCATCAAAGACCGCGTTGTCCAAGTCATGTTTATGGCTTCGATCTTGCGTACACCCTCCTGTGCCTCGTCCAGCCCGTCACTCAGTTCTCCGTCTGTCTCATGGTGATTCTGTAGCAGCTGTTCCTCTTCATATGCAGAGTCCTCCTCCCGTGAAATGGTTCCGTAGGATGGGGCATCGCGGGCATCGAGAAGCGGCATGGCCGTGGCCTCGAGAGTTTCGAACGTTCAGATGAAAAGACGTGTGTACGAACAGGTTTCCATCAGGCTATATATCAGGTATCACCGATAACGGGCAGTGAACCCTTTTGGAGGGAGCTGTATAATTTGGCGCACGAGCGATTGATAAGAAGGGAACAACCGGCAAAAGCATCGACGAAATAGAGCCCCGCCAGGCCCTAGAGAAATACAGATTCGAGTTGATGTATCACATAAGAGGGCACGGTAATGCTGCTAGACTAGCGATCGCTTGGGCAGCACGGCAACTGGGCTGTATATGGGGGCGGTCTTAGCCAGTCAGGACAATCGCCGATGTGGAAATATAGAAAAAGCAAAATTGAAGCACTGACAAATCAGCGCGTCGGGTCTTCAGAGGATAAATAGCGAAAATAGATCAGAGAAACTGGGTTGCTGGCGGCGCAAAAGGATGTAGGCAAGCGCGGCTGTCGACGAAGCCGGTGACGCTAAAGCAACTGCGACTCGGAAGCAAATCGGTGGATAAATCCGTGCCTTAGTATGTCTTCAAGCGGGGAAGGGAAGAGCAGGCTTCCTGTAAGGGGAAATAGCCAAGTCGGCAGACCAGGTCTGGAGACTAGTTGCAGCGCAGTGAGCAAATCTCAGCCACGATCAGCGGTCGCACTTATGCAGGTTGACGGAGCGCGGTGGCAGAGGGACGAGCTGAGAGGCTGATCTTAGCATTTCCATTCCGGGACACTTAGACGAGGTGAGTCATGTGCAGGATTGCAACCTGCGAGGACCCTATGTACAGCAACACAGCAGGGTAGCTCGGACACACTGTGGCATGCGACAACGAGAAGAAGTACGGAGCAGGTGGAGCGAGCATCGGATGTCAGGCGGGGGGATGTGGTTTTCAGATTACCTGATCGGTTGGCAGCGTTCCGTTCTGAGGCCCACTATGACGATGTGACATGAAGAAAATCGCGAAGACTCTTCGTCGGGGACTTGCACATATCAAAAAAGCAGAAATATTAACTACTAGTCACCAGAATCATTACATAGCGGCCAAGCATAAACGATAGGATTACATCAGATATGGTCGATAGTTAAGATGATGATCCGACCAGGGGCGAAGCGGCTGGACCGGAGGCCTTCATGAAACCATCCGATCACTTAGCAGACTGGGATTTGGCATTCCAATACAGAGCATTGGAAAGCTATGTCTGCACCATATAGATCAAGTTAACAGCTAGATAATCTTCCTCATCTCTGTATATTCGAGTTGTCGCACCGTAGAACCTTCGAAGGCTACGGGACCGCGTCACACTGGCGCAGGCACGTGGGACACAACGGATAGTGTAACCAGGAGAATCATCGATCTGTTGGACCGGCCCTTGCGCAGGTTCACATCATATTTCTAGACCCTATGAGGTGCTAGGAGGGCCAGATCTGGTACAGGGTTGAGTTGGCACGACCACCTTAATCTCCGGACTCTTCCAGCCAAAGTCTGGCCCGTGCTGATAATGTCTATGTTTAGATATCGCGATGTTTTCCCAGGAGTAACGCCAAAATTTTGTGCAAGTTTCATACAGTCTGACGAAGCAGGCCGCTAGAAACGAAGTTGTAATTGTGCTAGCAAGGCTATTGGAGGTCGATAATCAGATGTCCGAAGGTCACCGCCAGCTCACCTCCCGTAGACGGTCGTGCTGCGTACACCCCAACCCATGTCTCCTGCACACCCTCCTCGGAAAATATCCAAGTCACCTCACGGATTGGAGATCGGTGGTTGCCTTCCACCACATAGATCCACAAGCTGTCATCGGGCTCCCGACTGATCTCCAGAGTCGCTTCACTGCCGCCAGAGGGCACTGGAAGCAAGCTCCAGTCCGCCCAGCGATCCTTTACGACAACACTCAGGTGAGGCTTGCCATGGGTGTGCTCGATGCCGGTCTTGATGAACTTCTTCGATCCATCAACATACTGCAAAACAAAGATAAGACCTCCCTGATCGTAGTTGAGCGTCCATTCTGCATTGAACGAGACGCGAGCGCGTTTAAAGGAGTCCAGGGCAACCGTCTGGTAGAGCACAGGAGCAGAGAAAGGCGTCGTGGAAGGCGGCTTTGCCCAGATGTCTGTCTCAGCCTTGGTTTTCAAAACGAACTCCGATGGCAGAGTTCCATTGCCAGGAACTGGGTCGTCCGAGTTGATTAGTTTGAATTGCGACATTGCGGGGAGCGAAGGCGGAGCAGGCACAACTTCAAGTGTAGTGCGTGTTTAAGACAGCGCCGCTGAGTACAGCTGGGAGGTGATAGCGCTTGGAATCAGGCTTTTTGGAGTGCCAGCTGAAGAAGACTTGCAAGGGCATGCCAGGGTAGTAATTATTTACTAGTATTTATGGGCGGTCTCACCCCGCGGGCATCAGATACTGCGATAAGCAACCCCGCGAAGCTTATTTGCCCCGTTTGGGCAATTACTCGATTGAGTTGATTAAATGCACATCACGCTTAGAAGGGACCCAGGTCTTTGTTCTTAGCCTTGATCAGATATTCTCTGGAAGCTAGAGTCGTGTCATCATGTGCTTATAAATAATTCCTTGAGCGGGACAATGTTCCCCTGCACCAGTTTACGACTTGTGTGTGCGTAGTTGACTAGGCTTTAATTTGTGCAAACTCCGTTAAGGTGATCTAGTTTCTGGACGTCGTTAAGAAAATTGAACTATATGTGCACTATTAATATATGGTAGGAAGCTGCAAGTCCGGATCCTCATTTCAAAGTAGCTCTCAAGGTCAGGGGCGGCCATAGTAAGAATGAATCAAAGCTATAAGCATGCATGTAAGGTAAAGAGTTACACGTGAGATGGACCAATACCAGTATACCTTGTCTCCGAACGCTCCCAATCTATGGTATAGAAACATCAACTTAGATTGATTTCAATTGATAGTAAATGAAGAGTTCCCTCTACCAGTAGACAAAATAATATTTAGATACATGGTCCAGCATGTCCTGGTTATCCGGGTTATTAGAAGCTCATGGCTTATGAGCAAATACGGGACAGCATCAATATCGATACAAATAACATTCAGATATTTAGGCCGTGTAAATCTAACTACTAGTATGATGCGGGCAGTCTAGCACATCCAAGGCCTCCTCATTCGGTATAGACGTCTCTCTCCACTAAAGATGGACTGGCTCTCATACAGCTGGGGGATATTGGATCCTGGTGGTAGTGAATGACGGGGAATAGTAGACAGAAAGTAGTGAATAATAGCCTAGAGAACACTCCCATTGGCCGCCTGGGGCTGGCAGACTGACGCGTTAAACCCACGCGACGACATCCCTGGTCTGTTCTGTTTGTTTGCTGTTCTCAGCTCTCCAGCTCCCTACCACCTTTTCCCTTTCTCAACCCTCCATCTCCCTCTCTCCTTCGCTGCTTTTCTAACTCAGCGTTTGCTTCGTGTCTTCTGACGAATTTCTTTTGTTGTCTTGATCGTACACGCCACAGGTGCATACTAAACAATCTCAACATGGCTACTGTGCGTAACGCCGGGGCTTTAGTCCCTATTGACCCTGAGAAACTGAAGAAGTTACAAGATACTCAACGAGCTTGCTACTAGGTTATCGGCGACTGGATATCGACTGGTCCAACTTGGACTTTGCAAAGCAGCAAGCACGCCTCCACAGAACTGCACGCGGGACATGCCGCATCTCGCCTCGAATTGCAGACGACGATGGCAAACATTGACGAGACGGTGAGTCCCTTTTCGCGCCATGGCTTGCACCCCATGGGTCATCCCCTATTTCGTGTCTATAGCCTTACTCTCTGGTTCTTTATCTGACGAATTCATCAAGTCTCATCTCGCTGATAAGAGTCGCACCTCTACAATCTGGACCAAGTTCATTGTAGGTTACCAAGGCAGCATCTTCAATTTTTGCTTCTCATTCCTCCCGTGATCTCCTTTCCTCATCTTATCTACTGTTTCTGTCTGCTCATAACGAGCTATTATTCTTGTCCTGCTTATTCATCGTGAATGTGACTGCTTGGAGAAGTTGCTAATAGAAGCCACTGATGGGCAGTTCATCTCCACCGAGGGAGACATCGTCACCCGTTTGAGCTCCATCAAGAAGATCGCCACGCATCCAGCTGGGGACACCTCTGCGGGCCAGACTCAGGAGACTATTTACAGTACCGTTTCCTACTCAGTTGAGGAGAACAGTCCTCGTCAGTCTCCTTCTGGCATCAATCCGGAGGCACCTGCTTTCACGCCCGCCTCTCACTCGGTGCCAACTGCGCAGAAGGCCGAGATCGTTAAGGGAATTCGCACGCCGAAGGAGTTCCTCGATAGTCTGAAGATGATGGAAATCAACAAGAAGATTAATGCCGCGGGAGAGAAGCGCCGCGTGGTGCTCAAGAACCTTCCCGAAAATGCGAAACTGACTGATGTCTTTTGCCTCGTGTTCGGAGGCCAGATCGACCGCGTCACCATGAATGGTCGTGAGGCTAACGTCGACTTCCTCACTGCCGCGTCTGCCCAGAACTACTACGACAAGGTTTCCCGCGGCATTCGTGTGGATGGACATTTAATCACCGTTGAGCAGGGTGTTTCCCCCAAGCTGACGTCTCACATTCTGAGCTGCGTCGACTCGGGCACTACTCGTGTCGTTCATGCCATTGTGCCTCCCCATATGACTGTGACGGAACTCTATGACAGCGCCAAGGAGCTCAATCTTGAGCGCCTCGAGTATCGTCTCGAGCCCACTGCGGTATGTACTCCCCGGGCCCTGCCATCGATTGAGCACTGTTACTTACTGGTTCCAGGCCAAGGAAGCTCGCGCTTGGTTCTTCTTCTGCGGAATCACCGACGGTTACGACATGATGCGGAAGCTGATCATTGAGCCCGAGGTGGAACACTTGCCCTTGCTCGCCCAACTTCATGCCGGACCCGTAAGGTTCCCCCGTTCACCGGCAACGCGTTGCACAGGATAAGGACTGACTTCATTTTTGCACATAGGTGCACGGCCGACTGGTTCCACGGCGACGGTATGGTATCGTCTCCCATGGCGAAAGCCACTGTTGTTGAAGCTCAGGCGGAGGCTGACTCTGATATGGCGGCTGGAGGTGCAGCTGGGAATGCAGCTGAGCCGGAGGCCGACGCCGATGCCGCCGACAACGGGTTCGAGATTTATGTTTGAAGAGACGCCTCAGCCCATTAGGAGTGGCATCCGTTCCCGGTTACGTTCAATTATTTCTTAACTTTTTTGTTGTTGCCCCCTCTCAATCTGTGGGATTCAATATCTGAGGCTACTGGTTCTTTCTGATACCTTTGTTCTTGCTTTCTGGATGTGGGGAGTCTGATATTTTGAGGCTGCTGCCACCTTCTGCTATTCCGCTATTCCGAAAAGTGGGATTTTTTGTTTGTTTCAAGGTCTTCAGGGTCGAATGGGCCTTTCTGCAGGACCTCTCACGTGAGAGCCTTTTAGTTTGAGATGCCCCTAATAATAAATGGAACGGATGCTGAAACATAACTCACCGCACTCTGCCTCTCTCTATCTCGTAATGAAAACGTGAGTATGCACATTGCGCCATCAACTTCGGAGTCAAGCCCCCACGATCTCCTCGCAAGCCCTGTCGCAAGCCAACGCATGAGCTAGAGGCACGAGCCACTGCCCGCCTGAACAATGCAATCAAGTGCCAAAGAAAAAGACCGAAACCCACGTATAGAACCCGGGAATAATAACAATAGCGCGCCACCTACCACCATAGCCGAAAGACGCCCCACCAGGCCGCGAAGTTCTAGAAGCCCATGAAGGATCCGCAACGATTAGATTCACGGAACCAACCCGGCCGAGCAAATCAGACCAAATCAATCGGCCTGCAGATTGCCCCCTTTAGTGCTGATGCCACAAAGATCTTGGCTCGGTGGTTCGCAAGGTGTTCCAACCCGACCTGCCTGTTCAAACCGAGAAGTTCCCTTTTTTTTTTTTCCCAGTTCTTTTTTTTGCCCTGTCTGCCCTGTCCCCATGGCTGGACAAGTGGCCCAGCAAAACCGCATTATCTTCGGCCTTTCTTCTCGGCGCCCATGCCGCTACAAGCCCCCGTATCGCAGATTTACCAGGAATACCCGCGAGAGGCTACCGTCGCATGCGGGAATAGCAACGTGACAACACCTTTCTCTCCTTTCCCCCACCCTTGGCACGGGCGGCCCAATGTGACGCTATTTTAATCTTCCAAATGCCAACCGGCCCATGCGTCAGCAAAGCCCTACAGTTAAGAAACGCGGAAGATTCCGAAGAGGTTCCCCACTAAATTAACTATGGGGGTTGCAGTGTATACTTGGGGGCCAGGATGGAGCACGAACTTGGAAAAAGCTAGGGCCAGCGAGTTCTTGGCTTCACGACTCGCCACGCCCTGGGCTGCAGGCTTTGCTGCAGGCCTGCAGCTTAGGTCTTACTTTGGCTTGGCCCAGACGCTAAAATAGATTTGGAGGCTCGCGGCGCTCTTGCCTATTCGTCCCTCGCATAATAGGCCTCCCGTGCTATCCCTAGCCGGGGCATTCTGCTAATATGCTAACAGGGAGGTGGGATCGCCTGGAGATAGGTTTCTCGGTTTGTATATACCGAAGGCTACCCCCACTGGGACTGGTGGGGGAAGGTGGAGATTGGGTTACTCTCGTGAGATTGTGAGACCGCGAGACCAGCAGGGTTATGCTTTTAGGCGGGCAACCAAGGTGGGAACTCATTCTGGAACAGAGCAATTGGAGCCGTGGGGGAGGTTTTGCCCTGCTGGTAGAATAGAGATCATTTGGAATCAGCAGACTGGGGCGCCGGGGGGGGGTTTGCGCCTATGGCTTGGAGGCCTAGTTTAACTGCTTTCGGCTATCGAGTCGAGGTGATTTGAATCCAATGGAACCGTTATCTGGTGGAGCCATAAGATGAATTTCTCCGTGCCACCTTCACGCCTAGAAAGCCAGATTGAAACTACTGCTCCTGCAGACAGCCCCGTTGATGCTACGATTGCTCTGTACTCCGGTCGCAACGTGAAGCTAGACCAGATCAGGCAGCTCAAAGTGCCAAGAAGTAGAGCCTCCATCTCGGGGAGCTGCTCCCATTGCGAACTCTAATGCGATTCGTGGTTCGCTGCGGCGTTTTGCGGGCTTGAGGTGAAGCAACAGTGGAGTCAAACCACATGGCCATATGTATCGACAAATCCTTTCCGCACTTTCGGAGCGACGATCCGCTTTTGATTTGCCGGATCGTTTCAGTGGAGAACCTGGAGCGGAATTAGTGACATAACTAGTCTGAGAAGGATTGCCCACGAGTCGGTTCAGGTGGTTTCGTCCCCACATGGGAGAAACCAATATATTGAAGAAATCATTCTTCCTGAATCATGGTTACCATCTTGGGGTCAGGATTAACCGGGGACATCGAGTCGAGTTCCGCGAAGGATCGCTAGTACCCACCGTCGAGGTTAAAAAAAAAAAGTTGTTCTAGCCTGAACCTTGCGCTAGTTGACCCCCGGAAGAACGGAGGGTTCCAGGTCACGTACGAGGGCTATGCAATTGTGAGAAACCCTGGAGACCAGGTAGCTTGGAGAGTTACGTATCGCTGGTGTATCGCTGGTGTATTGCTTGTGAAAGCTTTCATATCTTTTATGATAGAAAGTCCACTATGAGGCATAACGGGAAAGAACCATGGATGTAGGAGTATCCTAATAACGCCAATGGTACCGGTCGCGGCCGGGAATGCTAGTCCCCGTTATCCCCGATCCATCACGGACAACGCTCTCCCCGTGCCTGCATGAACCTGAGCAAAGGGGTGACGGTGTTTCCCTTGCGTGAAGATGCAGATCGAGGTCCCACTTCTCAGTTGTTTGCGGCTTGGCATGGGCAATGTCTGTATTACCGAATTTACCGACGGCCGATCATGATTTTTGAAGTCCCTTGTGATTGTGTACCGGAGTTGAGCTAGGCGATCCACTGCAATCCTTCCCCAGGCATTACGAGGTTCTGACGCATGGAACCGTTTCGGGCGTTTCGTTTGAATTATCTAGGGCTTTGCGAGAGGCTTGCGATGGTGGAGAAAAGAAACCTGAAGCCTGAGGAAAACCCGGGGATTGGCAAGGACTTTCTCCAGCCATGGATGTCGCATATAGAAAGAAATGGGCTTACAAGCTCGAAAGGCAATTGCATCACGTAAAGTGGCAGTGTGCGACATTTGGTTGCCGACGGTAGAGTCATATACCTAAAATAAGACATTCCAAAACCCCCAATAAGCTCTGAAACCAATGAACAAGCTCATTGGATTGAAAGTTCCTCCCAAAACGCCATGTACAGAATCCGACAGCCACACAGAGTGCCCACGCTAAGAACAAGCAGAAAAGAAGGAACGTAAAAGAAAAAAGGCAAAGAAAACGAAAAGAAAACAAGGTATCTTTGGAGAAAAGCCGACGGTAGAAACCAACCTCCCAAATCATCATCGAGTAAAACAATCAGAAAACGAGAAGATAAAATCACACCTCCCCATACCACTCATAAGGAAATCATGACGTTCGCTGCATGGCCGTCTCCCGATCCTCCCTCATCCACGGATACCAAACATTCGCCCACTCAACGACCCCAAATCTCGGCGCACCATTCGCATCCGTCAGGGAGGTGCCCTCTCGCAGAAATTCGCCATCCCGCATGCGCCTCTGCTCTCGCAGCGTGGGACACCTCTTCTCCTTAATAAAGCGGTAGAACTTGCACTGGATGCCCTGGAAGCCGCGGCGCTGCCGACTAGGAAACTGCCGATTGAAGCTCTCGCGCACCTCCTTCCACTCCTGGCAGAGGTCGACGCGGTGGTACCAGATGAAATACATCTCCTCTTCCTCGTACTTGGGCCGCGGCGGGCGGCGGCGCTCCGTACCATTCGTGCTCGAGCTGCTGGAGACGGAATCGTAGCGCTCGCGCGGGTGGTAAGGGTCTGGCGAGGAGCGGGCGGAGCCCGAGCCCGGGCCTGAGGGTCTGTAGGAGAGGAACATGTGATGTTGCTGGTTGGGGTTGATGGGCGCGGAGTTGGAGCTACTGGCGCTGCTGACGTGGGTGGTCGCCGTTGAAGCGGCGGGGCTGACATCGTGGTAGTCCTCGGGATTATAGCGGTATTGCCAGTATTTGTCGGGGCTGGAGTAGGTGGAGTGATAGGAGGGTTTGGAATAGTGGTCATAATCCGTTTCTTCGGATGGAGGGTTCAGCAGCGAGTCGATTTTCATGCGACTTTGGCGCTTTGCTGGTTGAGAGTATTCTGAGCGCGCATCCATTTTGGGGTGCGGTTTGTTGTTGGCGGCAGGTATCAAGGTGTTTTTCTTTTATGGAATTGAGCTTGTTGTTCCTTTTTTTTTTTCCCCTCCTTTTCTTTCCTTCTTGTTCCTTTTGGACGGATGGGCTCTGCAAGGTAGTGGACTCGAAAACCCTAGGTGTCCGCGTCCCGAATGATCTGAAGGTGAAATCCCAAAGCGTCTTTTGAAATATAATATTGTCAAAGTATGAAATGCTAAGAGCGCAAAGAGGAATGAGTATGGAAGAGTGAGGGGGGTTGAAAAATAAGATCTTGAAAGGAAGAAAATGACGAGAGGATAGTCTTAGTTTATAGATCGTAAGAGTACCCGTCAAGGCCGATCACCTGGACCACACGGGCTTAAGAGCATAGAATCGAGGGGAAGGGCAAGAAAAAAAAGAACAAAATAAAAAAGGAAAAAAGAAAAAAACAATATCATGGAAAATAGAGAAAAGGGTAATATCAGAAACTCGGAAATTCAGAGAATAGAAGATCACGAAAAATCGGGGATAACTCCTCAAATGTTTTTTTCCTTTTCTTTTTTTTTTTTTGGAAAAAAAAAAAAGGGAAAAAAGAAAAAACCGAAATTGGAAAAAATAGGACCAGGCTAACTGTGCTGTTGGGTGCAGGAGACCGCTTTCCTGGGTCTGCTCTTTTGGCCCCCTGTAGACCGTATGGTGTACCGCAGATACAGCTAGCCACGGCTCCACCCCCAGAAGTCATGGCTTTCGAAGCTTTACTGTTGACCTGCCACTGTTTCCCGTGAAGAGTGGCGATCTACGGCCTTGCTCTTCCTCCACTTTTCGGCATCCACGCAGTATGGATCGGGCGAGGTTCTAATACCTGATTGATCACCTGCACTACGGGACTCGGTTGGAAAAGAGCCAGTTTGCCAGGGCTGCAAGCTGCTCGATGACACAATCTCTTGCACAGGCGATGGGAAGGGGGGGGAAAAGTACAAGTTCCGTATTGGGAATATTCGGCGCTTTTTTGGGGGGGGTTCCTCTCTCATTTCTTACAAGTGCAATGGGGGTCCTCCGAACACACGCGGGGGAGCCCACTGCCAAATTAAATTACAGGACCTTGAACTTTAGTCTTTCGAGACCTCGGGCACCAGGGCACTAGGTGGAGACCTCCAGGTATCGTGAATGAACGATCTGTTAAACCGGAGGCGGAGAACTCGGATTACAGTACCAGGAAGACTCCGAACTACAGGGATGGCGAATCTTCAGAACAAAGGACCAGCCGCCGTTGGGAGCTTGGGATGGGAAAGGGGAAAGCCTCGGGCGAGGCCCAAGCCAACCTTATACATGATTGGCAGAATCGTAACTGCCATATTTAGCCCAACCGGCCATGACTTGCGCAAGGCCACCCAGAAGACCTTTTGTTGCATAAAGTTCCCGTCTTCATGCCAAGTCGATTAACTGGATGGTTTATAGGCACTGTTATTATTTTCTTACTCCGTGTGAGCAGCGCATCCAGGGACGAGCGTCGAAGCTAAAGATGAACTACGGATAAAGTGGGGAATTAAGGCGTCCTTCGAGCCGTAGAGTTTCGGTTCTGCTCCGACGCATGTTGGCTAAGACATGATGCCAACAATACCCAGAAGATAACAGGAAGGGACAAAGAGTCAGCGAAAAAGGAAGAAAAAGAAAAAGGGAAAAAAAAACAGAAAAAAACAGAAATCAGAAAACCAACACAAAGGCTAGCCTTCTATTGGACGCACCGAAGTCACCCGTAACCAACGCCGCAGCCCTGGGTCCGTGTAGCAAATGACAGCGACGCGCTAATGCGAGGTCAAATTGGGGACTGTAGAGGAGGGTGGAGCCCTGCCAGCACATGCCTTTTGACCGTTTTATAACCACGGTGTAATTTATTATGAAGCCATGAAGAATCAAGAATCCTTCTCGAAGGGCGAAGTCGGAGCGCTGTTTCCGGGAGGAGCTACAAAAGGGCTCGTTAATTGTCCGAGGGGGACCACTACGCGAACCATGGTCCCTGGGAAGGGAATGATGCGCATAATCGCGCGTCCCCCTCTCTCTTTCTTCATCTGCCACAGCAGGGTTTGTTGTAGGTTTCTCTTGGTAGGCTCCTGCGAATGGGAAGGTAAAAAAGTGGACTTTGCAGCTGTCCCCATTGCGAGTTGAGATTTGCCTCCCCACTTTCTCCATGCAACTGAAGAGTCGAGGCTCGTGAATTGTATCTCCACTTCCAGATCATCCGACTTGCCGCCTAAATGGGGACACCTCCTCATGATATGATGTCAAAAAACGGTTTGACCCTCCCCCCATCAGTATTGCGTAGAACCGCCGGTCTGACCGCCGTGATTCCTGAGTGCCCTTTCTTCAGGCCGGGGATTGGAGAGAGCAGGGGGAATGGCCATCTCAAGCGCAACAACCGTAATACGCTTAACGAGAAACTCCACCCCATTTCGATCCCGGGGCCCGATCCTGTGCACAGCTTCAGTAGGCCGTCATTGGTTACGTGGCCCATGCTTTCTGCTTTCTGCAATAACCGCGCGCCACCCTTGTATATGCAAAATGACAGACCTCAGTCTGGATCAAAATAGCCCAACTTGTCCCAGACCCAATCCAGCCACCAGCCTCAGTAGATTTCAAGCCCCCCCCCCCCCCCCGATGATTTTCCGTGATTTGGAAGGCACCCAGTCTCTTTGTTCGCTTTTGTTTGGTTGTCCATGGCCCCTGCAAGCCTCCAGGGCTGCCCCAAAAGGAAAACCTTAAGGGGAAAAGAGAGACTCGAACAGGTCGTGGAAACCTCCCGCCTCTCCTCCGTGCAGATCCAGGTCAACTGTGCCCAGAACCTGTCCCTGCAACCTCTCGATCCATGTCCTCTTTGTCCCCAAGTGGGGAGGGGGGCCGGAGCGTCCACAGCTCGGGGCCCACCCGAAGCCCTGAATCCAATCACAAGGACTACACAAGGGCGTTAGTCGCTTAAGCCGCAGCCTCAGGCCATCACGTGAAGCCCAATACCCGCCCGGAGAGACCGAAACGGTTCCGGAGATCAGATGGGGCACTCCGCGACTTCCCTCTCGGTGCAAGTTCGCTGCATAGTTGACTGTGCCATCCAAGGAAGCCCCATCTGCACATGTGGGGACAAACCGTAACTAGGAAAGCCCCCCAAAAAAAGCGCAGGCCCCCCCCCTTACTTACTGCGCCTGTCACATTCACACCGTGCACGAGTCATGTCATGCATACACTATCCCGCTACGGGAAGATCCAACGGCCAACCACGGCCCAAGCTCAGGGTGGGAAAACGTGGACACCGGAGAGCAGCCATCATAGCCAGGCAATAATTTACGGGCCCTCCGCCAATCACGGAAATCGAGCCTGACGCTCTCGATGGCGCGGGAGGGATTGCCCATGGGATCGACAGTGCTGGTGCATTGTCTTACCTTGTTTATGGATACCTTGCGAATCGGAGAAACTCGACAGGGGTCTTCGTTGTCTGGAGTCCACGCTGCCCCGCCCTGGTGCTCTTTGTGTACTCCGTACAGTATCGCTGTGCAGGGGAAAGCAGGGTTTGTGGTGAGATTCAGGGATTTATTCCAAATTCCCAATTTGCCCACCTTGCATGGGTGGATGGCGCAGGAGGGGCATGGATCTTCTTTTTTTTTTTGCCTTGGCTGCGATCGACTAGCGACTCGCGCAGCGCGCCATCGCAAATCAACACCCCTGCACAATAAACTAGATAGCCGCCGTCTACGACTCGGTACCAGACAACTCTCCTCCCCCCAAGTGGCGGACTTCTGTCCACATTTGGCACTTATGCGTGCGAGTTGTTGGATGTTGGTTCGAGATCTCTGGAAGTCGCGTCAAATTTTTTTTTTCTTTTTTCGCTTTTGGCTTTTTTTTTTTTTGTTTTTGTTTTTGTTTTTGTTTTTTTTTTCAATATCCATAAATTCGCACAAGCGCTGTGTACTAGGGATCTGTAACTTGTCAGGGCGTCCAGAAACAACTTCATAAGGTCGCATAAATTGATGTCATAAAACGATGACGCCCCTTTTTCCCTCCGTCCCCCTCCTTTGGTCTTCCCTGCACAGAAACTCTACAGTAGCAGAAACCCCAAGACGAGATACGCAATGCAACATAAACTGACTCGAGCGGCCGTCATGCAAGCGCACTAAAGCATACCCCTGTTCAAGATTTGGCACAGTCAACTGCGCAAAAGAGCATAGTGGCTTCAACCCTACATGGACATCGACATACCCAATCGAGACGGGCCTAAAAAAAGAAAATGCCCTAAAAAAGACCACAAAACCACCAATGTCGGCTATCAAGGCTAGCGCGCCCCACCGAGGGACGGACCACAAATGATCATAATTCCCCGTGTTCTGTTATGAGATTCGCCCTCTCCCCCCATTACCGGAACGAGTAAATGAACACTTCTTGCCCAGACAATGCGAACATGCCACAAGCGGGTTCCAGGGCGTCCTCTGGTTAGGAGGAGTACAGGAGTGAAGGAGCTTGGATTAGAACCGACCCAACAACTTTTTTTACTTTTTATTTTTATTTTTATTCTTTCTTGGCTTTTGGCTTTTCTTTTCCTCCCCGAATAACGCCGCAGATTGCCGCAGTTCGCTGCAAGATCCAATCACACCGTAAGGCTATTTCAGTTGGGTGTGCGCTGCTCGACTCCATGGTTCACTTTCAACCTTCTCCGAACTGGGAAATCCAACCAGGCGCCCTGATTCGCTCGAGCCGGAAGGCCTGAGGAAACGAACCTGCCTTGTCCGATCTAACAGGATTAGAATCGGATCGGCTGATCTGCCTCGTGGCAGCTTGGAGTCCGGTTATCTCCGAGGGCTTCCTTGACAGGTGCGGAAGGGCCGGGAATCCGCGCAAGAGCCGGGCAAAGAGGGACGGACCTCCTCTGTAACAAAAAAGGTGGGCAGATATGTAACATCGTTTTGTGTTTTGTCTAGTCGTAACTTTTGGAGCTATCTCGTAGTATCCACAGCCGACA